TCATAGATTACTACTCTTGACTTTATCTCAGACTTTTGAGATAGAAAGCAGTAGTAGCTTGAATGAGAAATGATATATTTTTACTCAGTATCAAAATTCAGCTTCTGAAGCAGTATAAAATTAACTTTTTATTTAAATATAATTTAAAGACAAGAATAAATGCAATTTGAGTTTCTATTCACATTATTTTGAATAAATATGATTTTTGAAGAGTTTTTAAACTTTTTTTATTATTTTTATTGTATATTTATACTAAAAGAGAGTAAAGTAGAATCTAATCACTATCATCAGATAGTAGATTATAATTATTCTGAAAAATAGAAATCTCAACTGCTTGTATTATATCTAGTTTATTATCAGAGTTATTTCTCAATTCTCTAATCTTAATAGAAGTTTGAGAATTCAAATTCTATTTATATTTAACTGAAGAATTGAAGTTTAAAGATTTAGATAATTAAGAGTTTCTTCTTTTTAAGCTTATAGTTATGAGTTTACTGACTTAACTATTGTCTTCAGTTCTAGATTTACTTTGAGATTCATCTTTTCTTCAGTTCTTTTAAGTTCTTAAAGTAAATATACATTTTTTTGAGCTAGATGCATGTTTTTCTTTATAATTAGAGCATTTAAGCAGAGTGTATTAATATATTTCATCTCTTTTTAAGTATGTTTCATATTTATATTCACTAGTTTTATGATCTCTGACATAGAATGCATATTTTAAGTCTCTAAAATAGAAGATTACAAAGTATTCATATCTTTGACAGTTTGAACACTGTGTTTGAGCTTTGAGGTTCATTCTTAAGTCTTTATATTTATGAACTCTTATTTTCAAATCTACTACTCTTACTTCAGAGATCTTTGACTGTTTAAGTGTCTTTATATATACTAGAACAGAGACATTTCTTCTACTTTATCTGAACTTAATTGAATTTAATTATACAGACTTTTTTCTCAGTTGAATAGAGTTGTATTCTTCTAATTCATTTTTAAGAAGTAGTATTTCTTCTTCACAGTTAAAAATTTCAACTGAAATATTATAAAGAATGAATTTATCTCATTTTTCATCTCTCTCAGATAGAATTATTATATTTAATAAAGATTCTACTGCTAGTTTTCAGAGATTCTCATTCTGAATAAGGAATTCTGTATTAAATTCAGACATTGTAGTCAGAATGATGAAGTTTTTAAAGAAGAATAACTTAATTAAAGCTATAACTGATTTTTAAACTTTAATATCAGTTATTAATTGAGAAAAGAACTGCTGATTAATTTCATTTCTGATTCTGAAAATGAGATTTAAGTTTAACTTGTTTCTTTATAAGATATTCTGATTTGAGACTTTGAGAATAAGTCTTCTATTTCTGAAGATTTGAAAGTTTTTCTTCTTTTATATTTTTTTCTTCACTTTTCTATGAATAGAAGTATGAGTATTATTCTTCTCAGTTTTCTCAGGATTTTGAGCATGTTTTGAGATAGCAGATTTAGAGACAGCAGATTCAGCTGCTTGAGTATATATTTTCTTCTGATTTAAAGAAGAAGAAGAAGTAGAAAAAGAGAAAGAAGAGTAAGATAAGAAGTCAGTGATTATACTAGAAATTTTCAATATTTTTTAAACTATATTTGAAATTTCAAGTTTGAACTTGATCATCTTCTGTAGTTATCTAGTCTGAGTATGAAGAATTAATAGAACTTCTTCATTTATCTCACTCAGACACTGCTTTTCAAGAATCTTGCTTACTTTTTCAAGTTTCTGTATTTCAAAAACTTATTATTTCTCTATTTCTTCTTTCTTTCTTCTCTTCAGAATTTCAATCTCAAAAATAGTATTTGAGAAAGCATCTTTTTTCACATTAACTGAGTGTATTTTTAAACTTATTATTCTCACTCAATGAAAAGTTGATCAGACTGTTTCAAACAAGATATATATTAAACTCTTTTTAAAAGTTAATCAGACTGTTTTAATTAAGAGATTTCTAAGTCTATTTTTAATTGAAAAGTTAGTCAGACTGTTTTAAAAGAAGAATAAAAGACTTTTATATATAAAATATCTGATTTTTTTCACACTAGTTCAGTAACTAGATTAGATTTTTGAAGAGAATCTAATAAACTAAAATTAATTTTTAAGATAAATTAATAAAATCTTTATAATCTCTTTCTTGAGATACAGTGAAGAAAAGTATAATATTAATTAATAATAAATCAGATAATATAACAGTTTTTGAGAGAAAAACTGATAAAAAATAAATTAATTTTTTACAGAGAAATTGATTAAAACTATTCAATTTTATTTTAAATCATTTAATTCTTCTCACATAATAAGTGTGCAACTCAAATCAGTTAATAGAGAATATAAAAAAGAATTAAGTATTAATGAAAGCTCTTCAGTCACTGAAAAAGTAATTCTTATTTAAAAGAATATAAAATTATAACAGAAAACAGCTCTGTTTTTAATTCTTTGTAAGAATATTATATAAAATTCAGAGAAAAACATCTTACTTTTTTAAGAGAAGTAAAAAACTATTTCTAAGATCTTTTTTCTTGTATTAACTGCTGTAGAAGAATAAGACAGAAACTGCTAAGATATATACTACTATATACTCTCTATCAAGACTTTCTCTCTTCAGAGTCTTAATATTATAGAGAATATAAGTCTGTTTCTATATAATAATATAAATATTATCAGTGAAATGTAGAGAAACTAATTATTTATATCTTAAAATAGAAGACTTTATCAATGATTATATTAATATAGAGTTAATTCTTAAATTCAATAGAAATTTAGTATTGCTGTTCTCAATCTCTTACAGAATCTATTAAATATTGAGATATTAAAACTAGATTTAATATATCTCACTGTGTAGAGATCAAAGACTCAGTCAGATCTTGAAATATACTGATTTTATAGTTATTGTATCTGCTGATTATGTATTAAATACAGTTGCTGAGATATCTTTTTATACTTTTCTATCAGAGATGAGCCAGATCAGAAGATATGATATAAGAGTGAGACTTGATGTAAAGATAGAGAGAATTTTTCACAGAGAATGTACTTCAGATATATTCATTAATTATGTACTTAATACTATTGTCAAGATATCTTTTTGTATTTTTCTGCTGAATATGAGCCAGATTGAGAAGGGTGATATGTGAGTGAGACTTGATGTTGATGTTTTGAAACATCAAAGATAGACAGGGTTTTTGTGAAAGTTGCTTCTCAGATATCTTCACAATTACAGATCAGAGATCTTCCAAAATCAAGAAGATTGATGCATATGGCTAGGTCTCTTTGTCTTATACTTTGTATGGCAATTTGGCCCGGGGTTGTGGTGTGATAGGGGTGAACAGGGGATAATCCCACACAGGAGTTTTGAACAACATCTGGTTCATGTTTGGCTGGATAACTTCACCACCACACGGGGTATGCAGTCAGCGATGGGGTCAAAATGCTTGTATGATCAAGGGCTTTTCAATGGATCTGTCAGCGGGTTCTTATTCGAAAAATTGAGTGAGTTTGTGATGAAGCGCTCAGGTCTTTTCTATAGTTCTTTTGTTGTAGCTGCTTGAGTTTCTGATAGAAAGTCTATTAAGTATTTAATTCCTGTCTCAGTTGAGAATAAGAATCTCATATTTAATTGATTTAGATTATACTTCTCTTTCAATCTGACTCTGAGACTATTGTATAATGCACAGTGTATTACAATATACTCAGGATTCTCATTTGCATTGTCTTTACAGACTGACTACTTCTGTCTAAGTAAGATGTTTACTGATCACTTAGTGAATACCTGTCATATATAAAAGATTATATAGTAGCTAGATCTTTATAATAATAATCAATCTTTCACCTTCATTATAAATAATAATTATTTCTTGTAAAAAAATAATTTAATTCTACAGAAAATGATCAGAAATATTCTTTATTAAAATAAATTTATTTACAGATTTAGAGAGTTTCTCTGTTTTAAATACAGAGAATAATATATTATAAATAAATAATAAGTTCTTTAAAACTTCTTTTATAAAGATTATTTACAGTTTAATTAACTGTTTTAATATTTCTGCAGTAAAGTTCATAGAAATTGAAGTATATAAATTTCTAGTTTTTTCAGTTATAACAGATAATTACTGATTAACAGAGCTTGAAATGTAAGAATAAGTACTGACAGATAATTATTCAGTGATTCACAGTTTAATATAATATATACTGATAATTACTAGAAGTATTCACAGTAGAAAAATAAATATAAAAATTAAATATATAATAGTATTTAAGCTGAGTTATGAATAATAATTATGAACTTTAGTTTATATAAATTATATGTAGTTAAAAGCTGCTAACTCTATTAATTATATAAGAAATGAAAATAAAGATAAAGAATTCATAAGAAGCAGAATTTCTTACACTTTATAAAGATTAAAACATTATTTTTTGAATAAATCTGCCTAATTCTGAACTCTTTTTAACGGTTAAATTAGCCATTTCATTGCTATAGATATTTATATGAGTAGAAACTTAGTATAAATAAATTATTATTATTGATTTTCTTCTCTTTTAAGTTCTTTTAAAAGATGTTAAAAATACTGCAATTTGTAAAAGATTTTTATATTCTGAGCTGAAATTTTCTAGCTTGCATATTTGATATTGATAAATGTATAATTGATTGTATAGATTTTAAAAAACCTCTGAGAAGTAAAAGTTCTCAGGTAAATATTATAGTCTCTGACTGTGTACATTTATAATTGAAGAAGAATAATAATAATAATATTAAATATCAGTAAAAAATAAATTTTAATAAGTCTTAAATTGATCACTTCTGCAGTGGCAAGCCTTATTAACTGCTGTCTATGACATAGATACCGTCATATTGCCTCTCAGGTTGCATTATCATGATTTCTCACTATGATTCTTGATTTTTGATGATATTTGCAGGTCTCTGGACATTATACAGCCACACTGAAATGTGTCAGCAGATATCACAACTCATTCCAGTGTATACAGTACATTTAACAGGTTTAAATCTACCACTTTTTCAACTAAACACACTGTTGAACTCTATAATATGAATCTGACTGCCAGCTTGGCGTGCTTGGCGAGTTGTATGGAGTTATACACAGAATCTACTGAACAGAAGGCCTTATCCGGCTAGGTTAGCGTGTATAACCCCGTCCAGGGCCATACAAGCTGGCACTGTACGGACTTATACAGCCCTGGACGGGGTCACCGAACAGGCCCTTAGTGTAACTCGTGTAGATAGATTACAAACACACAATAACGTTATCCTCCAAGAAAAGAAAAACTAATCTCGATTTTACAGACCGTCCAGTCTAAGTTAAGTAGTTCTTGAGGTAGGGCAGGAAATTCCTCCTAGCCTACCTGCAATCACACAGTGTCGTTCAATCTCACCCATGTCTTCACCCAGCACACCCATACTATACTCACCCGCACTCACCCTCGCGTCGCGCGACCATCACTCTTGAAACGGCAACAACTCGGAGGCTCGACATGCGGTTGGGCATGTTGTATAGTGGCTTGAGTACGGCTGAGCGGAAGGGAAGCCCTATTTTCCACTCCCTATGTTCGTATGTGACAGACGTCCTCTTGTTACGAGATTTTAAGAGTGTTCGTTTAGTTTGACTGGAGCCAGGAGGTATGGAACCTTCAAACACTGTACGGAGTAGAAACATCCAACCATGGTGCACGACAGGCGAACGAGGTTACGTACTTGAGTCATTATAATAAAATTTCAGGCAATAGTGATTTTTTTTTCTTCCTTTTGTAGGGGTGGACGAATGTGTGTGTCGCACAATGGGTAAGCATGATTTTTGTTGACGGTACATCCGGCATGAAAGCGCTCTTTATCCCGGATTGTTTTGCCGTACTCGTATCCACCAACCGACAAATAACCATGAATGCGTCATGAGTAGAGGCCTCCCCTTACTAGATTCAGGTCTGTCAATGCCTCCACAAGTAGTGGAGATATCGCGCAACAGTACATCTTTGATTTAAGAACGCAAGGGCCGCTATGGAACTGAGTTTTTGGGGTTTAAAAATCAGAAGTGTGACATCGGCCGTGGTGAGTGCTGAAGCTATAGTTCTTAAGGATATGCGGAAGATAAACTGGCCCTTTATACGAAAGTGAAAGTAAGCCTATGGATAAGGCGTTCAAACCATTGCATTGCGCCGATAATCAACGTGAGAAAGCGAAGTGTCAAAATAATGGCAGGGTGCATATTTGAAATGTTTCCGTCTGGGGTTAGATTCACAAGCTAGTATCTATGGCGGCAAGTCGTTTCTCAATCACACCGACGATCTCTTTCCAATCGCACATGGCTCCCTGCCCAGTATCACCACATGCCAAAGTTTTTGACTGAGGTGGAAGCACTTCAAACCATTTCCACTCATCGTTGAGTATGGCTAATTGCTTCGCAGTCAACGGATGGGTCCACATCATGGTATTCATTGATGGCGCAACAATAATTAGCCGCTTCGTCGGATTTAGAGGGTCTATGTCCCAAGCACGAATGACGTTTGTCAGGAGGTCGTCACAGAGTCCCCCTGTCACCTTGGCCAACAGATTGGCAGACATAGGAACAATTGCCAATAGGTGCGCCCAACGGCGTAGCTCTATATGAAGTATATTTGCATTCCGCGTCCACGGCTCTACCCACTCGTCCTCATCTTGGTGGACCGAATCGACGTTCGGGAGCAGGGCTAGAGATGATACCGTAGGCTGTTCAGCAGACTGCCCATCGAGGAAGTGGCTTGCGGACTTTGTAAGGATGACACGGATCGAGAGGTTAGGGTAGTTGCTCAACGCGGCGATAATCTGCGGTAATTTGATGGTGGCAACGGAGCCGCTTGCGGCCAAGAGCAGGTGCGTCTTCCCATCCTGAAGGGCAGCGGCAATATTTGACGCAGGCGATTGAGATATTTGTGCGCCGGCTTCGATGTTAGATGTCATTTTATCTTGGATTACAGACGTCTGCTGGGCTTTTGGCGAACTATCAACAGTGTTGGCTGGAGGAGTGAAGAATAAGCTCGGAAGGACTCATATATATACAAATCACGTGACAAATTCGTTAGCCCCCACCACCCTGATTTGGATGTAACTACGTATGTACCGTACATGTAGTAGGGATAGTATCCTTTAGCCATTATTGCGCGCTCTTTACGGCGTATGTGAACCACTTTAATAATAGGTGCGAGCTTCTTAGCACCCGGTAGTAGGGGTTTTTACTTGTTTGGCTGGGATAGCTGGAATAGACCAGTCAGCTGGCTCGCTTGATTATGATTTCGATTGGACGATTGCTCAATCATGCAAGCTGCGGTAGTGAGCTTCATGGCCGAGATGTTGGTTATGATTCTGTGCTTATATCTTGCCCGGTAGAGAACAAGCCTATGCGTGTGTACCCGACTAGTGGACTTGGATTTAAAATGGTATGGCAGAGGCAATCAATAATGTATTGTGAGCCCGCTTGGTTTTAGAGGTCTTGACCCTTCATCGATGCGCCTTTTCAACTAAGAACAGGAAGCAGAGTTGATATCTTGCTTAGGAAACGAAAAATAAAACAGGGCGTCGATTTCAAGCACGACAACCACTTTGGTTGTTTCCAGGGGTAAAAAAATCACCGCGACGAACCAGGGATGGAATGAGGACCATCTGCACAACCATCCGAGGAGGAGGACGGAGAAGCACGCAAAAATCTTAATTAAAATCAACTAGCGTCTTGACCGTGAGAGGAAATGCTTGTTATCGCCAAGCCATGGCGTTCTCTCGCCCGACATCGGCGCTGAAGCTTAACTGGATGCTCCACGAATCGATGCTTTTGTTGACAAAAAGATTGCCCACCCACCATTGTTCCGAGTTCAAACGCTCCTTGGGGTTGATATGATAATTTGATTGTTTTCATTGCTCCCCCTCGAGCAACACCAAATCAGATACCTCGTTCGGTTATTTTTAGTCCCAACCATGTCCCAGTAGCCAGTTGTGGGTTGGGATTGTGCTTCTTCCTGACCATCGCCTAGGCCCAGAGTCGTTACTTGCCTGGGGTGAAAGAGCCACCAGTTAAAGCTGGCGAAGCAGAGGTCCCACCAAGCGAGCACAGGGTTGTTGGGGGGAGGGGGGGAGAGGTTGTGTCCTCGCCGCTCAATGATTAATATCCCCCTGCTCCTTTTTAAATCTTGTTAATTTGCCCCCAATGGCGAGAAGGAAACAGAAGGATGGCTGTATTCGTATTCCAATATTTCCATTGATTAATTTCACCGCGTTCTTTTCTATAGCAATTATATTATTTCCTGCGTTCTGATCCCCCCGAAGTTACTAACGGCGGCTGCAGACAAATGGGGAGAAACTGGAGCCCGATTGTCGATCCGATCAACAAGACTCCCAAGCTTTTCACATTATTGGCAAAAAAGCTTGACCATAAGGTCCATAACCACGCCCGCCCCTGGCAAACCTTTGTCTGACCGGAGAACTGCCCCATCGCCAGGTTGCGCAGCTGCGTCACAAATAACCTCTGTAATAATAAGAATAATTGCGTGCCCTGAATGTCACATACATGCGCACGCAACACTAGTTCTGCTTCGTCTTTGAATGTTGGCATATACGCTGATGCAGGAAGACGAAAAAGGACAGAGAAGCAAACAAAGAATATTGATATTCCGTTTAAAGTAACAATAAATAAGAATTCTAGACGCTGAGATAGAAGTAATGATAGAACACAACAGCTGCAATGAAAAGCAGTGGCGATATAAACATAACAGGAGTGGCAGATAGCTTTTGTGAGAGTCTCCTCTCGACCAACCCAGGTAGGTAGGCCTAAATAACTAACGCCCCCAAATCTGCGCTACAGCCCGCAAACGCGCTGATACAAGCCCGAGGCCACCTCCATCACGACTGCCACCACCACCACCACCACCACCACCCCCGTCTCCTCCTCCTCCTTCTCCCACCATAACCACCGCTGCTCTTCCTCTCTGCAATCCACGGAGCAGCTGGTCTTATGAGATGCCGTCCGTTCCTTCTGACTAGCCCATCCTGCAGGGTCGCTCCGAATGCTCCGTTTACCCGGGACCATGACCGTTACCCATATCGACTACTCTCCCGTACTCTTCCTACACCTGACAAGTTGTCGAGTTGCTGCAGCACCGCTGCTACAATACCCGGGCCTGTCTGCCAGGGCCAGCAGCGCGGCATTCCCCGTATCTAGCTCGCGAGAGTCTTGCTCCCTCCAGCCCTCCTCCAGCGTCGTAAGAATTGACGACGCCCTCGTACAGCCTCCCGCCTGGTACCGTACCGCGCATCCCGCAGCGTGGCGCGAGTGAACTGCCTGGACAGGCCCTCATTACAACCAACATCGAGCCTCCCTTTGCGCTCACCTTCTCCTTCCCACGAAATTTTTTTTTTCGAACACCCATGCGAGCCGTTGTGTGTATGGGGACGATATACAGGTGATTTGCCATGTCGTTTGATCCCTTTCCCAGGCCCTCCACTCCTTCGTCTGCTCGGAACCGGTCCATAATATCCAAGTTTACAGATCGCTTTAGCAACCGGATTAAGACTATTTCTGAATTCTATATACAGTTGGATGAGCCATACAAGGCGTACTTTTCTGGCGACTTGGTGAAAGGCTGCGTGGTCTTGAAGGTGGTGAAACCGGTCCGCATAACACACCTAGTTCTCTGCTTGCATGGATATGTGAAGGTCTATAAAACTGCGGTTGCGCCTGGAGATGCCTTGGAGGAATCTGGCTTTCTGGGTCCAGGACGTGGTAAAAGGTACGGTGAATACTTGGGAAATGGATTTGCTTCGCTTTTCGAAGACGAAATTGTCCTCTGTGGAGATGGTCGCCTCGTTGAGGGAATATACAAATTCAAGTTTGAAATGGCATTTCCGGCTTATCGATTGCCCAGCAGCATTACGGTATGTAAAATGAAATATCTGTTCTTACCAAAAAGATTGCGCACTGTCCCTTTGAGAGTTGTGAGCGCTAGACATGCATATGCTGACCGGCTGTTTAGTTTGAGCGTGGAACCATATCCTATATGCTAACATCTACTCTAACGCGACCTACCACTATATCACCTACCATGTCCTGCGACAAACGGATTATGCTTCTGGAAACCATCGACGTTGCCCCGCTGCCCGTTCCTAAACCCCGTATCATCTCTCTTGAACCGATCATAAGAAGATCCAAGGCGCGATCCAAGACGAAATCAGCATCTCGTGAACAGATTGCGCAAAACTCAACTCTTGCTGAACCAGCTCCTAACGGAAGTGAGAATAGACCACCGCTCAGCCCCGTACCTAGCGAGCATAGCAATTCGAGCTGCATGAGCAACAGCACCCAAAGTTTTCAAGTGATCAGCGAGCCAAATTCCGCGAAAAGTCCGAGCGTCGCGAACGATGACTCGCTGAGCACGAATACTTCCTCCATAGAAAGGACAATTAAAGCTACCACAGAGTTGTCGCGACCTGGTGGCGTTCCGGGCGACGTCCTTCCAGTGAAGATCACAATACAGCACACGAAACCTATCCGAAGCCCAAATGGGATTATTATCACTCTCTATCGGCAAGGGAGGATAGACCTCCACCCGGCAATTCCAGTGGGACATACCGATAAAGGCAAACCGGTATTCGAGGACTATTACCCAAAGTCTCGTACCGGGTTGGGTGGACTCTCTTTCGGGGCCACAAGGTCCAGTAGCGTCTTCCGAAAGGATCTGTCCCAAATTTTTGCCCCGTTGATTGTGGACCCCGCCACCCTGACGGCGACCGTAAAGACATCTATCAGGATCCCAGAGGATACTTTTCCGACTATCACACATGTGCCCGGTGGTATGATAAGTTTCCGATATTATCTCGAGGTGGTAATGGATTTGCGCGGGAAATTGGCTGGCCAAGACCGTTTTATTCCGCGCTTAAATATGATGACGGGCTCAAGCAATTACAACTATAGTCCTAATGGCCAAATACTAACTCTATCGGAAAAAGGGCGTAACCCGATTACGTCTCCTTGGGCAAATAACATCGTTGACACTGACCAAGTGCGACGAGAGAAAAGTGTGGTTGCCTGCATTTTTGAAGTTGTGATAGGCTCGAAGGATTCCGGTAAACGCCAACCTCAAACATCGGATGCGAATCCCACAGGGGACAGTCATCCGGTTACCCCTCAAGCTGTCCAACCTAACGACGCAGCTGAATACGACCAGCAACAGTCTTACGCACACCAATATGATTCCCACGATTATACTTATGAAAACGGTTACGAAAATGATGAAGTCAGCGGTTGGCGAGGCCGTCCTCCAGACAGGCAATCACCATACCCTCCCCGATTTATCCCTCCTGCGCTTCCTGAAGAAGCGGTTGATGAAAAGACCCGACTACGAAGAGCCGAGGAATCACTTCTCCCTAGCAGTCCATCACAAGACGGTGTAGCGGAAAGCGGTCCGTCAACGGCAACCCCGGCATTTGCTCCCTCAGCCCCTATTTTATCTGAAGTAGATAGTCCTTTCGGAAACCCTCCCAGTCGCTTTACTTCGCAATTCCCCAGCCGTGACTCTCCAGCCTCCGCTCCCTCCATCGATACAATAACCTTTGCTCCTCGGTCCAATGTAGGTAATATGTCACCTTCTCCGCCTACATCACCTAGTAGTAGCGACCCCGCGAGAACACGGATTGGCCCGCTGGATGATAAGCAAGAGCTTGAGAGGCAGCGACTTCTCGCCCAGGCAAGTTCGCCGGAACTTGAACAGAGTCACTCCATGGACGCATCTAGTCCTCCAATTGTCTCAGAATGTCGACATGTGCCGTCGGCGCCAATACTTACCGAGGAGGATTTGGCTCGATCACTGACAACTATAGAACTACTCCCTAGGTATCAACGATAACATCTCTTTTACACCATCTTCTATCCATCAGCGCAACCACAGACATTTCCTTCACACTCTACATGTTCCCTAGCATCATTTATGCTACTAGCGTTTTGCGGTCTAATATTCCCGGCCGGCCGCGAAACGGGCTATTTCATACGATTATACACATACTACTTATGATCCGGCTACGTTTAGCGAATTGCATTTCGTCCATTTTTGCTCCTGGTATATAGCGGTGCTTGGGTGACCGGGAAAGGGGTTTTATTAGGTCATTTTTGCTTTCCATTTCCATCTATCTAGTTTCCTATTCTATTTATACGCTTCCTAACTCTGATGACCATGCTGTTTCTTAACCCGTCCTGCCTGGCGGCTTCGTCCGTCGTTTTTAAGGACTTTATTCAAAGAGTACCTTTTCTAGTATTTGATACTAGATATATCCTGCCTCGATTAACTTTAAGCATTCTCTTTGGAAATGTGCTTTCCTGGTGTTTGGGGGGATGGCAGCAGAAAGAATACGGAGTTGGGTGGCTACAAAATGGTGGAGGCGCGAGATATTGTTTGTGTATTGCTCTACTTCTCGCTACCTCTTGTGTTCTTTCTCATCTATATTCAGCTTTGGCCTTTATTACCTCCCGGAGTCCTGCATGAGATACCGAAATACCACCTCGGGTCGCTCTGTGGGATAACAGAGTAGAAGCTACAGTGACCTATTATCATTATAAAAATAATTGTGCTATCCCACCCATGGACTTGGGATTTTGAAATTGCCTCGAGGAACCCGTCCAATAAATTTGTTGTGTTTCTTCGCCTGATCGCAATTCTGATATCTCCCTTCGGGATCTATAGGAGGCATCTACAATAATACTATTCACGGGCCATACTCTATAGAAGTTGTAACATATTCGTCGGGATGACAACTGGATGCGATATACGGAATATATGACCCATAAATCTCGGGGGGGAATCGTGGTCTGGAATCTAAAGGAAGATATAACACACGACCACTGGGTGAAAAATCCATGCCAAGCTTCATATCCTGTCTAATCTACTGGCGATCCACGCTGCAAACGTTGCGAATAAATGTATCTCGCCGTGCCTTTTGCAGAATGATAGAGGGGGCGAGATAGCGATCTTTCGCAGTCGTACCCGTTGCATGCAGCATTTTCGCGAGATATACGGGCCAGAGGTACGGCGGTTGTCTCGCGTCCTCTGGAAGCGGAGTACTTCCTTGCATCGAGCAAGCATAGTACATGCAGTAATCAATGCCAAAGCAGTCGCAAAGTTCATGGCTCGCCGTTCGGCGAACGCAGCCTAGCCAGAGACCTACCAATTGCGTCGTGGTTGGCAGCAGATCGAGAGGGGGGAAAGACTTGTGTGCAAACAACGCGGCGGGTAAGGGAGATGATGTGTCGTCATTGGATGCGATATCTTGGTTTGATGAACTTGAAAACTTAGTTCTCTTTTTGGGCCTTGAAGTGTCAGTACAGGAGGACTTCACAACGTAGTCTTTATAGTGTCACGCTGGTCAGCTTTGTTCACAGTCGACATTATGCTTGCCATCTAGGATCGGGTTATATCTCGAGGCCGAAACCACTGCAACACGGCTTCCACCGTAAGCTCTACCGCAGACAAAGGTATCGTCTGCGCTTTCATAGAAGTTTTGTTTATCAATATTAGTGCGTTCGCATTTTTGAGCAGAATGCTGATTGCAGCATCGAGAAGGTCGTCGAGGTTTTAACTGTCGTTGGAAAATTTCGTCTGGTGCAGCACGTGTTCGAATTCGCACGCATTCTATTTCGATATTAAACCTGGTATACTCGGGTTCCTCCTGTTTAGTTTTGGTCTTTGGACCTCGTCGTGTGCCACCACTTTCCCAGCTTGTAAAAGAGACCGGGATTGGATTTGGCTGTAGTTTGACCGGCGAGCCAAGGTAGAATGTTTCAAGAGAATTCAAAACATCTTCAACCTTTAGAGTTGGAACGGATGTATCGCGCTTGATTTGCGAAGTATCCCATTGATAGATAAATGAGACATCAGGCTGAATATCGGGAGGAGCAGCGACATGAACAACATTCTTCCTAGACGCAGTCTCATTCCTATCCTCTTCACGAAGCCAGGAGTCAAAGCTCTGGTGAGGATAGTCCGCATCTAGGGCAATATCGTCGCCAGGAAGCACCAGTGGTGAAGGAAATGTTGTCATATCCGCGACATTCTCCTTACTCCAGTTTCTCTCTCTCGTCTGGTAGGTAAGTCTAGAGCCGTCCTTGAGGTCTTTCGGTTGTCAAAATGCAAATTTCCGCTCTTCAATGTTAGGGTCTGTGATAGCCTACTTCATCAGCACGGCTAGAAGGAAGTAGCTAAAGCTAGCTATGGGTGCATTGTGTCGAAGAGAGAAATCTCTCTGCATGCGACATTCAATATATAGCAAACTTATCGGCTGTTGACAATTGTCCGTTACGGTTGCCTCATCATCGATAGGCAGGGAACCTCTTAACTTTATTTGGACTAGTTTTAACTCTAAAAGTAACCTTATTCCTCCAGATCTGTCAGGAAATATCAACATTGTCAATATATAGCTTTGAACAGATAACTTAAAGCCCCGGAATTTTGAGAGAAAGATGAAATAGAGGGAGGGATGGTCGATTTCTTTGCTAAGCTTGTATACTCCTCAGCATGCTGTTGTGCTTTTACCCATTCCACAGCCTCAACAGTAAGCTTATGATGATGTTATTTGGATCAAGCTGAAAAGAAACGAGCACCCGTTTAACAAAGAGCTGAAAACGAGATGTCTGAACAAAAAGAGAGTGTAGTGAACTAGAGCCATGATGCATTGAAAGGTAAGAAAAATGAAATCCCTGGCTTGGAGACCTGAATGCTCTTTTTTCCTTTTCTTTTCCATTCTATTCTTCATTTTCTCTCTCTTCTCTCTTTCTCTTTTTTATTGTTATTTTTATTTTATTTTATTTTATTTATTTTATTTTATTTTATTTTATGTTTTTTGGATGTTCGACCCGCCTCCGGCCCAGAGGAAAGTCGAGATATTTGAGCAGTTCTGGAGACTGAATTTGAACTAGGTAATTTGCGGCTTCAGCTTTAAACGTGAGTCTAGTGCAGAAAGAACGATTTCCACATGTCCTAAAACTCTAGATTCACAACAGAGTACGGAGTACCTGGTATGGCTTAAGGATTAGAAATCAGCTAATGTGTGATGTGATTCAGCCAGATGGTTCGATCTGAGGGTCAGCTATAATAATAATAATAGGTAGCTAGAGTTGGTATGCAACTTGTCTCAGTTAATTGGCCTAAGTCCTCACTGTTTTCGAGCGGGGTTTGGCGGAGCTGGATGCTGTTTTGAACATCCACGAAAAGCTTCAAACTAGAGGCCCTTGCGGCTTTCGCAGAGGTCTCAGAGCGGTCCTCCCGCAAGCACATACCGGCATCATTTTGAGTCGTAGGATAACACTGGCAATATGACATCCGAAAAAAAAAAAAAAAAAAAAAAGGCCAATTCGAACTTGCCAAGCTAGTGGCAAAGCAGCTGGCGGGCTGAGCGGTGGATGGGCTGGCTGGCTCGGCTCAAATGTTGCGAGGCTAAATTACGAAATGTGAGATCGAGGAAACGGAGGACACTATTACTTCTTCAGCTCGTTACCTTCAACCACATTCTCAAAAAAGGGGAATGTGAATTTACCTGGGTATAGTGAGATGAAGCTCACCCGTTTTGGAACTCATTGCTACTGCAGAAGATCAGCAGGAGCAGGCCCACAAAATCGTAAAAACATGGATTGAACCGAACCTGCTTTTTGAGTCGGGGCAGGGGCTGGCGAAGCGCGGGGTGCCGAAACTCTCTGGGCAAAGAATTGTGCGGATTCCATGCATATTTTAACTACGTGGAGACTTTCCCCGTTCCGTAGCTCCTAGAGGACCTCTATCTTCATGCCAAATCGCATCTGGATTTCGCAGGTCTCTCAATCCGTGGGCTTGGACACCTTACTTGACAATCAGACCGAACTGTTTCCAAAGCAGCTAGCTGTGTAAGCTAATTACTCAATTCAGGTGAAGGTGATGATCTATCTTGGCTCCTTGCACTGAGTTCAAAAGCGTGTCATCCATCCACTCAATTTTAGATGATGACGCAAGGCTGAAGACCAAATTTGGAGCAACCCAAAGACATGCATGCAGGAGAACCTCTGTGTCCAGGCGAGATCCAAATCGTCTAACAAACCAATTTTGGTTTCCAACTTCACCGGAGCTAAATGGCGCGCAGCAGCATGGATATGAAGTCTTCAGATGTTCATAATTGGTGAATTGGGTCAAGGATAGCCAGCCAGAGTACATTCAGTTTCTCAACTGCAGTGAGAGAGGCGTGTACGTTCCCGCTCTTCCTCCGTCTGTTCAGAGAACGGATCAATTGGAGCTATGAGAAGCTAGTAACTCTATCATCCGCAGAGAGGCTGGCGAAGGATCCCTCAAAATGGCACCCCGATAAGCCACCACAGCGTAACAATTGTGCTGGGGACGCAGTTGCGTTGGGCTTTAACAAATGTACCGGGGCCTTGCTCATGCGCTTCCAAGGCATCACGGAAAGCTCAGATCTTATCTTACTCCCCCAAGCGGGGGTCTTTTTATCAAAGATGAGCATTGAGTGCCTATCCCCGGCATACCCCAGCAGTTCCCTTCCTTCGATGTGGATTGATTCCACCATCATTGGCTGCTCCCGTTTGTGTGTTCAAAATTGAGGCAAACTTAAATGCGGCGTGGGATGTAGTACAAAAGAACGGTTCTCTTTTCGGGTCCCATATCTGGTACGTTCTACTCTACATCGGCAAGATATATATTTTACCCAGTTTCCTAAGCCATAAGTAACCCATGGAAAACTCATCTATGCTTCGCCAAATATTCGGAGGTCCCTCCAGAAGTTCTTCCCTTTCAAACCTTTCATCACCCACATCCAGAGACATTGGCACTCCAAGCAACATGGCCGGAACTAATTACAAACCACCCGAATACCTCAGCAAACGCCCCTATGAGTACTACGCAATTACAGGCATCAAAGCCGGTACCGTACCCGAGAAGAAGAAAGCTCCAATCCGTCAAGAAATCGACGAATGGAGCAACAACAAGGCAAATGCGGATCAAGTGGACTTGTTTGTCATGGCATGGCGCAATTTGATGAATATGTCACCAAGAGAGCGAGGTTCCTTCTTTCAAGTCGCTGGTAAGTGTTCAATGTTAACAGTGCTTGTGAACTTTGTAATTATTAACATTCTTCAAGGTATCCATGGCCAACCTTACGTTCCATACGATGAGCCAGACACCAACATGGAAGATACCAAAGATAAGGGTTATTGCACTCATAACAATATTCTTTTCCCAATATGGCATCGCCCGTATCTTGTGTTGTTGGAGGTATGTCCTGCCCTGATCCGGCCCTCTTGCTTCAGAGAGATTCTCGGCTCTGAAAAACTAACATGAGAACCATAGCAACTCCTTTACGAGAACATGATCACGGAGATCATCCCTAAGTTTTCAAAGGACAGGCAAGCTGAGCTAAAGGAAGCAGCAGATTCGTGGAGGCTTCCATTTTGGGATTGGGCCACCAACCATAGAGTGCCGTTTCTCGCCAAGTACCCGACTACTACGATTCCAACCCCCAATGGCAAAAGAGAGAGAGTGGACAACCCTCTATATCAGTTTAAAATGTCAACAAACGAGCCCTTTTTGTCCGAAGGCGTGGGCCAAGTCTTCGACCCTTGGGCCGGTGAAGATGGCAAGGGGATGTATTTTAATGTATGTGCACCCTAAATCTCCTGCTGAGGGGCCTAGCTAATTGTACGAATAGTTCGGTCCTTGTATCGGAACGAGTAGAAGTCCAGATATTGAAGACAGTCAGAACCCCGAGTCGGAAACGTGGAAAAACGGTGTGGTCAACAATAACCAGGTCGGTATCGCACTTAAGAGCCCCGGGTGGATGGGCGGAGGGAAATACGGAGCTGCTTCCGAAATGGTGTACCGTTTGCTCACACATCCATTGGATTACCCATCTTTCGCTACCACTTTCCGTGCTAAAGGGCAAGATGACATCAGCAAGGATATCAACCTAGAATATATCCATAACAATGTCCATGGCTGGGTGGGAGGGAATTTTACTGGACATATGTCTGAAATTCCTGTGGCGACATTTGACCCTCTTTTCTGGCTTCACCATTGGTAAGCTGCGCCTTATTCTAAGTTTAAAATAGTGTGCATTCGTAACTAACACCCCTCGAGCAACATTGATCGCATGTGGGCTATCTGGCAGGCTTTGAACCCAGATAAATGGTTTGAAACCGCCGACAAGAATACGTTCTTCCAAGAGGCCATCGGACTTGCGGACACCATTACTCCACAAACTAAGCTTCGCCCCTTCCATTCAGACAAGAAGGGCACTTGCTGGACCCCTGAGGGCGCCAGAGACGTTTTAAACTTCGGCTATACCTATCCCGAATTGCAAACATGGGACTCCAAATACAATTCTGGAGGCACATATAACAGGGAGCTACATGTGACTGACATCAGGAAAACCATAAACGAAAAGTACGGAGCTTCACGGACGGAATTGTTGGAGAATCCTGCCCTCGGTGACAAAACAGATGACGGGGTTAAATCAAATGACTTCGCATTTAGCGTCCGTTACAAGAAGTAGGTTCATACTGCCTCCTCTGATAGAGCCTTGGCTAATAACATATAGATACGCACTGGGTGGAAACCCGTTTAAGATCAAGATATACCTCGCTCCAGGAGACGGGAAGCCAAGAACCCCTGAAAGCGACTATGTTACTGAAGTTTACAATTTCAGTTTCCCGGCGATCATTGGTGGGAAGGAAGTCTGTAGTAACTGCACCTCCGTAGAAGCAACTGAATCGAAGGCCACATCATATCTTTCGATCACATACGTGCTCGTTCAGTGTGTTAAGAGGGGGATTTTGGCCTCTTTGGAAGAAGCCGTTGTCACTAAATTTCTGCAAAAGAATTTGTATTGGAGACTTTACCAGGTTGGTTCTTATCAGCTTCATACCCCTTCACCGAAATGCTAACCGGCCAATAGCGTGGAAGGGAACTAGACAGGTTCGCTATGGAAAAGATCGAGCTTGAAGTTCTTGGCTCCTTTAATAACGCTCAACACCACAAAGACGCAACCATTCTGTCCGGATTCGAAGGTTTCCGCGATATTCCATCCCTGGCAGGTGGCCCTGACGGAGCTCTTGATCCAAAGCTGAAGCAGAAGCCAAAGCCTCTACCAACCAACCCGTATGTTTCATTCCCGGAGTCATGATAATGAGCACTCCTTACTAACCTTTCTTAGGCCCGCTCCTCCATCGGCAGGGCTCCATAAAAATAGCTCGCTTGACCTTAAAGTGGACTTCACTACTGACGGCGTGATAATTCTCGACTCTACCTCGGTCGATTTGAACCAGATTCAGACCGACACCATTGACAATACTCAGGTGGCCTTCAGGAATGGGAACGATATCATGTTCTTGATTTCCTTCCGTCGGGCGGAGGGTCAAATCGTATTTAATACCAACTTCGGAGGAAAATGGGGTTCAGAGGAGAGAGTCAATCTCGCTGGCAAGCTGAAAAACCGTCAGGCGGCAATTATGGTGCACGATCAAGGCGAAGGTTTCGAGGTCAGCATTGACTTCGTCCACGTAGCTTGGTTCAACAAGAGAGATAAGAGGCCCGTTAAGAGCTTGCGGTATTCGGTGAACAAGAATCAGAAACCGGTCCTGAGTGAGGTCCTAAAGGTGTCGGTGTATCCTTCGATGAAGAAGGTGTTCTCCCGTTAAACTTGGGCGATTTGCGGATGTCCTGCGCCGAGACCATTGTGTTCTTTTCTTGGCTGTACAATGTGTGGTTCGCGCGTCTAAAGCTTGGAATTTGAAACATGATAGCGCAGCACCAATCTCTCTATTGTAGCGCGATCGTATACTGTGTAGTTTGCAATTGAAATTAAGTTTCAACTTTAAATTTAAGCTTGTTTCCTGTTCGATGCACGGACCACTGAGCAGTGGAATGCACCACCCACCATTAGAAATCATGCAAAGAACCATAGATAGCATCGCGAGTTAACCATGTAGATGTACCTATTTGGTATTTGGATGTGAAATATTCTGCAAGGGGAGTTCGATTGATTTATGTGTCACAGTTAGACGATGTCACGCAAGATCCTAGAACAGTTCGCAGAAGCTGGGGCCGCAACATTGTGTTCAAAAGATATTGTCAAACAGAATCTTCTTCGTATGTATGTACTCCGTACAGTAGAGTAGAGCTGGAGAGGCGGATAATAGGCCTTCAGATTTGTAACGTGACAGGGGTCGATATTTCATGTCTACCAGAGCTCAGTTGACCTCAGTATTCCATTTTCGCTGGGTCAATCCAAAGGAAGCTTTCTAGAAGAGATGTAAAATATTTTTAACTTAAAATTAATATTTCTCAATGTCAGTAGAGTAGTGTTAAGCTTCATCTTAAGGTAACTATGTCCCCGCGCCAAGACGTCTGGCTTATTAATCATGGTTTAGTGTAGGTTACTTTGGGTTAGGGGCTGGAGTAGGAGGACCTCTAACAGTTTATAATTGAAGAAGAAGAAGAAGAAGCATAATAATAATATTTAATATTTAAAGTTACTTAAAATAATTAAACAAATAAATATTAGATTATAAATATTAATTTTATTTAATGAATATAATTAGAACTAGATTGTAATCAGACTATTATATATAGTATCACGATCTCCAGCATGTACAGTACATGTATCTGTGACCAGGATCAACCAATGATATTTTAGTCCTGGTTCCAGACATGGTCACACAGCCAGTCAGTCTAGTCGTACTGTGCAATATCAAGTCATGCTCTAGCATATGTGATGATTAGAAATTTTCATTTTCATTTTCTAATCATGTTCAACTAACTAGAACCCGCCTGATGTAGTGATTGATGCCTTTAGGGCTGCTGGGTTCGGGAAAATGCCCAGGTCGCAACGCTAGAGGTTTGCCCGGACATCATTAACGCGCCATCCACACGATCTACCACTTCTCACTACGCTTCTCCCTCCTTCAGTAGATTTCAGATTGCTGAGCAGCTTACACTGACCACGTGTCCTGGGTTGCTGTCCGGCTCCCCTCCATCCACTTATCGCGGCCCACCAACAACGAACCTGAAGCTATCAGCCTGAGCATTTCAAGGCCTCGATTTCGCAATCGCCATAGTCAGGGGGTAGAGGATCGATACATATCGGTAAGCTATCTTGCTGTTGGAATATCCCAAAGTACAACAGTTGGATCGCGCGTTCGCCCAAGAATAGAATGCTAACTTTTCTCTTTGTCTGAACTTCAGCCTCGACCCACGAATAACTCAGCGCTGTTCTAGAAATCCAATTGAGACAGCATTCACTTCCACACACACACATACCAAGCCGAGACAAGACAGATATAAAGATGCCTTCGAGTGCTGGGTCCTTCGTGACCTTCCTTATTGTCTGCCGTAAGTCTGAAAATCACCGCGCCTCCGCCCAAGGATCCAGCGTCGAACGAGAACCCCCATATGCCAACCGCAATTGGCATCATAATTCAAGCACAAGCGGGGGCGCATTGAGCGACGAATTTGGAAAATCAACATGAACAAAACAAAACAACTTTCATGGCTGATGACTGATTACTCTTCTTATTATTAAAACAGCCACCTCCTTCTTCCTCGGCATAATCTTCTCCATGTTTCCCTACGACTACCCGATCTTATGGTCCACCAAACCAACGCCTAGCGATTACTACACGTTCCTAGAAACCCACCTGAAATTCATGCACGCCTCCCCGCCCCTCATCCCGCGCATCCTCCACATCGTCATGTTCCTCGGCCTCGCCGGCCTCATCGCGAAACTCTACAAGCCCTCTGAATCCAACATGCTCTTCGACGGCGCCAGCCTCGTCTTATACATGTGCGGCGTCATCGTTTATATCGCTAATGTCGTCAAGGGCCTGCGCATCGTCTCCTCGGGTGAATATGGCGTCCCTTATATGGACGATGAGCCAGACCAGGTTCTCGGCCGTGAAGACAGCTTGAAGGTCATGGCGGCGAGTAATACCATTCTGGCGCTGGTTTTGGTTGGCGTTTTGGTCTTGCAGGCGGGGCAGTGGTATGCGGAGCGCAAGGAGCAGCAGGATGCGGATGCTTTGAGCAAGAAGGAGAACGAGGCGAAGAAGGAGCCGCCGAAGGTCGCGAGGCAAGGTAGTAGTAGTGCGTCATCGAAGAAGAAGCAGTGATTTTTTTTTTTTTTTGTTTTTTTGTTCGTTTTTCTTTGATTTACGGGAGTATTGTTCATGCGAACGAATTAGCATATTTGTTACTGGTTAACTTCGTGTGGCTGTGTTCTTCTTATCCTGATGCTTTTTCTTTTCCACTACCTACAATATTTTTCAGGAAACCATTAAATTTTCGTGTAACGGTTATTACAACAACTATTGGGTAGTAAAGGGTAGGATCTATTTCAATTAAGGAATATACACTGTCCATTTTAGATTCCCGTGGACTTCGCGTTTGGCCATGGTAAGAGCATCTTCGATGCTATCCACAAATGTGCAGGAGCCAGCGTGAGGAATAAATATCCCAAAGATACACAGGCAAGAAATGGACGTCAATGTAGCATTTCTACTCGGTATTTAAAACTCGGCGGCCAATAGGGGGAAATGATGATGAACAACCCCCCAGTAAATTCAACGGCGCACGCGAGGAACAAACATAGAGACATCCGTAGTGCTGAAGAGTGACAGACAAAATAGTAAAGATAATGATAATAGTACTAAATAATAGCTAGATAACGGTGAATTTGCTGTTCGCAAAAAGGAGGTAGTCGTCAGGCATAAAAGCATCATCGTCTATGTAGTCAGGAAGCAGCTAGGCTGACAATGCGAGCAGTAACAAGGAGGGCTTCGTGCATGTGTGCGTTTGCCAATGTTTTCTAACCCAAAATAACGGTTAAATCAGTTTACTTCTCCCTTGTTCCATTTCGGGTTTAGAAGTGCGGATGGAAAGTACATGGAGGTACGGTGAGATTCACTTTTTTTTTTTTTTTTTAAAGGATCCGAACAAATCGTTTACTTTAAATTTTCATGATTCGTTTAATTTCTTTTTCGCGTAGGGTATAGTTTCTTCGGGGGAGAATGAGAATGGGCTTCGAGGGATATCTGGAGAACGCGGACTAAGCGCTTTCGCGAATAACCCGTCATCCGTGTTTTGATCACTTGTCGTGGTGGCCAGACTGGCAAATCCCCCTTCTGATAGTTGCCGCTGCTGTTGTGCTTGTATTGAAGCGGGCGGGAGGTGGGCTACAGCATGACGAACGGGAGATTTCGCCGGATCTGAAATGGGTGTATGACGGAACGAATTGAACGAGGATATTGCCACATCTGGCCCTTCTGGAGAAAGGGGATGGGACTCTAAATCTTCAGCTTGGTTTGCTAAAAAAATTAAAATTGTAAGGAGTCAGTACGTCAGGGTCAGGTCAAGAGTAGGAGTATGCCGAACAAGTAGCTAGCGTTTACCTAGTGGAGGCTTCCGGGTGAGATCCTTCTCACTCGTCCCCAATTTTAGGCCCTTCAATTTTTCACTAAGCTTCCTCCCGCCGCCGGGAGATAGGGGCGTAGTAGGACTAAGAGGGACAGAATTCAAGGACGTCACGTTTGTCGTTTGGAGGGGTGCTAGACGTTGGCCAACGCCAAAGTTTGTTTCTATCCACTCTTTCTCTTGAAGGGCCATCTCCAAGGCCACGCCCTCAAGATTGTATCTTGATTCTTCTTTGATCTCCTTCTCCAGAGCCTGCAGTCTCTTCTTGGCCCATATTGTGTGCAACACTCCTTTCTTGCCAGCAGCTCTAGCAGTAGCCCCTAGCTCAGGCGGGAAGATGGCAGGTAGCGGATTCACCTCCACGGAATCGGGTTTTTTAACCGTTGCAGCAGAACTTGGCGGTGGCTCGTAGGCTAGAGTAACGACAGGAGGAATAGTGGTGCCGGGAGGGAGTAAAAAATAGCATCGTCGGACATGATCCGATGTCTGTTCATCTGCAGGGAAAACCGTTTGCTTCCCATCCCAAGAAACATGCCATGTGCCGGCAGACCGTGTGAGGTCATCATCCTCCCATTCCACCATCAAAATCTTCGTACCCTCATTCCCTTTGCCTGCCTCAAACTCAAACCGTGCCAGCGCAGTTATCGAGAGCAATCTAGTCGGGACGCGCGGAGTCTCCAGCGCTGCAGAATCGCTGTGCGGAGTGAATTGCTGAGCCATAATTCACACCCCTCCAACCTCGATCAGGTTACGAAACCAAAAGGAAAGGGCAGGCAAGGGCAGGAGATTAAGGACAGACAATGGAACACAGGCAAAGTAATCAAGGCACTACTAACTAGCTAGAAAACGGCACACGCGAAACCTCAAATGTCTTTGGGCAAATGTTCCTCGCAGCGGACTGGTTTTTTTGGTTGCCAAAGCCAGAGAGCAAAGAAGAGGGACGGCGAAATCACGGGACAAAACCTTCACAGCCCCCAAAACAACGCCCAGGACAGCGACAGCGAGGGAATAACTGGATGGGATGGCTTGCAAGACTCAAGGCTAGGCGACTGGCGTTCTTCTCCCCGCGGCCGCTAAATCGTCTAAATCGTTAGTGACAATGAGCCTGTTTTCCTTGCTATTGTTGTCTGAAACAACTTCCATCGGCGCTTCTGGAAGCCTGCATGTTTCGGTCTCCGTTTCAACCAATAATGCCATTGGATCTCACAGCATCATCACCCAAAATTTGGCTTCCCAAAATTCCAACAGACCTCGGTGTTGATTTATCATACCCTCCTCCAATGTTAACATAATTGTTATGAAGTTCGCGAAACAGCCATGACTATACTGCAACTCTTTCTGGGTTCTCTGGCGCTGAGCGGGGGAAATTGGCTTAGTCGGATAACGCTATCTGAAAAGTCTCGTCGTTCTAAATGATACGATGGATGACATGTTTGGAATGGTAATGTTCTGTTCTCACGGCGCACAAAACTACAGTGGACCGAGTTTTGCACGGAGGCAAGCTACAGAGGAATGGAAATGCGCTTATTTAAATCTTGAATTCTTGTTATTCTCGCAGATAGAGACAATATATGCGACCCAAAATACGAGCATGCGGATGTGAACGAAGAATGCGCACGAATGTAAGCTGATAAGCCCGGAAATTTTGCGGAGAAATTTATTCTAACATTGGGGTTTTTAATAAAATGGGGCTTATATTATATTTCTATTACTACGCTGACTGATATGTATGCTAAGTCAGGAATTGCCAGTGGAAATTTGAAATATTCCTGATGAGCCAAGATACTCCGAGTATCTACCAAGTTGTTCCGCAACCCATGCTAATGCTCTGATTGATTGAAGGCTCCGAACACAAGCACACAATAACCTTATGGGTAAAGCTAATATAACCAAGGTATCAAGAATTTCTCGCGCTTTATATATACGCCGTCACCCCTTACGATAACCTCGAAGATGCCGCTGACAAACACATTCATCAGCCATATAATGTGCTTTGTTCCATCTGTTTAGTCAATGCTCAACACTTAGGCCTAACTAATATAATGTACCGTATTTACGTACTGTACATACAATGAGCAACAGCTGGGCTACTTGCTGTACACATCATTCCCGGCCACCGTTTGATGCTGGCACTGAATAAGACGACGCTGGGGTTGCCTTCTGTGCTTGTGGGACTAGGTGCTTTTTACCTCCCTTTATTTCTACCTTGCCATTCAGGCTCTCAGCAGAAAATACTGCAAAGCTTCAGAATGAATGTCTAACAAATAAGGCCCAGTCGTCCCCCGCTCACGCCGAAAATATTGTTTACCACGGAGGACATAATAACGATTACCACGGCTAGAGTGTTTAAACCCCAGACATCTTCAAGGCCATAGAGGACCCTTTCCACCCAATCAAAAATAAACGGAGAGCAGCTGGCCAGTGGACACCGTCCTGCTTAACCGATTGGCTGTGTAAAGCCATCTGGAATTTGCTATTTTAAGCGCTCTCATGGACATATTTTGGTCCTACTGTACCTACCCCTCCCTCCCCTCCCCTCACTGCCACTCTCCCACTCTCTTAAAAAATCCTGCAAGAAATCCCGGGACCTCCAATCCCCATGCTCCCTGAGTGTCGATCCGTCCTGTTCCTGCACGGCACCCTGTGATTCGACATGCTGGATAAAACCAATCGCAAATCTGCAATTCTTAAGGAGCGTCTCCCCCCTCCCCCGGCAGGAGCCAAAAGCCCAGCCACTCAGCCATGCAGATCCTCGAGTCTGGTCTGCAGCGACAAGCCCATTCTCATTCGTCATGCCCCCCCTCAAAAACCAACATCTTCCAAAAAAATCAAGGCGGATGACTGGCGGGTAGTCTCTTGGCGGGGTTGATCGCGTTGCTTTTTTGGGTCACGACTGACTGTTGTGCAGGCAGCCAATGGGAGGGGGGGAGGCGGGGGGATTAATGTTTTCGCACAGGGCCTGGTTTTTAAGCGACCACTAAATAGTTAGTGCCGTCACTCGGATCTTGGTTGTTGGTTTAGATCTGGGCTTGTGGCTTGTGAGTCGGGAGGGCGTTTCGGGACAGAAGGCGGATGAGGGAAGGATGAAGGCCGACAAGAAAGAAAGTATGTTGAGGACGGGATAGAGGTAGTTAGTTAACCATGTGACGGAAGGGGATTGCCCGGCTAATTGTATGTGAGGAGAAAGTTCTATGATCCGTTTGGTGATGCTTGTACGCTCGCAATTACTACGTTAACTACTAGGGACGCTGAAGCTCACATAGATTGACTGTTGAAGAGCTAAAGATAGATTGTCGGATATATTCAGGCAGGCGGCAGCACCGACCCGTTCGCGCGTGCTGGAAAGCATGAGCTATGTATGTGTATATATACGGTTAACTGATAAACAGACGCGGAACAAAAACGAAATATAAAAAATAAAAAATAAAAATAGGTATATGTACGTAATATGCAAAAGTATAGATATCCCTGGACTGATCATGACAGGTACATGTAGGTAGTATGTTATAACCGTATAAATAAAAGAAGAGCGCCAAATACAAAGGAAATACCGTAGTGGGTAGTGTAGGACGTCGGAAACACAAAAAATAGGGCGTCGGGGCAGAGGGGGAAAACAAATAACCATACAGATACAGCCCGTTCCCTCAACATCCTGGCTGGATCTTTGGAATGTTATATGTAAAATGGGAGCAAACCAACCAACCAACCCTGGGGGACCAAACCAAAACCCCCGTATCATAATGAACAGAACCAATCGTAACATATTCCACGCACGCGCCAAACCGGAACACCGGGCCACATATATGTATATATATCCATAAAACTCCAAGCTGGAGGGTAGAAGACATCAAAGAAAAGTGGGAGAAAAGAAGGATGGATGGTCGGTTCAGCACATAGATAAATGCTGGAATTTAGTAAGCTGGCGGGAAGGTACGATTGTTCGTCGTACTGGAACAAGTTCCTCCAGAGTGGGAGTGATGATGAGGAACGTGCCCGTCGCGGGGATAGCTCATGTCACTTTGCGGTATGGGCGAGCCACTCCTTTGCAGCCGCAGTGCAGTGTGCATTAATACACTAAAGCCGTAAGAGGGTATCGTCGCTGGTATAGCCAAGCAAAGCCCCCCTCAAGGCATTGAATGGGCCTAGATATGACGGAGAGGTAATAGGATGGGATTAGTAGGTGCCATGTCGGTAGAGACAATGGATGGTGGAAGGTTGGAGTGATGTCGAATGAGGGAGGAATATAGGTATGAATAGACTGAGAAAAGCTTGGGCTCTTTTCCAGTCGTTCATTCATTGGTCTTCCTTCGTTTGCCTTTGGGCGCTGGATCCAGTGGGGTGCGCTTGTAGGTTACTGTGCGGGTGACAACATGTCGAACGCAAACAGACCGTCCAGATGCGCTTCGAGAAGGTTCGAAATACCGAGCGCCTGGCGAGACGCACCAGTCTGATGGGGAAAATTGCGACCGTGCTGATGTGCAAGAAGCGCTTTTGGGAGACGAAGCGCTCAAGGGTGAGCGCATACTTGGGGATGGCGGTATTCTTAGTGCGCGCAAGGATTTGGGAGTCCTGGCGGATCTTGGGTGAGCAAATGGAGATGGCGGTGGTATGGAGACAGCTGGTGACTTGTGAGGCTTGTGGCTGTCGCAGGAACAGAAGAACGTGCTGCTAGCAGTTGAAGGTTGAGTGGTTGGGGACGAGTGTCCTGAGCTCCGTTCAGATAGTATAGAAGAGCCAGTTCTCATCGGACTTGTCAAGACAGGAGTGACTGACTTGAGGAAGTCTGCATAGGCCACAGGGGGTGTGATAGGTGTTTTCTGCAGAGCATCCTCTTGTTTGAGACACTCCAGCTTTCCCATGAGTTGCACGGGGCTCTGATGAAGTTCAGAGGGGAAGGTTGGAGACTTTGATGTAGAGATGGGAGGCAGGACGGGCTTCGAAGAGGGAGGCATGGTGAACGGCAATGATTGTAACTAACTGTCCGTAATAAAAAAAAAAAGTAGGCGGCCGATACAACAAGTGAATGTCTCGGGCACGAAGAAAGTACAAATCAATGGCCACACCAGAGGGTTGGGAGGTCAAGAAGCCTTGGGGAGCGAGACCGAAGAAAGAAAGCAAGTAACAAGTGCGGGCGGTAGCGAGCTTTAATACAAGAATGCTGGAGAACGACTGAGAGGAGGAAAACACACATAAAACACGCTGTATGGGACGAATTTAGGAATTGGAAAAGCAAATAACTTTCCCTGGAAGCCGAACAGGGTACTTCAACCCTTGTGTGTTGCTCTTCTTCTGGGTTTGGAGGGTGGAGGGAGGGAACCAGGCGTGAGGATGATATGACGCTTGTCTGGTGCCAGCTGGGGGGTCGGCGCGTAAATCTGACCAGTAGCAGCTCGGCGGTTTCAGCAGCACACTCCAAGGGCCAAGTTTAGCAGCAACTAGCATGCAAAGAGCCTAACCACGGGGTAGCGCAAGCCCTAGCACAGCCAAGGCCCAGCGGCGGCGGACTGGCAATGCGGCGCAGTGATTGGATGGAGGCGCCTGCAATTGACCACACAACCGTGATCACACTTTCGGTCATGCAGTTGGGGCGATTGCGGTGGTGGTGACGGCTTGTTGCTCCCAGGAGTCCCAGCTGCAGCAGGTTGACGTGGGCTTGGGGAAGAGAGTTAGGGCACTAGACAGCAATTATTAGCCCCCAATAATATTCACACTTCTGCTTTCACGATAGGCTAGGATTTTGAGCCCCATGTTCGTTCAGACGTACCAATTTCAGGCGACAATAGGGTGGGTGGTGGGTGTCCCGGGATGTCGACAACTGCCCTTGACAATGGAACGAAGTCACAGAGGCTCGAGGCACTGAAACGGGGGGTAAAGTAAGTAAGAAATTTCGGCCACCGGATGCAATGGCGATCAAACATCTGAATGAACTTCCCAGGCTCTCTCTCTGGGCTGGAGACCTTCTTTTATATCATGCTCAGCCTGTAAAGGTCGACTTCACCGCCCTTGATCCACCACTGTAACCGCCTGCTATGTGTATGCTTATGGTTAACCTCCCGCACAGCCTGGGGTATAAACTGGCCCTGTGTTAAACAAAGATAAATAAATAAACAAGTAAAAAAAACGGGATCAAAGTCAACTCGGCAAACCCATGACGGCCAATTGACCATCCAGCGGGAATCTTTTGTGCCACAGGGTGTAGTAGCAGCAAAACAGCAACTCCAAGCTTCGCTCCCTGGTTCGTGCCCGAAGCTTTGCTGTCCAGCGCGTGCTTAGGTTGTGTTGTTCAACCCGGGCGGCTCGACCAGCAACTCAGCGGTAAAAACTCCCTGCAGGCTTTTCCAGCAAATCCCAAGCTCCAAAATCAAGCGGTTCACAGCACGCCAACTACCCACTTCGGGGTTCTGGCGCCTGCTGTTGGCTGCGTCGCCTTTGCCCCCCCGTAAATGACATCCTGTGCAGAGTAATGATATGCCGTTCCTCCTGGTCCGTTTTTTTGTCGCGCTCCTCGCCGTAACTGGTGATTCGGCAACTTATTGTCAACGAGTTATATCGAGAGTATTTACCGATCTTTATACCTGGCATCTCCCTCTCCAAGAGCCCACAGCGCCAGCAGTTGTTATGCATATTCTACCCCAGTCCTCTGGAAATCCTACGACGACCTTTTCACTGGCCAATTCCCCCTTCTGCGCGACAGCCATGCATAATGTCCTGTATGAAATTAAACATAGCATAGTACAGATATCCGCCGAGCCATCCACAAATGCTTGATTTGTTCTTTCCATCCGCTTGGCCATGCGATATCCCATTTCTGACGGCTAGAACGAAGTTTCATGTCTAACAAAACGACCAGAAGGGTTTAGTATTGGCCGGGGGAGGCTTGTTCTATGCTCGAATGAAGCAATCTCGTCTGGCTTCACCGCCATGCCATGGTAAGTTAGGTGGTTATTGCGAAAGTCGGTCGGCAACTGTCCTCTGTGCTGCTGGAAACAGTCTTTGGCTGGCGGCCATGGCTTTCCTTGATCCTCGTCCAGCCACAGAAACTAAAATGGTTGGTTTCTATTCTGGGCTGATTTAGGATGAAACAAGCCCGTTTCCCTTGAACCAGTCACAGTCCGAAACACCCCTTTTTGCGTGCAGGATTGTTCTGCACGTCTTACTTGGTTTCAAGAGCTCGAAATAGAAATCTGAAACGGGTTCTACGCTGCGTAGATCCGTTTCATATTATCGGAAACGCTCCTGAATCAACCCCCTAATTTTATACCTGCGTTGATTGGACGAGCAGCAGTATCAGTCCGCTCTTCAGGTGATAACCGCCATTTTGGGCGGGGGTAGAACTGTTTCTTGGTTTCTATTTCGAGCGACGAAGGATATTCAAATCACAAACCAGCCAGAGCGAGATTAGGCATTGCCTCATTTCATCTCCCAAATTTGGTATTTTCAGCAAATTCGAAGCGCAGCTCTCTTGTGCGAATTGTCGTAGTCGCTATGGATTCCCCGGCGTTATTTAGCATATCTCTTTCTGCTAAACTTTAGCAACCACGCTGTCTAACAAGGGGCGGTTAAGATATTTTCTTCCATTCGCGCAGTTGCGCTCTCCGCCACTCTACTGACAGGCTGTGGACGGGCGGGAGTGAACAAAGTTGTTTCGTTGTGCTTTAGGCACCGCAACTAGACCGCAATTAGCAAAGGTGAAAATATGCCTAGAAAGTAATTCCGTGCGCTGGCGAAGTTGTCCACAGTCTCTTCTTAGCCCTTAGTCACCCACCCTTGAGATCTCCCAACTACCACATGCTGCTTCTTGTTTTTATTGCCATCGCCGTCATCAACAACGCCTCTTCTTGTCCATCATCACCAGCACAGGCATAGAGGTGGTAAATACAAGAGCACAGCAGAATCCAAGATGGCAAGTATGTGTTCTCGTTTCTCTTTTCTCGTTTTAATTGAGATGTAAGGCACCTGCGAGTGCTCCAAATGCTCACCTTTTATGACTTCTCAAATAGCAACAGGGCCGTGGAACTCAGTGGAGTCGACGAGGCAGGTTGAGACTGCTACAGCTGGGAGGGTCATGTCTAGTGAGATTCATCCTGAAGACGAATGAATTTAACGAACAACTGCATCGTAAAGCGGCTGTGGTCGGCTTATCGCAACCCTTCCGTACTTACTTGATGACGGCGTGGTCTGCTTTCAGATAGACAAATAATGGAAATGGATTCATAGTCATCAAGCTTGAGCTTGACACAGTATATAACTGTCATCATCATCATCATCATCATCATCATCATCGTCGTCGTCGTCGTCGTCGTCGTCCGGTACCCTCCCCAGATTCCGTGTTAAAACGCATTGAGTGCTGTCTCGTTCACCGCTCCATATTATATGCAACGAACACGTAAATGAAGCCTATTTCAGGATGCAAATGGGATATACCAGTTCAGCATTGCCTTTTGATCTAACTATCAGGCTCATCCCTATCTTTCATTTTACTGCCGGCTAATAATGGCGTGGAATCGGATGGCGACGCCCGGGAAGCGGGATCCAGAGATGCTGAACTGGGGACGCTACAAGTCATCTTAATACCCAGGCGGAAATATATGTCAAAGCACTAGATGTTCTGAACCTCACAAGTGTGCGCAACTTCTACTTCTCTTGACCTAGGCATTGAGAAATACGTATCCTCTGCCGCTCTGTTGACCCTGCTCAACGTCTGCTAGCCACAAGCCCGCCCATCACTCTGGATACTAGGTCAATTTTGATGGGAGTACGGACTACTCGCTGAACGGAGGATGTCGATCAAATATAGGGTTGAATATGGAGAGAAAATGGCACCAACAAACCGGAACACAATTGAGATGGGCGCCAATGAGGGACGAGCGGGACTAAGATAAAAACATTGACAGTTCGTGTTCGCCTCATACCATATCCTCTCATATATAATTACAATTTCCAGCACCAGCACTACCACCATTCTTGTGGAATGGAAGTATTTGTGTGCAATCTCTCGGCCTCAAACGAGTCTATCAGACAACCCAGGATCAGGTTTCCGGTGAGTGAAAGAGAAAGGCGGAAACAAGCGTGGGAAAAATGGCCCCAAATATATCAACGTATCGCATCTTTGTAAATATCACATCATATGATATCCGCGAAAAGAAGAAAAAGTGAAAGGAAAGGAAACAACGCATATAATTCCAGTAATACATAATGCTGACCGAAAAAAAAAACTTCTTTGGGCAACAAGCTAGGGGCAAGTATGAAGCGGCGGTGGAATTGGCGGGAGATATCAATCACACAGCTCACGCGAGACAAGCGCATATACACGGCCCTGCAAGCATAGAAACCGCACCTCATCCATTAATAAGATGGCCATAGTGCCATGTGATGTTGTAATTCCATACACACACAGAGCGCTTTCTACCCAACTCGCAGAGCAAGCGAAAGAACCCAGCGGCGGCCGAATCAAACACCAACTCCAATGCCCAAAACTTGCTCACAATCTCTCCTCTCGTCATTCAAAAGAGAAAAAAAAAAAAAAGAAAGATAAAATGTATCCCGTCATCGACATTCCCTTCCCATCGCCCTCAATTAAGAGGACCCGTAATATCAACGGGAAAGAAACTTCCTATCAAGGACTGCAATAGATCATTCTCCAGAACCACTGAAACCCGCCCTTTTATTAGGGGGGTCTCATGGCAACACGTCGCTGTGGGATGCGATTTTTGGTCTAAAAACGACGGTCGTGGCTGGTTCTGTTTACTTTTTGATGGAGAGAGAAAAGAGAAGGAAAAGAAATCAACATCTCGGATGGGAAGTTGGATGGTTTTGTAGCAAAAACTGTGGGTCAGGTGACTAAACTACCCAATGGGGCATGGAGACGGAATTATGTCTATCCGGAGATCATGTGATATGCCGTGCCGAACAGATCCGGTTCATTATTCTCTTTGCTCGACTGCTTTGTATATTCACTTCTGATTTCATTTCTTGCTCTTCTTTTGTATATTTTTTAGGCGTGAATTAAGTATTAAGATTTCATTTTGGCCTTTGTCTTTCACTTATGTATTATAATGAGAGATTGCCTGGTGCTTTGAGCATCGAATCGCTTCCATGGACGCCGGGGATGCATGTATGAGGAACAACAATATGAAGAATTCCCCCTTCTAGGGAATTTAGTCACTTGCTCGCTTTCCCTTGATATATGCAGAAAAAAAGACAAACGGAAAGAAAAGCAAGGAAAGACAAATAAGAAAATGAACGAGGGAAAAGAATGAGGAAGGAAAAATAACGCCTGTGTCCCAAATATCATATCCCAATTAACACCTTGGAGCCGCGTTGCAGTGTGCCATTGATCATCTTTGTCTGCCAATTCTCTTTGTTACGGAGACGTATCTAACAGCCGCGGCTTCATTGGAATCGAGCACGACGACGAGGTATGTCTATTTAATATTAAGCCGACGGCGCAAAACAGGAATCAAGAACGAGTGTGGTTGGAAAAGCACGTGGCGCATTCATCATGAAATGCGGTCGCACCAAAGTGCCCTTAATTAGCCCAAAAAGAAAAAGCGCAACATTATTCTATCCCTTTCAACTTTGTTAGCTGACATTCTTCAATGACATCTCTCTAGGTGAAGTAGTATCGCTAGCCAATGGTCCGGTCGCATACTTAGATATTCATACCTTTGTCAATCCTCCGCCTGCCTTCATCCCGGCCTCGGAATCTCCCCTTGTTGGTTCTTTGATTTCCAGACCCCTCCGCCGAGCGAGATGGAAATACCTAATCCTATTCCCACCATAGATCCCGCAATAAACAACGCAATCAAGCCCTTGACGGCGAGCCTCTGTTTCCGGCTAAGCCTGCCTAGCCACTTGGACTTCTTGCGTCTGCTATTTGGGCAGGGGCCCCAGAGCCCTCTATCACTTCCCTGGCCATCCATCGATGGCTTAATGGGCACCTGATACCCATTCTCCGCATCGTGCAGCTTGTATCCCTGGCAATACGCCTGCGCCTCACTTCTCACTTGTTCGAGCGATGTGCGGGTTGTTGGGTGTATGTAGAATGGGGATAATGGCTTTGCTCCTCGCGAAGGGTCGAAATCGCTCCCTGCTGGGCTACTGGGTGGGCGATGGCATGGGTTCGGTGAAGGTAGGAGAGTTTCTTCCTGCGTCGTCCAGGCTGATAAGCTTTTGGTATTGTTGGGGTCGCATTCGTCAACAGGCGTGAGTTGCTGCTCCATAGGGGAATACGGATCGAATCCTGCATCGAACACCTTGACGTCTTGGCTAATTGAAGCCATTGGGGATGTGGTTGGGAGTTGTAGTGTGTTATGCACACTCTGCTGAGGGAGAGCGAAAATATATTATTTCCTCGTTCCGAAGATAGGGGTCGTAATGTTGCTGGTTATTTCTGTTCGTAGTTTTAGAGCTGCGTCATCGGGTTGAAACGGGTTTCAATTTCCGGGTTTCGATTGTTCGATTCGAATTTCTTTATGCCTCAATAGGCATCTATCGTTTCTTGGGAGTGGAGAGATGAGTTTATGCTGAAAAAACAGGGAAAAATCGTTCGAGAAATCTATATGCGACTATTTCTGAGGGTGTCTATTGATGCGAAGGAAAAAATCGAAGGTGCTAAGATATATGGTGTCGCCGAGGAACGGAGTATCAAGAGAGTTAAGAAATGTTCAATGGGATTCGCCAGGACAAGGTGGTAGGTATGTATTAACTTTGCGGAGAAGGAGAATGATGAATTGGCGAAAGCACACGACTGAATGCTTGGAATAGAGGGGGCGAGAGGTAGCGGCGACACCTTCCCCTTCTCACCAAACTAGTGCTGGCTGTCCAGAAGGCTCTCCCCGGTCTGTCTAACAGGGTTTTTACTGGGCAGGACCGACGATTGTCGCCATCATTCCTTGTGGTATGATTTTGTCATTTTCCCTTGTGAATGTTTCGTTGTTCGGTGTTGGAATTGAGCTCGAAAAGTGGTCTCAGGGGTGATAAAACGTGGAATTAACACCGGCAAGGATATAGCACGGGTCGCTCCGTTTGGTTGGTCGAAAGAAAGCCTCAGTTCCCCGGAGATGAAATATTTAAATAAATCAGAATGGTATCGAATTTCAACTCATTCGAGGTTTCAGGAGGCAGAGCGAAACGAATTCTCTGGATTCCAATTCCGGGGGAGGGACCTTAGGTGAGCGAACTGAAGCTGGGTTTTGGGGGGGGGAATTGGGCCATGGTGGTCCACTCCTGTCAATCCCCAAAAAAGCAAAAACGCCTTACTGCGTAAGCTCTGGGAGCCGTCTGCAAGGGCAGAACTCACTGGATCAACAGCTAAAACAGGAGCTTAGGTTGAAGGCCCGCCAATAGTCGCTGGGGATAGTCCACTAGGCCAGGCTCCGGATGCCCAAATGGTTAGCACCCACGGCTAGACCGGAGCGTTTTAGTTAGTTGACTGGCTGCATGGTTCTTTTGAATTTTAAAATTGTAAGGGCCATCCAGGCTCGACACTCTACCGCCAAGCGAGCCAAGCTGCCTGGGAGTTTCTTTGAGCGCTGGTCCAGTGGTTCTTTCTTGTCCATGATTTGTTGAGCATCTCACCACATCCGCCAGATTAAGTTCTCGGGGGCAAAGGCTAATAAATGACGGACGCAAAAACACAGTCGTATTGCAGAGTGCCGTTGGCACACAAGGGCCATCTCATCTGGAGATTAAAAAATATATAAAAAATAAAAACAAAAAAACAAAAAAAGTGATGAGATTGTCGATTCTTGAATTTGGTTGGAATGTGCTGTAACTTCCATTCCAGACTTGTCACTCAACTTGGTGCTGTGCTCTGGTGTGCGACAGAGTGGAAATCCCAATTTATGCACAGCATATCATGGACAAGAAAATGTCCCAATCAGAGCCACAGGGATCTCGGGAAAAAGAACAATAGAAAAACGATAGCCAATAACATAACAAGTTAATCTATTTACTCAGGTACTCATTCAACTTCGAGAAAATTCCAACGCTCTCAGCAGCCTCCAACCCCTCTTGCTCCACCGGCTCGTTACTTCTCAACAGGTACAGAATACCAATAACTTATATAAATTCCTGCTCCCTCTTCTTTAATTCCTCCGCAATTAGCAGCCCTTTCCCGCCGTCAATCGCAGTGTCTGGGGCTTGATTTCCCTGATATCTTGGCCGCTGCCCAATATCCGCACAGGAAGCCTCCACCCCCGACCATTTGGCTTAGTGCCTCGCACTTCCCCACCATCCAGTCGAGATGCACCTTACCATCGCGCCACTGTGGCGCCAGGGAATTATAACCGAACAAACACCCCAGAAGAGCCCCGGCCACGCATGCGTTTGTGTCAGCATCTCCTGCCTCAAAGGTATGTAAGCTCCGTAATCACTTTCTCGAAAGCAGCAAGCAGCATGTGGTGGTTTGGCGGCTCCGTCGTCGCTTCTGCCTTTGAGCCCGTCGGAGTACAATCCGATCGAGACGCGCCTCTAGCTCGACTTGTCACCCACTCATCGGCCCACCCAAAAGCCTCCTCGATAATCTCATCTACGTTCTACTTCTCCGTGCAGAATGCCGCGAATGAGCCCTGTCACGGCACAACAGCTTACGATGCACCGGGGATCTGCATGGGTGATGCCTGAGAAGTCTGCCGCAATCTGGAATGTCACGGGAAGCGTAGAAGCAAGGCATATTATCCCGAGCGGGTGTGTGCGCATCAACGAGCCGTTTGGTGCAACAGTTCTGCTGTATTTTACCCAACAGTTATAGGCAACTTGCGCTGGATTGTCAAGATAGCCAATACTGCGGACTACCTGAAATTTGTATTCGCGGTGGAGCAGGAGATCATTAGCTTGTGTCTGTTTGTGTGACAATAAAAAAGGGGAAGAGAGAAGGAAGCATGACCATGTGAATAGTGAATATCTCTAGGTAATCCCTACTTTGTACGACCTGAAAAAAGTGGGAAACTAACAGTCCCTACTGTCGCCCCTAGTCCACCCGGTGGTCTATCCAAGCATCTCAGACCCTGCTCAACCCATGCATGCAAACGCTGAGCTTTGCCCTCCCTTTGGTGAGAGCTGTTTTCCGTTGTGGCACAGATAAGACAGAAGAATAATGAGCAGCGCATGCTCGGTATCATCAGTTCATGCTGCCTAGAAACCTGTCAGTATAGCTCTGTATACTAGAGTGTGTCTATATAGGCGATCGATCGACGAGTAACAAGGGATGCGATACACGTACAGTCTAGAATTTAGCTTCGCAGATCGAGTGTCTTTTGGTTCTTGAAAATCATGGTAAAATAAACAAGATCACATGATTTTTGATATCATTGGGCGTCATATAATAAACTGGTGGACGCGATAGAACAAAGATGAACTGATCTTCTATTTCTGCTTGTTGCTGATAGCTTTCCTATCCCTGGATTGCTTAATTCTATTCCGCATTGATTAACTTATTATCTCTTTAGTCAAATGGTATCTACTCCAGCAAAACGCCAACTATTTACCAAATTTTTTGGTCTTGAACCATGGAAGAAATTGGTTTTTACCTTGAGAAAAACAATAGAGAGATATATATATATACATGCAAGACGCTTATCCTCGAAATTAATCGTCAAACCCAACCAAAAAGTCCTCCCTCGAAATCCCGCTCCGATCACACATGCCCCGAAATATTCCCCCTGGTTTCTCCCACAGCTTCAGCGGCTCATCCATTTCAGCAATCCGCCCCTGATCCATCACACAGATGCGGTCATAGTTGATGATTGTCCGCAACCGATGCGCGATACAGAGCAACGTCTTACCCTTGAAACCCTGCGCCATGGTTTTCTGGATTTTACGATCCGTTTCAAAATCGACAGAGGAGGTTGCCTCGTCACAGACGATAATGCGCGAATCGCGAACGAGGGCGCGCGCCAGTGCCATGAGCTGCCGCTGGCCGAGAGAGAAGTTTAATCCTTCTTCTTCGACCACGGTGTCCAGGTTGATGCGCTGTTGGGGCTGCTTGGCCGTCGGCGAGGAGCTGGTTTGGTCGACTGAAGAGTCTGAGGGTGTTTCTTGGCCAACCAGGTCGGCTTTCCTAAGTGCAGACCATAATTCCAAATCGCTGTGCTCGTTAAAGGGATCAAGATTCGATCGGATAGTGCCGTGGAATAAAGCAGGGTCCTGGGGGATGATGGCGAGTCTAGATCGCAGGTCGTGTAAGCCGACAGTGGATATATCTATGCCGTCAATTTTGATGCTCCCGCCAGAGAGCTCTGTTATTCGGAACAGAGCAGACATGATACTTGATTTGCCGGCCCCAGTTCGTCCGACAATCCCGATACGCTCGCCGCCTCGGATATCCATGTTCAGTCCCTGCAGGACCAGTGGAAGGCCTTCACGATATCGCATCTGCACGTTAGAAAATGAAATGCTGCCTGTTTGCGGCCATTGGCTGTCTAATTCGATAAGATGGAGTGGTGCTTCCTCATCTAGCTCTGTTCCATAGTGATGAACGCGCTCAGTGGCATTCATGCTATTTTCGACATCAGCTAGACAGCGAATGGTGAACTGCAACATCTGCGATATGGCGAGGATATAGGACAACACCAATCCCGATATACTAGGCGAGACATTGAATCTTGAAGTGACCACTAATATACCTGTGACAAAAACCAGGAGTATGCCAATAGCATCTAATCTGACGCTTAGCCATCTTTGGTTCGCGAAGGTCAGAAAATATGCGCTGTCCATATTATCGAGTGCAGCACGGAGGCGACGGAGGAAGTGCGCCTGCACGCCGTAAGCTCGAATTGATGATGTCCCCGATATAGCCTCGCTAAACTGGGCAAAAACAGTGGAACGGAGCACTGCTTCATGACGCTTCATTTCTCGCGCTGATGCTCGATAATAATTTGTCGCTACCAGGAATAAAATGAAAAGAGGGCCAAGAGCAACTGCAAACTGTAGAATGAATATACCTGTCAGCTCCTTTCCAAAATAAACTAATTCAAATATTCCGGCATGCTTACATAGTGAAAGAACACAATAATCAAAATCATAATGGAAATAATTAGGGCAAGGGTAATGTAGTAAATCCGCATTGCGTCGGTCAACTCGTTGTCCATAGTGTGAACGTCCTTCGAAAATCGGTTAACAATACGGCCCATCGGGGTGGTATCGAAAAAAGCCATTGGAGCTCTCAAAACCCGCGTCATCGCTTTATGAAACATCGACCTGCTGGCATTCGTTCCGCTCACTGACAGAATTGTAGAGAATGCAAATGTGAGAAACACCTGAACACCAGCTAGTCCTGCGTATACACCAATGTACTGGCCGGTTTCCAGGCGGAACTGGTCCGAGGTCCAGTATGAAAGCCACAGACTTGTCACTATATTTGCTCCGCTGGACAAAATCAGCGACAAAATGATCAACGGACCGTTTATGACCATGCCAAACGACGAAATATATGCTCGCCAAACTCCCCAGCTAACTGAACTAACGGCTCGCTCTTCCTGCTGCATAAGAGCGGGCCCCGGTTTCGATGCTTTGGCTTTCTTTTTCGGCATTTCCACACTCTCAACCTCGATCTCATCTTCCTCGTCGCTTCTTTCAGTCGTTGAAGTATCCTCCTCCTGGGAGGTGGTCGCCAATAGCTGACGGAACACTTCATTGTCACGCATGAGGTTGTCGAAAGTATCGATGGATGATATCCGGCCGTCATCCATCAATATAATGCGGTCGCATCGGCTGAGGACGTGCAGTTGGTGGGTTGCAAGGACTCGGCATTTATCTTTGAGCAATCCGCAAATGGCGTTATCCATGATATGGCGCCCAACATGGGCATCAACAGCTGATAATGGGTCGTCCATGAGTATAAGATCCGCATCAAAATAGATAGCTCGAGCGATATTGAGTCTCTGCTTCTGTCCCCCGGAAACAGTAATTCCTCGTTCACCAATTTCCGTCGCATCAGAGGCTGGGAGCATGTCGAAATCAGTCCTTAAGGCGCAAGCATCTACAACTTTATTATACCACACGTCGTCATACTCTTTACCAAAGAGGATGTTCTCCTTCACGGTCGCATTCTGGATCCAAGCGTACTGAGGACAAAAGGCGCGTGAAGCGTTCATGGTCACCTTGCCCTTTGTCAGACGCATATCTCCAGCCAAGGCTGACAAAAGCGAGCTTTTACCGCATCCAACTGCTCCAATGACCGCAATAAGTTCATTACGACCAAACTCAAAGGTGAAGTCTTTGAGTTCGAAGGGTTCGATTGAAAGATGATGCGTAGATCCGTCCAATTCCGCTTTTTTACCTACTTTTTTGTCGGATTTCTTGTCGGGTTCCTTTTCTAAGTCGGTAGCTAAACGCTCCCAGGTAAATGATACATCCTCAACCTTAATAGCAGGAGCTAAGGAGGGATTTTGTTTTATGTCTTCTTGTTGTTCTTCAGCTAGAAGGAACTCTTGAATTCGTCCCAAGGCCGTCCATGCATCAGTTACCTGTCCGATCACAAGAGGCAGCATGTTCAACGGCATGCGGAGCGCATTGAATAGTGCGAGTGACGAGAATACCGGGGCAGGAGACAATGCGTGGTTCGATAGCGAGTAGGTTATAAAAGCCAACATTGAAGCGAACACGGGAAGCGCCATTGATATACATAGAATCGCATTTCGTATGGATAGGACGACTTGAATTGCGGAAATTTCGCGTTGCCGAATGTCCTTTAACCGGTTCAGAAAGCTACTCTCCCAGCCGAAAAACTTGACAAATCTGACGGCCATCAGGATTTCCTGCGTGAGAGAGACGCGCTGATCTGTCATTTTGTTTATCTTTTTTCGTCTCCTAATAAGGGAACGTATAGAGTAAGTGAGGAATGGTACCCCGAGAACTAACAGCGCATATCCAGAAAGGGCACTGTAGCCGATGTTAATTATGAGGACGATCAAAGCGACTATGATCAATATGGGAGATGTCCAGAGTAGGTGGAACAGCCCAAGCGCTCTATCAATGCGATCTGTATCGACGCTCATTAGAGTGACGATCCTGCCGTTGTTCCACCCTGTGCCATCACCGGCAACGCCCGCAGCAGCGTCCGGCCCTGCTTTGGGACCTTTAGACTTCCCAGGTTTCTTCTGGAATTTTCCTTTAAGAATGCCATCTCGGGCTTCTCGAAGAGATTCCAAATCGTCGGATGTACTCTGTGTGTCCTTATTTTCTGAGTCTTTGGTGGTGGCTTTACCACCCGCTTTCGCACGACCGGAAAGCTTCAAGGCCTTGGAGAATATCATATTGATAAGCGCAGCACGGCTTTGGGCTCCGACCATCATCCCTCGATAGAAGAACTGGGCTGTACCAAGGCTTTGCGAGACTTGCATGCAACATATCCCTATAACGATTCCAATACCATGTCCAATGTCTGGGGCGCGCTCGCCGGTCTGCCTCGCAACATAAGCATCCGCGGCAAATTGGATAAGATACCGTGAGACGAAGGGCGTCATAACCTGGAGAAGACTTGAAGATAATGCACAGATACCGCCCAACCAAAATTCAAATTTGGACATTTCGTATATCGCCCATAATAGCGGATAGCGATCGCCACGGTCGACGTGATCCTGGAATGCCCGTTCAAGCTTGTCTACAAGAACGTCTAATGACCTATCCGGATTCACCAACCAAATATCTTGGACCTCCAGCGGGCGCAGGTATCCGGTCTAAGAAAAATGTAAGCGGAGGAGATTCTTCAAACGCCCAATAGATGATATATCCACGAGCACGAAACTTTTGGTTTTTGAGTTTCTTCACTATATATTTTTAACAAAAGGGGAAGAAGTACTTGCCGTCATCAACGAAGACATCCATTGAAATGTTATCAAGCTCAGATATCCAGCTCCATGCTCTTTGGATATAGTCCTTTCGGTAGGTATGGGGGGGATCTGGCGCCATCGGAATGGATTTAGCTGCTGGTACCAGGTCCGCTGCGGCTTGGCCGATTCGGCAGCTTGGCCGTGCTCTGAAAGTTTGCTGCCTTCAGAGCATGAAGAGCTGGGCGATAGGTCTAGCTCTTTGCTTTGCTGAAGATCGAGAGTGGCATCGGAATTCCCCTGTTGCGCAGCAGCTGGGCCTGCCGAATGTATGGGCGGAGTAGGTTTATCCCATGCCGCCATCTCATTGTTCGTTTTTTCTTCTTCGCCGGCTACCATCGTGGGCTTTCAAACAAAAAAGAGGCAAAAAAAGACAAAGGACCTGTACTCGCTTGCATATGAACCATAGAGAAAAAGTGTCGATAAAAAACTAAAAAAAAAATGGCAGGATAGAAACGTAAAGAATAATAAGAAATATAGGGTCTCTTTATGTCCGAGAGTATCGATCGTCAAAAAAAAGTCATTACCAACTGCCACTATTTGGATGGATTCGACTCCGTCCAGCTTATGAGCAAATACCAGGGCAAGGGCAAAACGTCTAGGGTTACTTGGAACCAAGTTATTCTGGCTCGGTTCCGGCTGAGTTTTGCCTTTTTGTCCCCATTTATGCTGCACTAGTTAGTGCTTATAACCGGGATAACATACATCAAAGAGCCGGGCCGACGGGATGCCTAGGTATATGCACATGTATGTATGTATGTATGTATGTCTGTATGTCTGTATGTCTGTATGTACATGTACATGGACATTGGACAGTACGCTGAGGACATACATACCAAGCAGAACCTAGCAGCAGGGCAAGCCACCTGGCACATCCCGCTTGCTTTAAGATGCTTTTCCTTTCCCAGTCATATCAATGCCAAATTTAGTTTTTTAGTTTTGCGGTTAAACGGGGAAGGGGATGAGGGCATTTTCTGGGCGTTTACGTAGTTAGTTAATCCGTCGTCTGGCGTCTGGCGCATGGCCCTCGGCAACCCTCGCGTGGCATTTTTTTGCCATTGGTCCAACTTTGCTGCTGGGTAACTAACTAACTACTCCGTACCTGGGCACCAATCATGTCAAGGCGCGCCAAAAACTGGCTTCTGGTTTTGGCCACAACAACCAACCTCAGTGAACCTCAAGACTACGCAGTGTAAAGTATATTAAGAGTTAAAAGAGTTAAAGTGCCATTCCAAAAGTCGGCGAGAAATGTTCCGATTCGGTGGGATTATTTGTCACAGCGTCCGGCGCATTTGTCAGCGGCACATTTCCACAATGATGCTGAATTACATACAAATTTACAATATTAATAATAATAATAATGCAAATGGTCTTGCTTTGGGGACTAATGATGGCCCGGAAATAGATATGTATGTGTCCTTTTAACACATACAAACAACTTGCAAAGCGTCATGAAGATCTACATAATAGTAGACGATTTTGAACTACATGACGTTCCACCTATGAAATGTTGGAAGGTGACATTTCCACAATTTTTCTTTTTTTCTTTTTTTCTTTTTTTCTTTTTTTTTAGAGTAATCTAACTACGTCATGCAACAGATAAACCGTTTTATTCCCTAGATTCGGATGATGCCGTTTCTATCGTCAATCCTGTTTCCCATGAAGACATCGCCATCGTCTATGTAACTGCCAGTGTCGATTTTTTTCAAACCTTGATTGCCACCCGAAAAATCATAGTGATTTTACTTTTTTTTGTATGATAGAGATGTGCGAAATGCTAAGCATTCAGTCTTCAAATTCTTCTCTCAACCTTACAATCATCCGCATTGCCCTGCCGCCACAGTGCCTGCGCCACCAATAATAATAATAGATGAAGAAGATGGAATCCAGCCCGCCCCACTACTACAACTTTCCATAAGATAAATATATAACTACCAATGTCAATTGATCTGGCAGCATACACAATCTTACACAATCTTACACACTTCTAACCTTGCTTATTACAGTTACAACAACCCCTCAACCTCATTATCCAGTCTAATTCCACTGTTGACGTTTAATACCATGTAAGTGGAGGAACAAAAAAGGGTTATGAGGATGACAGAACTGAATGCAAGACCTTTTTTCATGCAGACAATGTTGAATAGGGTGTGTGTAAGGTCAAGTAAGTGGTGATGGGTCTTTTATACAAGATTACATTAGGTTAAACGTGCAACAACCGAACAACACCCGAAATGAAGACCACCCTACCTAGGGACCTTCAACATACCTCTTCTTCCTGCTCGCGTGGTTCCCCGCCATTCACAACGGACGGAGCCATCTCTTGTTCTTATTAAATACAACTTCCTACCTTTCTCTCTACCCTACTCACCCTTCACCAGTCGAGCTTACTTTGTGGATGTCATCGACAGTTTCGCTATCTTGATCGTATGTATATAGGGTTGCAGGCCTACTCATTGCTATATTCGCTAGCACCGTTGTTGCTAGGTTCAGGGTAACCCGCTGTCGCAAGGCTGCAAAGGCCCGTCGTCTTCAGGCTCGGTGACTCCATCATAACACGACCCGGAGTCATCCTCCTCTAGACCCCCGAAAGTTCCCCTCATCGCTATAACTAGATTCTCTGTCATCGCTATAACTAGGGGGCCTCGACGTAGTCGGATTCGCAATGTTGAAAAAGAATACATATCCAAGGGACAACCAGTGTGATGCAAGCAACACTGGCGTTTTTGATCGCCTATCTGCTAACCTCCGTGATCCCCTTATGTTATGTCTTGACTGACCATGGGCTGCCATCTATTAACCTTAGCGTGGCATGCGGAGGGGCAACTCGATATCGGCCGGGCGGACACCGCATCAAGGTGCGCAATTCAATCGCTCGTCCAAAAATATATTCTTTGAAGTAATCTTCGTCTTTTGCAAAGGTGTCCTGGCCCAGCAGACGTACCGAAATATGCTAGCATCTATTTTCGTATCTATTTCGTATAGAGTTATCCGTTTCTTCTAAGAACGACGAGTGTATGTCCGCAAAGATCAGCGATTTCAGCAAACCCCACACGACAGAGAGCAGAAAGGTTTTAAGCAGGGGTAGGATCGCTTGCTAACAGTATCATCCTCTTGCGCCAAAAGGTCGGTTAAAACAGGAACTACTCAGGTATGAATCGAATTGCGGAGCGTCCGAAGCTCCTCTGCAATCTGAGAATCTAGTATACGACCAGGTTCGGATTGGGATTCGGGTTTCGGATTGATGTCCGGGGGCTCCTGTGTTGTTAGGTTAAGCTCACGTTCACAACTCGCATTTCTCCTTTCATTCGCTTCTGCTGGTAACTTGGTTTCCCTTTCAGATGAGATTTTGGCATCAGTTGACATCTCGAAATCCAGTAATGGCGGCTAAATATTGTCAGGTAAGCTTCTCGATAGAAAACCTTTCCGAGTACTACTCGGATAGTACGCTATATTGTGAGCCAGGAATTATGGCTACTTTCCATTCTGCTATGGAAAGATCCCGCTCCCCTTATGTGAATGTGAAAAAAGCATAGCCATCGTTATGCGTAGTTGTTAAAGATTTCATTGGTGTAGAAAGGTGCGGTGAAACCAGTAGGTAGAAGAGGTTGTTGGTCCATCCCATCGTTTTGGTCGTTTTCAAGACTCAGCCGAAAGAGCAAACAATTCACGGCAAATTCCGACCAACCTGCGTGGGAGTAAGCGGTGACATTATCCCTTTCCTTTGCTCCGAATCGTGCGCCATCAGAGTGTGCCATGGTAAACCACTGGCGCCTTGACTTGAGTTGCAATCATAGTGCATTTTTGGCTCGGTCTCTCTGAGCTTCATGGTGTAGACGATCCAGAACCTTTGTCAAAACGCGCAAAGAGTTTTCCCTTTGATATTTCAAAACTACACAGATAAAGTATTGTAAGAGCCAGCAAACAGCCAGCACGAGAATATACCTCTATCATTGGGACAACAGAGATAAAACAATGTTAAGTTTAGTTTAATACGGGGGAGGGAGAAGGGAGACAAAGAATACGATTGCTATTGGAGGAGGCGGTTGGACGGAACTAAGCGGGCGCCAAAAATAGGCGCGGTAAGATATATTATCCGCGCGAGTAATAACCTAAAGAAACCACATTTTCAGCTTCTGACTGCTCAAGTTTTGCTTTGCTTCTCGGACAACTGGTTACTTACTACTCCGTACACCGCTTCCCTTCCCAGCTACAACTCTTTTTTAAAAAGATCCCATAAGAGAGTACAAGACCTATTCATATCGAAAAAAGCCAGACCCGTTCAACATCGTCCGCGAGTCTTATAGGGAGAGCTTTACCTTGGCCAGGCTAAAGCCATAACATCCCTTCGTTTGTTGGGACGCATATTTAAAAGTTGCGTTTTCGCTACATAAGGAGAGTGTGATACCACGAGAGTTATACTACCATGGGACGCCATCTAGGGCTGTCACTGCGAGGTTTGAAATTCAGAGTGCAAGCACCAAATTCATTCGCTTTTCATCCTTGATGGGCCTGATTTTACCTTTTAAGGGAACCACATCTAGGTAAAGCATGAAACAAATCGACATGCGGGAGGTATTTGTCGACTATGGTACCACATTTATATGAATATCCTTGTTACACAACCTACAACCAAAGGCCATTCATTATCCAGGCTATACGAACATACATGTACAAATATGAAAACAAAGCAAATCAACTGAGTTGGCCCCTTGCGGAACCTAATCTTGACAAGCTCAGATTTTCACAATTCAAACCTCTCGTTTGTTATGCGTCTGGCCGATGCCTATCTATAAATGGCTTACTAGATATGGTAAAACCATTCGGAACTCAAATGCTTTCCACCACCTTGTCACCACACAAACGCAAGCAATAAGCTGCCCCTCAACATTCTAACCCCTTACTTGTGGTATGATTTCCTCAAGGCTCCAAGCAAGTAGCTCTACTAGACTACCACTCCAAAAGACAAAAACCTACAGTTCGCTCCCGCTATTTTACGTTACTTTCAGCCCTTTTTGCAGGCCTTTTCTGTTTGTATCAATCCCACTCCGCCTTGCTACAAGGCATATGAAACTATACCAAGTGAACTGCTCACAGTCAAAGACTAGGTTCAAGATATAAATCGCGATTCCAAGACGTGTGAGGATAAAGTCGCGAATATGTAATAACCCCCCCCGTACATGCACCTTTCGCGCTGGAAGTTCGTATGCCGGGAAGGGAATATTTTTGATATGCATATTGAACAAACAAATGGACGGTTGGTTAGAAGCGAGAGGGTAGTGGAGAGGGGGCAAGAGGAGGGAGGTGGATTGTATAGGATCTAGATGGTCCATTCCATTATCTAGCTAACTCTCCTACGATAACAATTAAGAATGGGAGGCTGGCTAGGAGGATTGTCGAGCAGAGGAGGTGGTGCTTTGCTGGTACTGGAGAGAGTCCAATGGTATATAGCCCAATCCGGATCGATCAAGTGCGAAGCTTTTTGTCGGCTCTACCTACTCTGTCGTTTTTTGATACCCTGGGTGGGTGGGTACTATACATACTTATATCTATTATAGTGGTTTACATATCTCAACATTTGTTGACAGAAAATGAAGGTAAAGCAGTGCCTACAAAAACTAATTCCGAATCTTTTCGTTTTCTCGGTTTCATTGCATTTCCCTAAATAATCTTTATCAAAAAAAAATAAGCATGGAGCCTGGGTATTAACCTATGTTGTTACAACAAAACAAATAGATGGTCCCATATGCTCACGCAAAGCCTTCGAAATATAATAAAACCGTACAATAATAAAATACCTAATAATAATCTGCAAGGCGCATACCACCACCGCAGTCACCCATATACCAAGGGAGAGAAAAAGTTGCTTTGCAGCGAAATAACAGGAGATAAGAAAAGCCGTAATCTCATACACACAAGTTACCGCTGTCCCACGATGCAATTGCTACAAACATAAACCACCGCGCAAACCCGCCCACCAAATGCCGGTTTAAAGCAAGAGGACCGCCTCAAGAAGGAGAAAAGGAAACATTTGCCACTTTTTATTTTCATTAAAATGCAAAGGGGGGTGTCTCCATATACACATATATGCTAGAGTAGAGTGTGTCGTAACGCTTGATAAACTTGTAGGCAAAATTGAGGGGGGGAGGGGGAGAAAAGGGGGAGAAAAAGGGGGTGACAGAAGGGAATCTCATCAAGTGGTTATTCGTAAAACGTTACTTGCGTGAAAACAGCTTCTGCAGGGGCCGTTTTGTACAGTACATTCATTGCAATTTCCTTATCGTTATTTTTCTTTTCTGGTTTCAATTGGGGGATATCGAGAGTGGCGAGTTTTGCAGGGTCGAACTTACGCACTCTTCATGGTTGGCAGCTCCTTGACGGATTGCTCGATGATGCTCAGTGCCTTTTTGAGCTCTTCTTCCGTAATGACCAGTGGTGGTGCGAAGCGGATGATGTTTTGGTGTGTTGGTTTCGCCTACGGAAAAACAGAGGCGAAAAGAGTTAGGGTACAAAAATGACCATGTGGAGAATGGTAGGGAAATAGGTGTGGGGAATAGAAGGTCGAAAAAATAGAAAAGAAATCAAAAGGCTTACCAATAATCCCTTTTCCTTCATCAACATGCAAAGATCCCACGCAGTGTGCCCGCCAGTCTTAGACTCGTCGATGACGGCGGCATTCAACAGCCCTTTACCCCTAACTGTCTGAATCATGGGACTATCTATAGCAGCCATCCCAGCACGGAATTGATGGCCAAGCTTCTCCGCCCGTTCGGCCATCCTCTCGTCTCGGATGAGTTCTAATGCGCGAATGGCGATGGCGCACCCCAGTGGATTGCCACCATATGTCGAGCCGTGCGTACCCGGCTCGATTGTGAGCATGACTTCCTTGTTGCCCAAGACACAGGACACGGGGTACATGCCGCCGGATATCGCTTTGCCTAGGAGGACGAGGTCTGGTCTGATACCACTCCACTCGTGGCAGAGTAGCTTACCGGTTCGGGCGATGCCGGTCTGGATCTCGTCACAGATGAGGAGGGCGCGGTGCTTGTCGCAGAGAGCTCTGGCTTCCTTGAGGTAGTCGTCGTCCGGCACGACGACGCCAGCTTCACCCTGGATCGGCTCGACTAGGAACGCGGCAATATTTGGCCCTGCTTTCTCGAATGCCTCACGCAGCGCGGCTTTGTCGTTGAATGGGATGGGTTTATTTGTGCCTGGGATCTTGCTGCCGATGAGTGGCAAGTAAGGACCATAGTTATCCCTTGATTCTGGGTCAGATGACATTGATATTGCCGCAAACTGTAATCCTCCTCTTGTTAGTTAAAAAGGAAAGGTATACATAGATTATGGGACATAGGATTGGTGACAGCAAGAAGCGTCCTTGGGTATTTTAGTTCACTGACAGTGCGTCCATGGAAGTTGTTCTCCACGCTCAATACAATGGCCTCGTTGTGAGGAATGCCTTTGGTTTTGTAGCCCCATTTCCGGGCAATCTTGATACCAGTCTCCACAGCCTCAGCACCCGTGTTCATGGGTAGGACCATGTCGAACCCGAAGAACTTGGTCACAAATTCCGCAAACTTGGGGAATACATCATTGTAGAAAGCACGGGAACTCAGGGTCAGGGTAGAAGCCTGGTCAACCAACACCTTGACCAACTCCGGGTGGCAGTGGCCCTGGTTAACGGCGGAGTAGGCGGAGAGGAAATCGAGATAGGAGCGTCCCTCGGGATCCCAGACGGTAGTACCGGCGGCGCGGGCGAAGACGATAGGCAGCGGGTGGTAGTTATGGGCAGCATATTGATGCTCTGCATCGATTGCAGCGGTAGTCGAGGAGGCATGGAACCGGGAACGGTCGAATGGCGCAGCTGGTGCGGAGGTGGACTTCTGGCTTGTCTTTGCAGGTTGAGCAGAGCCTGCAACAGCATTCTCGGTGGCGATTGGAGACATGGTGGCTGTACAACAGCGGAGATGGTTTTATCGGTGGTATTGCGTGGGCAGTTTGTTTTGGATGATAGTTATAACTAGGTGACGTAACTAGTTTAAATACCAGGGCTAAAGAGTCAAGCTCGAAAGAACAACAAATATCCAGTTAGTACAGCGTTGAGAAGGGGCCTATAAATACAGATGCAGTTATCCTATGAGAAGCATGTAGTTAAGGTAGTTAGTTAATGAATGAATGGTCTTCGGCGAGAGGAATCAATCGGAGTTTATAAATATGCGGCGGCAAAAGCTGCGGCGGGGAGCAAACCACAGCGGGCAAAGGTTGAGAGCGATGAACCGACGATAACCCTTTGTGATCTTGCTCGGACGAGCGCCAATATCCCATCCCCCACACACAAGATGTCACTCTGCACGGGGATTGCAGTAGCGCGATACTTGGAGGCGCCCTAAGGAAGTTAAAAAGACGAAGTTGATCCGCAACCAATTCACTCCTGCTCGCTCTGTACAAAACAACAGGCGGACGACGCATACCAACCCGTATCGGTCGAATTATTCAAGATATCCCCCCTGCGACGTTCCTTTATCGTAAAGACGTCTGTTTCAGCGCGACCATTGGCTTCATCCTGCCGGACTCCACGTTTCGCGCGCAGAGACCTTGGACAGGGTCGTCCCGATATGGTGACAGGGGAAGGAAGACCATGCCTTCGACGTCGACGCGGTCCCGAAAGGTTCTGCTCTCCGCAACCGATAACGAACATGACTCTGGTTCCAAGACCCCTAAGTCCAGGGCACGAGCATTCAGCAGGCGGATGGACTCGAGCACCCCGCAGAATATCCTCCTCTTCCTGATCGCGTTCCGGGCGTTGAACGCTCTTTGCGTCAGGACCTTCTTCCAACCAGACGAATTCTTCCAGTCGCTGGAACCGGCATGGCAGATTGCGTTTGGCGGGGACAGTGGTGCTTGGATAACTTGGGTACGTACGCTTCGGATATATCAAGCAGGGTGGTATTTGTTGTTTTGGGAGCTAACACCCGTGCGCTAGGAATGGAGGCATCATTTGCGGTCTTCGATACATCCGTACATCTTCGCCGCGGTTTATTATATATCTAATCTCATATCTGAATATCTGTCGATATCCCCTCTCCATCGCGCAAACTTACTCCTTGCAGCCCCGAAACTCGTGCAGGCTCTTTTCGCCGCTGTTGCGGATTTTTATACATGGAAACTGGCCGGGAAGGTTTACGGAAATGACAGCTATGAAGCCTGGGGTGCTGTAGGTGGTCCAACTGCAACAACATATGCCTGAATATTGAACATCAAACGCTCATTGCTCTGCCCTGTAGCTCGCATTGACTATCCTAAGTCCCTGGCAGTGGTTTTGTTCGACACGGACATTATCGAATTGTCTTGAGACAAGCCTCACGATCGTCGCATTGTATTTATGGCCATGGGAATGGCCGTCGGAATCATCTTCCCCGCAAAGGAGTGGTTCTGGAAATGGAAGCTTAAGAGACAACTCAGTCACGCAACGGTATAAACCCAGGTATGCCCGACAAATTTGCGTTTGTTCAAGTCTGACCGTAGTATAGCTTGCGGTTATGTCTACTTCTTGCAGCTTTTGCTTGCATTCTTCGCCCAACAAATTTCCTGGTATGGATCTGTGTAGCAACCTTCGCGATGTTTAAGACTCCAACATCATCCCGTCAAACACGGAGCTTTTCCTTCATTAGACCTACCATGAAGGAATTTCTGACGTTTATTTACGAAGTTGTATTCTCCGGGTACGTTGATTTAAAATTTCTATTGCTAGGAAAATCCAAGCTGATAATTCATTAGATCCGTTGTGCTCGGTATATCAACGCTTCTGGACCGGGCGTACTACGGTTCCTGGACATTTCCACCCTTTAAATTTCTCTACTTCAACATCGCTCAATCACTCGCCATATTTTATGGACGCAATGACTGGCACTACTACCTCTCTCAAGGCTACCCGCTCCTCCTCACGACTACTCTGCCCTTCTCCTTGGTCGGAATTTTCCAGGCTTTATTCACCAACCAGAAAGGCCTCACTGTCCCACAGAATTCGATTAGGCGTCAGCTTGCAGCTGTTTGCACATTCATGCCAGCTGTCCTTTCATTGATATCTCATAAGGAAGTCCGTTTCATCTACCCACTTCTTCCTTCCCTTATAATCATTTCCTCTTTGCCCCTTGTGAAGTTCTTCCTGCCCGCCATCTCCTCCGGCTCCCCGTCGAATAGGCCCCGACGTCTCTCTCTGATATTTCTCGTTCTCGTGAACGTTTATATCGCCTACTATACAACTCTCTCTCATGCATCAGGCATCCTCAATATCATGGACTATTTCCGCAACCAATATGTTAGGCACTATCTAGAACAAGTGTCAAACAAGCAGGGTTCCCATGCAAGCGTTTCTTCATCCTCGTTTTCTTCGTCTCTGATACCCACATATATGACAATTGGCTTCCTTATGCCCTGTCATAGCACACCCTGGCGCTCCCATCTCGTCTTCCCAGGCATCCAAGCATGGGCTCTCTCCTGCGAACCCCCCGTAAACCTCAACGCAAGGGAAAAATCTACCTACCTAGACGAAGCAGACCAATTCTACGAAGACCCATCCACCTTCCTCCAAAAGAACATGAAGGGCGGATTACGCGACTTCCCCTCAAAACCCTCATACCAACTCAACAAAAATCCACTTATTCACCACCACCCAACATCCAACCCACCTCTAGACTCTAAAAACCCCCACCACCCGTGGCCCGACTACCTCGTGTTCTTCGCCCAACTCGAACCAACCCTCCACACTGCGCTCCGTAGTTCCCCATACGCCGAATGCTACCGCACCTGGAACACAGCGTGGCACGACGACTGGCGACGCAAAGGCGACATCGTCGTCTGGTGTCTGGACCGGGACATCCAGCGGGAATGGCGCGAGCATACGCGTCTGCAGAACCAGGCCAGCTGGCAGCGGAGTATGGAGGAACGAGAGAAGCAGTTTGATAAGATCATTGATGGATTCCGGAAGGAGGCGGCGAAGGGATCGTTGTGGTTCGGGACGAGGTCGGGGATGAGGGGACGGTGGGGTTTGGATTCTCTGTTGCCCACCTCTTGGTCGTGGCCCCCTTTGCGATCATCATCGCCGTCGTCATCGCCGTCGCCATCTTCCTTTTTCCCATCCACATGGCCGTTTTCTAACGCCCCGTCAAGATCTAGGAAATGGTACCATGTTTCCTGGTCCTGGTCGTGGCCTTCGTTGTCAGGTCTGCAGCGGAATACGAGGCGGTGGCAGCTGACGTGGTCGTGGCCGTGGTCATGGAGAGGGCGGAGGAGGCAGACGAAGTGGCCGGAGTGGATGACTGAATCGCCGTGGGTGCCGGATTGGGATGGGTTGGTGAAGAAGTCAAAGTCGAGGGAGAGGTCAGAGAGGATGTTGTGGTCTTGAACTTTGGGCAGATTTTTTCTCCCCTTTCTCTTTTCTCTTCTTCCTCATTTATTTCTCCCTTTTAAGGCGGGTTGGGACTGGGTACATGCTGAGGATAAATAAATACCCTTTTTTTTTTTTTTTTGTACCTTCATTTGCCTGAGAGAGTTGATGCATTTTTGGGTTTTTCTATTTATTTATTATTGTTATTTATTATTCATGTATCTTATTTCACTTAAAGTTCATTTTTTCTTTCTCTAGTTGCCGCACTGTTCAAAACGATATTTTTGCATCCGGGAATATATCTGGTTCAGTTAACATAACTATATCGTTCTAATTATATATTTCCTTTTCAACACTCCCCTTGATATTAATATTATATTAAAGAAACATGATTAATTTTTTATTAAAAAAATATAGAAAAAAGAAAATAAAAAATATTAGAGTTAGTAAGCGAAAATTATTAAAACTAAATATAACTGAATACTTTTATATGTAAATGCAGTGCTAAACCTTCTCATCTTCATTCTTGTTTATATAGATATATATGAAAACTCTACCTGAGCGCGAGTAGATAATACCTGCAGGGGAATCATAATCATAACCTGTGAAATATGACAAGTAATGCGTGTAATATGCAGGGAAAATATGGCACAGCATGCGGAGAGTACATAATTATAAAAACGGCTGTGGAAGAAAAGAAAAGAAGCTCGAAAAGGAGATATCTAAAGAATGAAGGGGCAAGAATGGGATATTAAAAAAAGTGACCAATCGTACTAATAATATGGGATGACGGGTATGTTAGAAGTCCCTAAATCCGGAATGGACAGGGGTGGGTTGAATAAACGAATGAGAATAGAACAGATGCCTGAATAATGTAGAACAAGGGCAAGCTGAAATGACGTGTGGAAGAAGGGGAAAAAAAGAGGGGAAAAAAAAGGGAAAAAAAAATTCCATCACCAGGTGATGGAGATTGTCCCAATGAAAATGCCGAGTCAAAGGAAGAAAATCAAAAGAAGAAAATGTGGATATGGTTGTGAGGAAAGAATGGGGCATGAAATCCCCATTCCTGAAACAAACAACAAACAAAACATAATAATAGATTGATAACACAAAAAAAGCTCCACCAAAAAAAAAAAAAAAAAAAAACCACTCACAAGACCCTTTCGTCAAGAAATTTGGAAAAGCGAAGGAAGGAGGATAAAACTTTGAAAATGCAAAGGGGAAAAATATATATACCCGGTCAACAAACCGGCGATCCAATCCAACCCCGACCAAAAAAAAAAAAAAAAAAAAAAAAAAAAATACGTGGAATCCAACTGCCCCGGCAATTCCAACCAACCATAACCTGTCCCATCCACATCAATGTAGTCTCCATTTTTCTCCTCTTTCCTCCCCTGTCCCCGCTCCTCACAATTCTTTCTCCGCCCCACTATCTTCCGGCTCCAAAGAAATGCAATTACTGCACATACCGTGAACTCAAACTTGCAAATACATCCGGGCTATGACGTCCATCCTGCATCCCGCCAATATCCACACTGGCTTGGCTCATATGCGCTCTTGGCGGGAACGGATTTCCCCCACCAGCACCACTTCGTCCGACCCCTACTACACCCACTCCTCCAGACGCACTTCCCATCTGCGACTTGGAGTCCATTACCGTTGAAATGAGCGGCGCGCCTGGCGTGGTCATGGCATTGGGAGGGGCGGTATGGTATGGGTTTCGGCTGTTGGAGGCGGGGAGGTCGAACGTAGCGGCGGAGTTTTGCTGTGGCTGCTGTTGCTGCTGTTGTGGCTGTTGAGCTTGCGTGAAATCGGGCGTCAGTTGCTGTGAGGACTGTTCGGGGATCGTTGGAGGGGGTTGGGAGAAATTGTATAAAGCGAGGATGCTGGATTTGTCTATTTTGCCAGTTTGTTTGGGCATGAGGGTTTGTTGCGGGGGCTGGAGGTTAAATTGAGGCTGGTAGGAGGGGTTAGATGACGGAGCGTTTGGCATGGTGAATGGGTTGTAGGGTGCCTGTTGTTCTTGCGGTATATATTGTTGCTGTTGAGGTTGTTGCAGTTGTGGCTGCTGCTGCGGCTGTTGCTGCTGGGAGAATGGAGAGGAAGAAGAAAGGATTGGCATGGTGTTGTAGCGTTGAAATTGCGGCATTTGAGTTTGATTAACATTCCCAGCACCACGGCCCAATGCGAGAGTCTGCGGCTGAGAGCCTAGAGCTTGACCAGACATATTGAAAAACGGGTTGGTTGGTGAGAGGCCTTGAAGCTGGTCTACATAGGGGTTATTGTTCATGGTTTGCTGCGCAGGCTGTACATTTTGGAAGAAAGGATTATAGCCTCCATTCAAAAAGGTAGGCGATGCGGTAAGCCCGTTTTGCAACGACATAGTGACTGGAGGTGTCATAGATTGCTGGGATCTTTGGAATGGCATCTGCCCCTGTTGGCTGGGATATCCACCTGTAATGTTTGGAAATAGAGGCTGTGACACTTGGAGTTGCTGGAACGACTGGTCTAGCGATTGAGTGGACTGTGTTAGGGCGGGCTGCGCTTCTAAAGAATCAAATGGATTGTAGTATTTAGCTCCGTTGATGCTGGAGGGTTGTTGTGGCTCAGGCTGGCTTCCCGCATAACTAGATGGGGCGCGCGACGGGGCGTAATCCAGATTATCAAACGGATTATTCGAAAGTGTAGATCTCGGACTTTTGGAGGGTTCCGACAACTGAGAACTCGTACGAGTCACCTTTGGTACTGGAGCCCGAGATCTCGGGCGAGGATCAGTCCCTTCTCCCAGTCTAACCAACGACTCTATAGTCTTATCCATGTTCCCATTCAGGCTCTTCAGAATAGTGGCATTACGCTTGTTGTCTGGGAACCCCATATCTCGCAGTGCTTCTAGTTTTGATTCAAAGGTCCCATCTGGATCCCCAAAGCTGGCGCCAAAGGTTCTGGATTGTCTATTCGCTGAAAATGCGTAGTCCTCGCGCGGAGACGATTTTTCTGAGCTGGAAACAGCATTGTTGTAAGACGCAGATCGCAGGCCGAAACCAAAGCGTCTTCCCGTTTTCGGTGGCAGAGGCGGAGGAGAGTCGTCAGAAATTTTTGCTACGGTGTAACTCGGATCATGTCTGCTGGGGGGCTTCGGCCGTCCATCCTCCAATACTTTCAATTCATATTTTTGTCTTATAAATCTTTCCATCGCAGAGTCCACCTCGTCTATGTCAATAGGAATAGGGGGTTTGACGTTTCTTGGGTTGTATAATTTGTTGACTGCAGCGTTTCCATTCCGTTTCATGTTCTTTTAAAACAACATTAGCAATTCGAACATATGGAAGCTGGGTGGGTACCATCATCCCCATCGTCGGGCTTCACTCACGTCCACCTGATCTGATGACCAACTATCCATACTCAACGACTTAACCTTCGATATATGTGTGCCTAACTTGCGGTGTAATGTAGCGCAGCGCACACACAGAAACACGCCGAGCTGTCAAAACAAATATCCGTTAGACTTCGCTCTGTGACATAGCTAAACGACCCAAGTATTTATACTATAGCCCTGGACACGGGGGATAACCGAGCGGCTCGATGATGACTGGTACAAAGTCAAAAGCGGTAAAGGAAGGGGACTCACATTCCAGCTGGCCCATCCTATATAAAAAATTAAGCTATTAGTATTTTAAATGAAAACATCCCAAGAAAGATACGGGGAGGGGGAGGGGGAGGGGCATGGGGACGTACCTGGATTTCTGGCCTGGCAGTCCACGCACCGGTCATTGCCGGGAACCGACTTGATCAATTCTTGCAAAGCTCTCTCGTTGCGCGCCTGTTGGCGTTTGCTCAGAGCAGATGCCATAGTTGGCACGACGGCTCGGCTGAAGGGGAACAAATAAAGGAAGTGCTGGGGCGACAGAAACCCGCGGCAAGGGGACTACGAGCCGGTGATAGGGGGCGGAGGAGACGACACAGACTGCCCTCTCTCGCAGTAGCTTGTTAGCCTGAGGCCAGGGTGAGCTATTCCCAGCTAACTTGATTAGCAAAATTATGTCTTCCCTGTGACTGTCTCAGCTGGGGAGATTGGCGTCCGCTGGTGGGAGCAAGGGAGAGGAGGAGGCAGAGATGAAGAGAGCAACATCAACACCAGGTTATAGCAGCGGGGTCGGGGTTGCGAATGAAACGGTTAGTTGAGAGCAGATGATTTTCTTCCCGTTCTGTGAGGAGCAGCGGTGGTGAGAAGTCGTCGTCTGTCAATTGTCATGGCTGTGGTGGTTGATGGTTTGGTGGAGATGAGAGCAAGCATGAGGCTAAAATTTATAGTTAAGCTAAATCTCCCAGCAAGCGCTTTATCAGCACCAACAAGCACGCCGGCAGGCAAACAACGCTCAACTTAACAGATACGATCGGCCAAACAACACGTGGAGAACTGGTGGCATTAAATAAGGGGCCTGAACTACTTCCATGGTTACTGCTCTATGTGCACCATGTATCTATGTATGTTCATGCAGGAGTTTGTGAGGAAATGCAGTAACAAGTGCATGCTCTGTGCACCCCGTCAGCTTTGCAAAAAAAAAACTTTTGGCCTCGAGTCCAGGCCTGGATGTCGAATCTCGAGTTTCAGACAGACTAACTATATCTAACTCTTGCTAACTCAAGGAAACAAGCTAACTAACTGACAAGCCTGAAATAGCGTTGGGCTGGCGAGAACCGCTATGGGCCGAACCATCGTCTCACAAAACCATTCGCTCTCACCAAGACAAAAAGAAAATTCCAGATGTTCTATTTTTGCTAAGAAAAATCCTGCATCGGGTTTCCAAGTTTGGCCTGTTTCATAGCCTGATGATGTGTTTGATTGGGGTTAGTTGGGTACAAGCAGCTAACTATCTGAAACACACACAACCATTCAGTAACATATTCGACATGAGATAACTATATTTTATATATATACGTACACGGTACGCGCTCGTCTTCCACCTGGGCCGTCATATCCGTGGAGCCGTGGATATATCTCACAGCTCACCCCGCAGCTCACCCCGCCCTAGTCCTTCAGCCAGCAATTCATCCAAGGGTTTCGAATTCGATCTATACGACTAGCCATGATATCAAATTAATCGATCTACGCCGAGTCTATCCGGGTGGGTGTGTTCATGGAAGGGAAAAGAAAGGCCGGAACATGTTGCCTCGAGTGGAATGATTTGTGTCCCTTACCCAGTAGGAGAGAATCCTCTATTGCTACTTTTCACACCAGGATTTAGGACTAGTGCTGGATGAGGATTTCAGCGGATATCCGCCGGAACATCGCCCACGCCGCCCATTGTCCTGTTATCACTCGATCTCACTCTACACTAGAGTGTCGAAAAGATGAGAGTGAAATGGTGTCAAGGAACGGAGGGCAGAAGGGAGACAAATTGTGCTGCGCGAGATGAGAAAGTGCACAGTCTATGTCAATCAAAGAAACAAGATTCAGTCCCTTGACAAAGGATAATTAATTAGGAGATGTCTCTAGCCACTAGATATAGTCAAACTTTTGTGCATATATGAATGATCTCTATGTCTTTCCTTATTGTTAACCGTTACCACCCATTTTGAGCATACTTTTGACTCTAACGGCAAACTGTTCACACCCCAAAATGCGCCGCTTAAAGCACATGTTCTCTAAATAAATCAGCGTAGGCTTCAATCATCCTATGATATTTCCAGGACCACTACCACATGGCGTTCCACTAAGGAGACACCAACTAGTCTGACCTGTGCAAAACATAGTAATAGATGCAGTTGATTTTGTTAAAGAACAAAATTGAGGCGGTTATCATATTTGGGGCCATGGTGGAGATTCAGGCTGGTCGAGCCGCACTGGAAGGAGAACGTCAATACCTTGTACCCTTCCTTCCCCGCAGGAATCCATGATAGATCATGATTCCTCAGAAAAACAGATATGTAAAGACCGAGCTAGCTCTTTGCTGATGACCTCCTGAGCCGAGTTGCTATTTGAGGGGATGCTAACAAGACGAGACAACATCTATGTCCTCTTATACAAAATCAAGCATAACGGTGAGCGATCGATCTAATCATCACCCAATTCCCATCCTCTATCGATTAATATATTTGGACGGACGTGCCAATTTCGAGCTCCAGCCGTGATAAGCCTATGTTACAGAGAATCAATTCCGTTTGCGCAGTCGATGAACACGGCTTTGGTTTCTTTCGGCAAACTTCAAAATGGCCTGTCTACAATTCGAAGGGATTGGTTGCTGCGTGAGTTCACAATTAATGGTTAGCCGCATGGTCAGGAAGGTAAACGGAGAATGGGGGAAGTGTTACTCGTCTTGAGTTTCAGACACATCATCAACCACGCGTACGAGCACCCATATTTGATAGATCCAGAAGCCAGCGCGGGAAGTACTGTGTCTAGAATGATGGGGGTTGTTAGAATCATTGCATGATTGAAGACAACCCCCCCACCTTTTAGGGGGGTTGGTGTATTTTTGATGACGTTTGCTTCATCCGCGGGAGATCGGGGATTGTAAGATTTCTAGCATTCCAGTCATATATCTGTGATTTGTGTGGTTTGGGTCCCCTGTACATAGAGCCATAAGGACCGCTTTTTGGGGTGGAAAGCTACCGCATACTCTCAGACCCAATTCCAGAAAAGACTGGAACCACCACAATAAATGCCCACGTGTGACCTCTTTTGTCATGGACGGATTGATGAACCGTGGATTTCCTGGCTCCCTACATTGTACAGACTCAAAGCAAGGGCCAATCCTTTTGTGTGGGGTACACGCGGGCGTTTGGTGAAGAGTTTATGCCTTCAGCAATGACTGGATGATGATGCGATGCAGTCGGCGAGTCGGGCATACGTGATTGTAACACCCTCTGACGATTAACATACAAAATCCGGCGTAAGAAATACACTATGAGAAGAAAGATTGTAGTCTAAGAGTCTTGGTAAACATTAAGGTGATAACGTGAAGTTGACATCTCTTCAACCCTGGGTGGGTATCTTGGGATTTGGACAATATTGGAATCACGTTGTCGATAAATAGTCCATACATTGGATGGTATTTCTTCAGGAGGCCCAAGATGGGACAAGACGGTTATTGTCCGAGAAAGTTTTGATTAACAAGAATGTTTTTGTCTCTTCAACAGAGGAAGAGACAGAGAAGACATCCTTCAGCCCGAGCATGCCGTAGTCACCTCGTCCGGACGCGTATAAAAATAGCGTCGTCGCCCGAAGAGACACGCTCATCGTCGGGTCCATGGATCATAAAAGCTTCGCCTTTGAAAAAGATGACAAAAGCCAAAGGCCGCTTCACTCTCGGCGCTTTTCATTGACGAGACAGAATGGACGTTTCCCCTCTTATCTAGCAGGCGGTTAGATTCCCGCCTCCATCCATTCAAGAATGCCGCATGGTCTCAAGTCTGACGAGCAAGCGCTAGAGACGTCGCCGTACAATCATCCATAGCTGAATAATTCTCAGCAATGTCATCTGTATGACAGATCCTCACAAATGAGTCGTTATCATAACACTGTTCATTCTGATGGCATCATAGACTGTGGTCTCTGCATCATCGTCAGTGTCATTAGTGATCAGCAACTTCTCAAGGATTTCCTCTGCTTCCTGACATGCATGGTCGTTGGCTTGTACAGCCATGTAGAAGCGTTGCTGAGCTTTGTCGAGTTGATAGTTGACACTTCACAGTGAGATTCCCGATGACTGCTTCATTCCCTTTATCATATACACCAGGCAACTGGCCTGTTGCCTTTTCAATATGCTCCAGAATCTTGTGAAGCGCTATGTCTTTGTCCGACAGGTATGCTAGCGTAAACCGCTATCGCATAAGACGTGCGCTCTTAGTTAAGGACCAGATATACAGCAGGAACAGAGACACTATTGGAACCGCGGAGGTCTATATGACCATGTGGCGTTTCGGCTCCGTTGGTCCCCTTGTCGAGCTTCAAAACCATAAGATCGTGGACGAAAGTTGGGTGGCCTGCATTGTCTCTTCATGGCCATTTTCCACCTGGTTTGCCTGACAGCTAGCACTTCCGTTTTTCCTTGGGCATCAACTAGCGTAATGTGGCCCGCCGCGCATATAACAAGCAGGCGGGTCATCGTCTTGGTCTGTGATAGAGGCCACTCGTAAAGGTTTAATCTTATCTTCATACGCACAAACAACAAGAGTGTTGTCTCCATACTTTCTGATGATGTAGCTTTTCCATGTATAACGCCATCTCCGCGTGCGTCGCCCGGCAGATGACGCCTGTTTTTTCGAGGCTATTTCTGGATAACTTCGCCTTCCATACATTGACCTTCCCCATCTCTTCTTTTTCAGACGCTAGATCGCGAATTCGGCTTGATGGAAACCCGCGGGCTTCTCAAATGAAATCTCCCTTCAAACTCCACTTATCCTCATGAGCGCACACGGACGGCCCCGAGTCTCTAAACGGAGGTTTTGGCGAAGAACTTAACATTCCTGGTGTTCAGCATTAAATTTAATCACTGCTGCCGTAGGCGTTAGAATTGAGGTTTGACTTGGATCTTTTTCAAGTATGAGTGACATGCTACCAATATGCTGCACACTCAGCGGTATTCAATATTGAATTTACATTATGCGAAGCAAAACCGAAACCAATTGTCGGCATTCCAACAACCAAAAGGTTCGCGGTCTTTTTTCCCCTGGCATTTGATCATTTTATGAAGTCAAACGGTATCCGCAACCCAGGCAGGGCCTTCTTCGGCAGCGCCGCTCGTTTTCCTGACGATAGGAAAGAGTGAGGTTTTAAACGGTAAAGCTTCGCTCGATGTTGTCGAACGACCAGAAGAAGCAGCGACATGATTCTGCTTTCTCAGTCATTCGGCTTTCTTAGGGCACATAGGGTTTTCCGTGCGTGTATCGTGTAGCGTAATAATGACCCTGCACGTTTATATGCGCTGAACAATGAAACCATATTTTCAGGTCTAGCCCATTGATTTTGTTGAAAGAGAAGGAAATAAGATAAGATCGTAGTAAAACTTGATGTACGCTATACTTGATAGCGCATCAATGGTCTTAGAGACTTTGGTAAAAAAAAAGACAAGAGATAGAGAGGATACATATGACTGACTAGCCATAAAAAAGTCCCGATGAATTGCGTCAGTTAGTGACCCTTGCATTGGGGTGGTTAACTGACTCAAAGCCCCGAATATCTCAGAAGGGTTAAAGGGCCCCACTATCAGATGCTTTCTCTTCTGGTCTAGTCTCTCTCCAATTCTCCGCCCACAATCGGAAGGGTTTGGTAGGAATAAGGGGGCATTTGCATTCCTAGAGCGTCGGGCGGCTTCGAATCGTGCTGGTAAGATCAAGGTCTTGAAAAGAAACCGCAGACACATTTGTTTGGGCAAAATCCCAACATATCCAATCTGATCCGAGTCTGCACCGTAGAAATAGAAACCAAGGTTGGGACAACTCATTGTTGACTCGATCACCTGCTCGGAGGCCTCAATATCATAGATCATTTCATTCAAATCTTCGAGCTCCATCAACTGAGAGTCGAACTCAGCAGATAAATAGCGATATTTATTCCAAAATGTATGGATCAACCATACATTGCTCCTCTTTCAGTGTGTTGAACCGAGCATCGTTGTTGAACGTTCCCTGTCTAAGATGACCTGGCAATTCAAGACGATTGGCCAACATCCGATCTAGGATGAGGTGATCCAAACTCAACCACTTGCAAGGATCGGTATATGGAGGTTGGACGGCAGACGTTTCTTCGCACCGGCGGAGTAATTCACGATCCGGTTTGGCGACATCTTCGGCAAGATCCTCGGCTTCCGCGTAACTAACCACCTCTGAACGAATGCCGCATTTTGACTAGAGGAAGTCCAATACCTGACGTAAAAACACTGGGGAGAGCTTCCCACTGGTTTCCGCCTTAGTGATTGAAAGAGGGAGGCAGGGCTTAGTGCAGATTCAGTGAAGTATTATATTAGAATCGCAATTTGTCCCTGCTTGCCCTCGAGAGTTTTGATATTGTCACGGAGGTGTTCAATGCAGATGGAATCTGCCAATTGGCCCGCGGTAATTAACGATCACCCGGAGCTGCTCTATAGGTAAATTTTCTTTAGTTGTAGATAGTTAGACTTGGTTGGCCAATTTTCAATAATGATAATTTTTGCTGATATGCAACAGGCATGCACGGGTATCGGATAGTTAAAACGTTTCAAAGTTATTGATTAGTTCGGAGGCTTCTTCCTATTTGCAATTGTCTTCTGTAAAGTATCAGCATTAACATATATGACGCCTGTACCTGTACCATATCGAGGCGGGGGTTCAGAGCAATGCCTAAAGTCTTGCAGGACCTGGAGAACGGCATGTAGGTGTCGTATGTGATCCTCAAGAGTGTTAGAGAATATGACAAGATCATAAATATAGGCGCGCGTGTAGTTCTTGTGGTTTCGCAGTTCATAATCGATCTGACACTGGGCATATTAGGGGACTGCTGCTGAAGCCCCTGGCTGCAACCTTAAGATGCTCTTGGCCGCGGCGAGCTATGACAGTGAGCTTATGGTGATCATCTGGGTGTATGCGCCATTGCCAGGCGGGGTAGGGGTTGGGTTTGTTGGTGGACGAAGACGAAGGAATAGAGAGGCAATCAATAACCGTGATATACAAGAAAACTTCCCCGGGTGGGGGGGGCAGAAATTCTTAAGGCACGACCGTTACCATCTTGCTAACGGTGTGCCATAAAATCCGCCGCAATCATCATGACGGCGCTGTTGTCACTAAGTGTTGCCACTGTAATGGCGGGTAGAAGGAGTAGGAGTCCTTTCCACGGGCCTCAGAAGCCACTGACATATCGCGTTCAAGTTGTGTCGCGCTGCCAATGCGGGTCATTCTCTCTTGGGCTCTCCATCTGATATGCCTTCTCGTCTGCCGGAGCGCACTAGGTACGCTCGTCGCCCCTTAGAAGCATATAGGGATTATTCCTACCGTGCGCTGGGAAACCCTCCCTGGTATGGCACCTGGAGAAGGGCCTGGGCGACTCCTTGCGTTTCTCATCAAGGGGTAAGGGTAGAGTCCGCCCATAGGACTTTATAGGCCTAGGTATCTTTGGAAAAAAAAAAAAAAAAAAATTAAGAGAAGCGCGAGAAACAGGGAAAGATGAAGGGATCCTCTATATGTAAAGTCCGTAGAAAAGATGATGAAAAAGGCAAAGAAATCTTAATCCTTCAAGAGTCCAAAAAAAAAAAAAAAAAAAAAAAAAAAAAAAAAAAAAAAATCACCCAGCAGATCCTTTGCTCTTTACCTCGCTACGTACGCTGGGGAAAAATTATCCATCGTTCCGACGCAAACATTGAAGCTATTCGCAGAATGCATTGTGGCAGCAATCGATGGAAATACGTCGCTGCCAGGGGCATGGCATGGGACTTTGATCATTGCCATTGACAGCTTTTCTAAGACTTCCTCTGTTGTTGTGACGACAATAGTCGTTATCTTGCTGTGCAAATAGTCGGAAGCATTAGAAGAGAGTTGCTTAGACCAAATGAAAGCACTAGAAGTAGTATTAGATGGAGATGCAGTTTGCAGTTAAGTATCCTTTATCATAAATAATTATAGATAGCCCGGTACGCCCTCCAGAAGGCCAGCAGTAACGTAGAGGTAGATAGATAGTTAGGTATTCCTATTAGGCGCGTAGGGAGGCAGGTAAGTATAAGTATATAGGGCCATAGCGGTTGGGGTATATGTCCCCGGCGGGCTTCTGTCTGGCTGCTTTTGTTTTTTTTTTAGGTGGAGGGTCCTGTTCGAAGAAAAGGAAGAAGATGATGAAGAAGAAGTAGAAGAAGAAGAAGAAGAAAAGGAAGACCGGGGCTGGGGGGTTCTTGAAGCTATATTTATCGACATTGGCATTCGGTTGAATGTCTTTTGGGGCGTTGTTAGAGTCACCACCCGCAAACCATGCCCCCGATGACAGTCAACTATTAGTTAGTTATTATTTTCTCTGTGAAGAAGTGAAGAAGGGTTCAAGTGAGTTGCTTTTGTATAGTTATAGTTGAGAGGGGTGTGATACTTGCTGCACCTATTCTTGCTCTATGCCATCATAGCATACCGTGAATATTCCAGTATTTTTATGTGCTTCACATATATTATATATTTCATCCCTCCTGCATCCTTGTTCCTTACACGGGTAACTGTTTAAATGTTCCAGGTAACTACATCATCCCAATCAGCCAGCACACTACGGAGTAACTATGAGGAGGAGTGGATAAAGCTGGGACTGTGTCTGGCTGGGGCTGTGGTATAGCTCTTCTCATTGAAGATCTGGGGATCTCTATCCTAAGAGAGTCTCTATACTTGAGAGAACTTCTATATCTGGAAGATCTCCATATCTGGGAATCTACTCTATATTCAGAAGACTCTACGGAGTATACTCAGAGAGTTTCTATAACCTACCTGATAGTTAACTAGTGGTAATATACTACTAACTATATTGGAATTAGTCGAGTAACTAACTAGTTACTCTGTAACTACTGTTGTGTATTAAATAGAATTAAGAAATGTCACTCACTACAGTAGGCTTTGCTGCTATATGGGGGAGGGGGTTGGTTTGGTCTTTCTGGGGTCAGCTGCAGGCCAGGCCTTGTGGATGATCAGGTCTATGTGCTATCCCCATTGCCTACTAACTATCATTAATTACGTGCATCGTGATGGATGCAAGTCAGGCGGATTTCTTTTGCATCTGAACAAGGCGAAGGCGAAGGAAGTCAGCGATCAAGCCATAACATACGCTATTATTGCCGGAATAAATTTTGTTGTTTGTTCGTTCCCTTCTTTTTTTCCTTCCATCTTTTGCTGCTCTAGTTAACTAACTACTTAACTAGTTACCCGTTACCTTTCTTTCTTTTTGTCTCTCTCTTTTGTCTCTCCCTCCCTCCCTCTACATCATCCTACCTTCTTTTTCTCTTCTTCTTCTTCTTCTTTCAAATCTACGGGCTGCGTGGTGTGTAGACCAAAATAGTTCTTAGCTTCTTTTTCCCACATCCTATCCTCCCTCTTCTCTCCTCCTCACAACATCGAAAGAATGGCCCTTTGTAGTTAGTTATAACACCATCCAGGTACGGCTACCCTGCCCAGAGGTACGTACTAAAGTTACCAGAAATTGCCGAACCTATCAACTTGCATCTACTCCTTGCTAGCTATGCCTCATTAACTATTCCCAATCCCGATTTTTGTCCGGTCCTCCAAAAAGCTTCACTTTTTATTTTATTTGTCTGGTCACTTTCCCATTTTCCCTCTCTCCTCTCCTCTCCCGAGCTCCCTCCCTCCCTTGCCGATTTTCTCTACCACTCCTCCCTCCCTCACTCACGCCTGGGAGAATTTGTATATCAAACGAACCACGGCAAACCCTTCTTCCTCCAGTGATTCATCATCTGTTCATGGATCATTTCTAAGGCAACTCAACTCCCTTGCTTCCCCCCTCCCCTCAAAGCAGAACATACGCCCTCCTACATGGATAATATATATATCCGACTTAACTCCAGCAGGCGTCCCACGTTTGCCTTATAAACCACTTCTTCAGCAGTGGCAGGCAGAGCGTCCTTCTTTATTAATTATAACTTATCACTTACATCCATCCACAGGACCCAGCAGCACACTTCTATGCCCTCTGTTTTCCCCCCCTTTTGACCAGCAGCTATACAACCTACTGACTTGACTTGAGCGGCAACAGGAGAGCATGAAAAGCCTATTGAGAGGAGCCACTTGTGATGAATGGCGTTTTCTTTTCCCCTTTCTGAACACAGGTTTTTCAGAGAATATATCAATCCCCTCTCCCTACTATAATAATACTTATGAGACTTGTCTACAAACAGCAAACAGCAGGAAAGCAACTCAGCCATCCTTCGTCCACCCTCTGCCCTTTCTTCTGTTATTTCTTCCAATCATGTTGACCTGTCTACTCTACCAGTCTATCATTTGAGACAATCTTCTTCTTCTACTTTTTTTTTCCCTCCGTTCTGTTTATTTTTATTTCCTCCTAGCCGATTAGAGAGAAAAATTACTGACCACAGTATCCTTACTAACGAAACACACACAACCAGACGGAGAGAGAAATTCCCACAGAATAGGCGAAAAATATACAGTGTGGGTAACAATATCGATGCACAGCGTGCAGGGCACTAATCAGGACTAGAAGAAGGCTAAAGCACAGCACCACCGCACCCACCTAGGTAGGGTAGGTAGAGTAGTGGGGGAGAAGGGAAGGGAAGGAAGGGAAGGCAGGCGCGGGGGCCAGGGGGGGTTAAGCAGCTAACTTGAACCCGGACTGCGCTTATACCTTCTCCCCCAGGCCACACCCGTCCGTCTACCTCTTTTTATTTCCTTTTTCCCTTTTATTTTCTACTCCATTTTCCTTTTCTTCTCCGCGGCCAAAAATATATATATATATATATATATATATATATATATATATATATATTACGATGATTGATTGTGGATATATGACATGGCCAGACAGTCGAGCGTTATTATTATGTGACGATGGAGCCGGCATTCTCTGATGTAGCCCGCCGGAGCCTGGGTGACGCCTGCGCCTGGAGAGAAGGTTCTCTACGACTGCATACCACCTTTTTAAATATTTTTTAAAAATATTTTTCTTCCTTCTTCAGGCTCCAACAGCAGCGGCAGCAGCAGCAAGGAGAGAGAAGAACAGCATGGGGCCTCCTACACAAATGGACGACATGGGGCCGTGGACCCTACCATACCTGGACAAGAAAAGACGTGCACATGTTACACTGACACGGGCGAGAGAGAGAAGACCAGAAGAAGAATAATGATGTGTTCGAGGCCCATGCAGATCCTTCCAGCGGGTTTTCTTCCCCCTCCTCGCCTTCCTTACTCATATCAGCAAAATCAGCACCACCAACAGCCGAGACCGGAGACGGGAGAAAACGTAACAAAGAGCCTCCCTCCATCCCTCCCTCATTTTCTTTCTATCTATTCACCCGAGAGGGAAGGGGGGGGGGGGGGGGGCAGGCCTCTCTCTGCATATGGGCAAGGGGGGGCAAAAAAACACAAGCTTCCTCAGGAGCCTGTTTACTAATAGGTAATAGATGAACACTAACATACAAGGTTGTCTTTCCAGCAGCAGGAGATCTTGCATTCCTATGCGGGGCTGATTTTATCTTATCTGCGTTATGTCATCCGCTTTCTCTGCCCTCGACTTGGACATTGATGTTGCTTCCTGTTCCATCTCCCCGTGTATTATTATTTATGTATTGTTGTTCCAAGGTTTGTCTGTGCTGAACAGAGTGAGATGAAAACGCCAAGACCGGACTAACCCAAGGAGGACTAGTGAATGGAGCCTCGGGGCCAGAGCCTCCGCCGCATCGGGACTAGCGCAGGCATTGCCCTTTTAGGCGACTCGTTCTTGTCTCTTTCCAAGAACCAAAGACCAAACCAGACCAGACAAACGAACCAAACGAACCAAACCAAACCAAACTCCTCTCTCTCTTCTTCTATTTCTTCTCTTCCTCCTCTATTTCCTATTTCTTCCCATTCCCACCCATTGATCCATGGCTCACTCTTCGTCCTCCACTCTCTCCCCTTTCCCCTTTCCCTCTTTTTCTTCTTTTTCTTCTTTTTCTTCCTAATTCTTCCTAATTCTTACTTATTACTAACTACCTAATTCCCTTTATTATCCAACAACTCCCTCTTATCGCTCTTCCTGTCTTCCCGTCTTCCTCCGTCGTCTCTTCCTCGTCTTCTCCTCAACTCCCGCCCTTCGATCGCCAAAATCCCACTTCTTCCTCCTCCACCAGCATATCCATCATTGAATCATCTCGCCATCTCGCCATCTCACCATCCTGCCATCCCATCCTCGATTCCTCGATTCATCGATTCCTACTAAATGCGCGCGATCTTCTCCCTCCCTCCTCCCCTGCTCCTCCAGTCGCCTCCGTTCCTAACTTACCCGTCAAAAACGTGGCCTCCTCTTGACATCCTGCGACCGCTATCCCACGCCTAGCAAGTCTTCTCGAGATCCTTGTCTACCGCGAATCCACCCTCTTCACTCGCATATTTTCATCACAAATATCATCGAAAATCCATCGCAAAGTCGTCGTGTTTCATCGCTTGTGGCCACCCAAAAAGTCATTATTCAACAAGAACGATTTTCCCCCTCCTCTTAACTTCTCCTACGTGTGGTTGGATTTGCCTTCTCCATCTCGTCTGATCTCCTCGAAATAGACCTCCTTTCGCTTCAGCCATTCTGTCGCGTGGTGTAACGGTCCTGGTTGATGACTTGGTTCGTCAATCGGAACCAACACACCAACTGGAAAAATTTGCGCGTGTGGCTCTGGAAGCAAAGGACACCATTTTCGTTCCACCACCAGAACCAACTCCTCCTCCTCCTCCTCCCCATCAGAATTCCATCACCCAGCCACCTCGTCCGATCGAGGGTTCACCTCTAGAGCGCCAACAACGTGTTCTGGAGGAGGTAAGCTGTCAGATTATGACAGATACCTCCTCTCTCGCAGCCACGCATCTGCCAGCGAACTCCCACTCGGTCACCGTTCAGCCGCTTCCCTCTCCTATTGTTCCTTCTCCGGTTCCAAATGGTAACAGTAACGCCGTTGCGCAGCAGTCTGTCCATGATGACGAAGACGAGCCTTATACCATCAAATGCATCTGTTCCTTCGAGGACGATGATGGCCACACCGTATTCTGCGAACGTTGTGAAACCTGGCAACACATCTTATGCTACTACGACGGCGAAGATGTCCCTGAAGTCCACAACTGTGCAGATTGCGAACCGAGACCCCTAAATTCAAAGCTCGCCACAGAGCTACAGAGAAGGCGCAGAGAGGAGCAGAGCGATGGCGGTGACCGGAAAAGCAAGCGATCCGGCTCCAAATCCCATAGGAAGAAGGTAGCCGCGAAGGATAATAACAGTAACAATTCAACAGGGACCCTTCCGTCCGGTGGTAGCGGCGATCAGACGAACGGCTGGTCCTCCCACGAGAGGGGCTTTCCCCCCGCAAAGAAATCAAAGACCAGTCATCGCTCGTCGAACTCGATAAACTCGCTCACGGGCCTTGCTCCTTCAGTTGGTTCCGACAGTCGAAAGCGAGCAACATCTGCGTCGGCTATGAGCCCTACCAAGGCCTCCCTCATCCCTAATATCCCCCTCTACTCCCAGGAGTTCCTCCATCTGTACGATCATGACCAGGCGAACGTGGATATTCCCAGCAATCTATTCGATAACCTGCAACTAGCAACCGACTTTTCTTCCTGGTTACAAGATCCTGCCCGTCTTGCCCGCGATGCCAATGGTCGCTCTCCTAAAGAAGTCTTTACATATTTAAATCGTCCACTCGACCCTGCGCAGTGGCCAGTCCTCTCCAAACAAGTTGTTACAGACACCAGTGTTGAATACGATGGACGGCATCCTACATGGCGGTTTCTGACTGTGGAAAATGATGTTCACAAGGATGAGATCATTGGAGAGGTGAAGGGCAAAGTAGGTCATTTCCGCGATTATTGCGTCGATCCGAATAATCGATGGCATGAGTTCCATCATCCCTTGCCCTTCGTATTCTTCCACCCTCAGCTTCCGATATATATCGACAGTCGCAAAGAAGGCTCCCAGCTACGCTATGTTCGCCGATCATGTCACCCAAACGTCACCATGAAGACCGTCATCACGAATAACATTGAATATCATTTCTGCCTTGTGGCGAACCAGGATATTACTGCCAAGTCAGAAATAACAACCTCCTGGTACCTTGACCCGCAAATGTTTCCTTCCAACAACGGCTTTGTTAAGCAGGAAGGATCCAATGATGGCATCTCTGATGACTGGCCGATCTCAATAAGCAAAGTTCTAGCCAATTTCGGTGGCTGTGCGTGTGATTCTTCACGATCCTGTCGCCTGGCGAAAGTCGACTGTCGACGACCTCCGAAGAGTGCTGACACAGCCTCGAAACAGGTAAATGGGAGGCGGAAAAAGAGCAAGGCTAAAAATGCGATCTCGCCCGTCAACACGGGCCTAGCTAATAATAGTCGAGCTGCAAGCGAAGCCGTCAAGGCCCAAGTGGATGACGATCAAGGGGGGAGCCGATCAAGGTCAACATCCAATCGCCCTCGAAGTCGAGATCTAACACCCACAGCACATAGTCCCTCAGTCTCGGACCCATTGGCCTCGATGTCTGGGGAGCTTTCTGCGCGCGAGAAACGGAAGATTGCCGCAGCTGAGAAGAAGTTCGAGCAGCTTGAACATGAGCAGCAACAGCCTCAGAAGAAGAAAAAGCGGTCTAGTGGTACCTCTGTTACGGGTACCAGTAATACTGCTACTACTGCCATCGGCGTAAGTTCCTGTAGTCTCTTTGCGAAAGTGGTAACAACCGAACCTAATTATTCTAAGCAGGCCTCACAGACCAACGCTAAACCTCTACGCATCGACACCACAAGTGCTCGTCGATCTTCCAATTCTCCTCGGAAACGCTCGCCTGCGTCCGTTACACCAGGCCCAAAGCCGCAATCTTCGCAAAAGAAGGCGTCGAGATCAACACCCATTGTCGCCTCCCCTCTTCGCCGCCCAGATTACGTCGACTCTGAAATGCAAACCGAGCCGGACGAGAATGATCCGGACTTCGTCCCGCCAAAGCCTCCACGGCGATCTGGCTTCGTTCCGTTGACAACACGACTTCTAAAACGGTGTCATGAGGATAGGGTTCGGCTTCAGCAAATTGGAAATCGTATCAATGCGTCGCCAGTTTACAGTAGTGACATTGCCACGCCTTCGATACCAGATTCCCAGCACGCCATCCTCAGCTCGCCGCTAAGTCGTCGCGAAGATGTCGACATGAAGGACACAGATACACCGATGACGCCACCTAAGATTTCCCAACATACTACCACGACCACTATCCCACCGTCACCTGGCACATCAGCCGCATTGTCTTCCTTAAATATATCCTCAGACACTTCCCCTCAAAAACCGCCTCACCCATTACCATCAACCGTCGCGCATAATTTCCCAATGCCGCGCAAACCTCCTGACAGAGCATGCAGAGCTGACCTGCGAGTTCAATTACCTCCTGCACCTCCTCCTTTCACCACCCCCTCATCAACACCTAACTCGATGATGACAACTCCTACACATCCCACCACCTCTACAAGCACATACAAAGATAAACCCAACTCCTCAACACCAATACTCCCAACGCAATCACCACACTCATTCCCTATCAAATCTTCACCCACCAACGCAACTACTACCACTCCTACAGCCGCCCAACATCCTATGCCTACAATAACGCCACCCTCGAGCGCCATCGCCCCTAGCCCTGTGAAGAAAAAACTTAGCTTAGGTGATTACATGAGCCGGCGCGGTACCTTAACGGCAACTACGCCACCGATTGAGAAACCGCAGCCGCCTCTGTTTTCCGCAGGTCAGAGTCAGAGCCCGTCGACGCCACTGCAACAGCAGGGAGCTAATAGCCAGGGCCAATGTCAGAACTCAATGGATAAAGATACATATAAAGTTATGGCTTCGGTGGATGGACGGGGGAACTTGGCTGGTGGTTCTGACAGTAGTAGTAGTGATACGACGGTAGCTCAGGATGTAGTTATGCAGGATGCTGGTGCGAATACTTCGTCTGCGCCTTCTGCTGGTGTCGCCATGCTAGGGTTACCATCGTGGCCTCTAGCTGCTTCCCCCTCTACATCCGTCGCTACTGAGTCGCAAGGTGGGAGTAATGGATATAATAACAATGGTGTTGGTCCTGGTTCTGGTGAATCACGGGATCCAAGGTTGCAGCATCATTCGAGATAAAGTTCATGTTCTTTTGTAATTTTTTCACTTGTATGGTTGTTTCTTTTTTTTATTTCTTCTCAATTCAAATTACTATTATTTTACTTTAACATTCTTTATTTTTTATTTTTTTTCGTTTTTAGCCGTCTCCCTTTTGCGTTTCCCTGATGAATGGGTTTTGTAGGGTGTTGGTTGTCTGGGCTTTCATGGTTTTTGTTGATAGGCACTTTCTTTCTATTCTAGGTATTTTTTTGTGATTTTTTTTTTAAAAAAAAAAAATTACTTTCACCTCTCACTTTCTTAATCTTAGGACTGACTACTACATTTCCTTCACTTTGTTAAAGTTGTAGTTATATATGATGTAGCAGCCAAAAAACTCATTCAACCAATCACGATTAGGTGATCTCCAGCTAATCCTGCTTAGTCATCTCCAACTTCCTCAACTTCAACTCGTCCTTGGTCGAAGCTGTCTTTCATTCAGTTAAGCATCGCAACTCGTTACACGTACACCTTTTGCTTCTGGCAGATATAGGCGACCAGATATTCCATACAGTTACAACCTACATTTGAGTTGACCCAGAGCGCCCAATTGCAAACTAAAAGGACGAAGTGTCATTCATACAAACGAGGAAAGGAGGCCAGGCCAGGCCCCTGTACCTACCTAGCTAATCAAAGCTCCATTCAATCCGTCTCGTGCGCCATCACGACGACGACCACGACCACGACCAGAAACCACCTCTACAGACAGCAGCAGCAATGGAAACACAACCAACAGACCCTCACCAACCAGACCCCCTCCTCTCCCTCCGGCGCGCCCTCTCCTCCTCCTCCTCCACCACCTCCGGCATCACCCCATCCCCGAACCAACCCGTCCTCCTCACCTCCCCTACCCCCACACCCACAAACACAACCACAGACCTCACTGTGGCCACCCACCTGCACCTCCCAGCCACATCGCAATGCATCCCGCTCTCAACGCCCACGCGCTTCATCTCCGCCGCCGCAGGCAACATCCCCATCGACCTGCGCAGCATCTACTTCGCCTGGCTGAAGCGGGACGTGGCGATTCCGGAGTACATTGCTAGTGCGCAGGCGGTGAATGAGGGGATTGGGGAGCGGTGGGGGAAAGAGGGGAAGGAGGGGAAGGAGGGGAAGGAGGGGGCGGTGGGCAAGGTGGGCAAGGTGCTGCATTTGGTGTTTGTCGAGCGCCTGGATCTTATTACGTGGTTGGAGGGCGCGTCGGAGGATAGTGAGTATATTCGGCCGTTGGCGGGAGATGTTGGGGTAGGAGATGCGGGTGTCGGTGCGGCTACGCGCGCGGCGGAGGATTCGGCGAAGGTTGCGTCGGGGGCGGCCGGGGGGGTATCGACTATTCCTAGTGCGGGTTCGGGGGCGCAAGGTGCTGGTGCTGGTGCTGGTGCTGGTGCTGGTGTTGGGGTTGGGGTTGGAGGGAGGCCGGTGCGGAGTGTCGACCCGCGCCTGCAGGAGATTTATAATGGGGAGCGCAAGATGGGGGATCGGAATAGTGTGCTTAGGGGGATTAAGCCGACGGTGGGGTTATGCTCTCTCTTTCTCTATTTTTTTTTTCTTTTCATATTGGGTGTTGACTCTGGGGCTGACGCTTTCTTTCTCTTTTTTCAATCCTATTATCAGGACTTCTCCCACGTCCGCAAAACCGCCGAGATGTTCCTAGGCCGCAACCGCTCGCGCCCAGGCCAACACGCACAAGCAAACATGGCAAAGCCAGGCATGAAACCCACCTCAACATCCCTATCCAACGGCGCGTCCCTAATCAAACAACCGGGACCCCCCTCCTCCACAAACCCATCCTCCTCCCGGCGTCCAAACCCCATCATCCTCCTCTCCCCCTCCGCCTCCTCCCTCCTGCGCATGTCAAACATCAGATCCTTCCTCCAGGACGGCATCTACGTGCCACCCGACCACCCAACCCTCGCCACCTCCACCGCCTCCAACCTCCTCCACATCACCCGCACCCTTCAGACCCTCCCGGACCCAACCTCCAGCTCCAAACCCTCCTCCACCCCCGCCTCCACCCCCGGCGTCTCCGGCCTCCACAACAACCGCAAACCCACCCGCTTCATCCTCGTCGACAGCACCGCCGACTTCAAGCCGGACTACTGGAGCCGCGTCGTCGCCGTCTTCACCACGGGCCAGACGTGGCAGTTCAAATCGTACAAGTGGTCCTCGCCGCCGGAGCTGTTCAAGCATGCCACGGGCATCTATGTCGGGTGGCGCGGGGAGGATGTGCCGAGGGAAGTTAAGGGGTGGGGCCGCGGCGTGCGCAGTTTTGCGATCGACCGGTGGGATGAGAAGAGTGCGAATCTGGCTGTTTCTGGGGTGGGGAATGCGGGTGGTGCTGGTGCTGGTGCTGTGGGGGGGCCTAGCGGGCGGTGGAGGGATAGGGGGGTTGTGGAGGGGGTTTGGATGGCGATTGAGGAGGGGATGAGGGCGAGGGGGTGGGGTGGAGGGAAGTGAACATTTTTTGTATGCTTTTGCTGTTGATGATACTGCTGCTAATCTTGAAGTTTTTTTTTTTTGCTTGATCTTGTTCATGTCATACCAAATCGTAGCGGGGAAATGGAAATTGTTGTTAGAAATGAATGATACACAGCTATCGTATGTATATCTACAGAGAGATATATATATACCTAAGTAGGTATGATTACTTCGCCTAGATTCTACACCTTCCATCGGATATAGCTAGTTTTTTACTTTACTAGCAGTCGGAATGAAGAAAAAAAGGTGGATTGCAGAAAATAAGGAGCGGGAATGAAAGAGGAATGAAATTCAAGGTGGGAAAAAAAAAAAAAAAAAAAGCTCTTCTAAAATTACAGCAGAGAAGTTTCAAATTTCAAGAAGTGATGAAGTATGAGAATGTGGAGATGTACATAGATAGGGAGATAAATACAATGCCTTCTTTACACTTCATATCTATCCTGTGATGTGATGAGATATATATGTATGACTCAGTATGAGAGCAATATGCACTGAGATGAGCTGATATGATGGAAATATACCAGCAGTTTATGAAGATAATCTCAACCCTCAACTCAAAACATTATAAGCTAGAAAAAATACATATGTGAATAGCAGGAAAAAAAAAAAAAAAAAAAAAAAAAAAAAAAGAAAAGAAAAGAAAAGTAAGTAAAGACACAAACAATCATAGTTTAAATCATCTCTTCAGTAAGTAAGAGAGATAAAAGAAGAACAAAAACAAGAGTTGATGATTGTGTGAAGATGAAAATGATTATGATAGAGAAGGTACGTGTATATATGAAGTAGATATAGAAGATTAAAAAGAGTTAAGATGACAAAAAAAACGAGTCAAATATAAAATAAAAATTAATTAACATAATAATGATAAGAATGATAAGAATATTTATGCAGATGATACCAAGGATAACAACAGCAATGAAACAATGAAAGGGGGAGAAAAAAAAAAGCAATATTCATGCCATGCATAGATAGATTCAATGAAAAAAAAAAAGGGCAAGCAGGGAAAAAAGATACAAATCAAACAATGAAAATGGAAAACAAAAAATAGAGAATTTGCCCAAATATAAAAAGCCAAAAATAAACACTTTCAGAGACGAAAAAGCAACTCCCAATATGCTAGATGGAGGAAAAAAAGAAAGGCTGGCGGGGAAACGGAACGGTGCTGATGAACTGTAACATGTAGAAAAATGCACATACATAAAATGTATATATGAGAAAGATCATTTCCAGATTCAACCGGACACTTTGGAGACCTGTGAGTGAGGAATGAAAAAGCTCAGAGGGAAAAAAAGAAAGAAAGAAAGAAAAAAAGAAAGAAAGAAAGAAAAAAAAAGGAAAGAAAGGAAGAAAATCAACAAAAGAGAAAAAAAGAAAAAAATTATTACATAGGAGATGGGTAGAGAGGGAGAGAGAGGGGAGCATGTGCCATAGCCATATTCTTCTTCTTTTTTCTTACTTTCATTCATTTCAACTCGTTTTGCTTCATTTCGGTCTTTTCTTCTTCTTCTTTTTCTTTTTCTTTCTCTTTTTTTAAAGCTTGGTTTTGGTACTGGCTGACTGTGTCGTGGTTACCACCAGTCATGCCAACGGTCCTGAAATTGGATAAGGGAGCCCCCCGGCGGGCGGGGGTTGACGGAGCTCAGGACCCCGGGTTGGGAGACGCGCGATGTTCGCGGCGAAACGGCGCGGATCCGCGGGGGATCTTAAAAACATATATATACCGCCCCAGTCATTTCCACAACTGGGGTGTTAGTGTTTTGGCCCCAGCACCCCCTCCCTTCCCCACCAAGAAAAGAGAACAATTCGGGCACATCAAATTCCGTCACGATGTTCTCATCGATTGAAACCAAAAACTAGAAAAAAAGCTTGCCCTTCAAATCTTACGACCTCGTGGACCGGCTCATGGAGCGTTCTGGGACGGGAGCAGGGCCTGGAGAATGCGATTTGCCCGAGGCATTGAGGTCGAAGTCATGTTCCTGCAGAACAACGGCATATTTTGGATCCCGCACGAATTTCGGGACGGAGTCCTGTATTTTTTCGAATTTGCGTTCTTTTTTAGTAAAAAGCCCGAACGAAAGGGGGAGGAAAAAAGGGGAAAGGGAAGGGAGAAGGAAAGGGAGAGGGAGGGAGCGTCTCTCTCCCTCCTGAGCTCCAAGGAGGAAAATACTTACACTTGACATGAGTTTGAAGACAGAAATCTGAGCGAGCTCGAAAAGGCTAACCACTTCAGTTAAGCTTTTAAGCATTGATGCATCATCTCCAACGGCCCGTGTCATACGGCTGGCAAGGCTATTTCGTAAAGCGTGCTCGATGTTCAGCTCGCAGGGAGATCCGGGAGCAAGGAAAGCGTTGTATAAGCCTATTATTGTTCATTATCAGTTACCAGTGAACCACGCTGAAAGTAGCTGGGTAGAGAGGAGCAGAACGCTGCAAGAAGTAAAACATGACGAAAAGAAAAAAGAATTGGTTTGAATTACAACAAATGAAAACTCACCATATGCACTCGCAAGGGTTTCACGGACGACATCCATCTTCGCAAATGAACCGGCTTTTTCCTGCTGGTGGTAATTTATCGTAAAGTCAGAAACGTCAATATAAAACGACAGGTTCTCCTCGCAGAGGGAATCGCGCAGGAATTCCCTGAACAGTAGTCGCAGGGCGGGATCTTGCAGGATGTTGTTTAGGCGGGCATTGTTCGAATCTCGAGGTGCAACGCGGCCGTCGTACGCAGTGACCAGCGGCTTTTCCCGTGCGATCCATCCACAGACCCGTTGTCCTCGCTCGGTCAATGCATAGATAGAATACTTCGTTGGCTGGAAGGCTGCCGCTTCCGGGTTATGTTGGGCGAAATTCTTATCCTCAAAGACGGAGTGAATCAACCCGTGCTTAACAAACATCGTTGCAATCTCGAACGTTTCCCGGCGGTCTGTTGTCGTACAGCAGTCCATCAACCAATCCACCGCTGCCTTTCCGGTAAAAGTATTCTGGATGACTTTGTCTCCGATTTTTCTTTCCTTCGCCATTTTCACGCCGACAAGTCCATTAGTGTAGTCACTCACGGAATCCGAATCCGAGGTCGAAACCGACGGCTTGAGATTAGGGCCATCTTGGCCAGCAAACCGGCGGAAAATAACCTCGATTGTAGCACGGTCGTGGGATATTTGGTCCGTGGTATTTTCTCGTTCTAGTATTACCAGCTGCATAGTATTTCGAGGGGATTCGAGCACGTCAATGATGTGTCTCGCAGTGATCCCGTTTCTTTGGCAAAATCGCTGCAGGATGTTGATGCCCTTGGGTGTCAATTGGAAAAGCGCGCCCTTGAGAGGGAATTGAAGACTTATCCTTCCGTCTACGGACTCAATGAATCTGGCATCTACAAACCGCTGACATACTGAGCGGGCCATTTCCTTCGCCATGGAAAATGTCGTGGTCGTGGTAGTCGTGACAATGCGTGAGGGGTCTTTGGGGTCCGGCATACGATTCGATTGCGAGAACTTTAGAGAACCGAGATTGTTGATGGCCTCTTCCGACGTAAAAGTATGGTCGAACTTGGAGAAGCGCACTCGATGCGTCTCTAGTTTCAGACTGACCATCAGCGTCGAGAAGAGGTCCTTGAAATCCCTAGTAAATGGCCTATCATCACTCGTCATGCGCAACAAGCGCGAGGAAGTTTGGTGCATCTTGCCGCTCGACATGGCAGCGTATGGATTGTTGTCAGGTGCAGAAGTGCAGTGTAGCTGTGGTAGATTCCTCTGACTTCCCTGAAGAGTGGATCGTCGAGACGCAGTAGCAAAGTGAGTAAGTTGGTTGGGAGACACTGAGGGACTAGGAGTGGCGGGGCGGGAGGGGAGGGTTAATGTGAGGTTGTCCACAGAGCCTCTGCGCAACGCTTGAATCGACAGACGGTAGTCGTGTTTGCCCGCACCACCAATACCGGAGCTAGGTCCGCTATCGCCGCTACCGCTACCACTACCACCTACACTACTACCGCTGCCTCTGCTCTGGACGTTGGTCCTATCCTCAAAGCCGTTGTGAGAGCTTAATGCGGGAGACGGGGTATCTCGAGCTGGCGGCTTCGAGAAGTTGGAATTTGCAGGGGAATTACGAGAGGGGGGATTTGATTGGGGGGCCGCGAGTGACGAAGTGAAGCTATTAAAGGCCTGGGAAGTTTTTTCTATAGCAATTGCAGCAAGAGAGCGACGGCTGGAGCGAGACGCAGAAATGGTGGTTGAGGAACGATAATCGCAGACACGGGAAGAATTGTCGTCCGAACCTAAGGGGAGATAGGAGCTGGGAGAATAGACAGCTTTATTATTGGATCCTTCGCGGTACCTGTCGAGAGCAGATAGAGTGCTCATTGAAAGAAGGGCAAGGTACTTAAACGGGGGGACGAACAAGGGGAGGGGGGGGGGGGGGAGGAAAGGAAGGAGAGAGGAGGGGGGGGAAAATCAGCAGTATTCGTCGGAGCAGAGCAGTGGGTTTTTGGGTTCAAGCTGGAGAAGAGGCCGGAAATAAGGCTGGGGGCCAGCAGGAATACGCCTGCCACTAACGAGTCAGCAAAGCCAAAGTGACAGGAGTTTAACCGCAAAAACAAGAGGGCAGGTTGTTAGGTGGCCCGCAGCGCTAAAGAATAGGTGAACTTTTTTTAAAAAAAAAAGTTTGGCAAGAAAGAAGGGTAAAACTGGAAAATAAAAGCCAGGGGGAAAAAATAGTTAAAGGTAGGGTAGGGTTATTATTATGGGGAATGGTGCATCCGGATTGGCAGGCCACTTGGAGGGCAACAAGTGGTGGGGTAGAAATTTAGTAGAGATGTGATGATGAGAGCAAAAAGAAGGGAGGTTGAGTGAGGAATTGGCTGCTGAATGATGATGATGATGCTGATGCTGGGAGATTTGGACCTGAAACACGAGGCTCACCTGGGCTAGCACGGCGGAGATGGAGGATATCGAGCGGGGAGTGAGATCCGCCGCTGCAGGTCGGCCGAGGTAGGGGGAACAATGGAAGAATAATTGGCCTGCTTTGGAGATCTTCAAGTTCCAGAGGAATAATAATAATAATAATAATAATAAATACTCCGTAATAGTAATAGTAATAGTAATAGTAATAGTAATATAATAGTAATAATAATAATAATAATAGTAATAGCAATAATAGTAATAATGAGAAGAAGAAGGAGAAGAAGAAGAATAGGAAGAATCTGGTAGGCTAAGGGATTCCAGAAACCACCAGCCAGCAACAGACGAAATCGTAGCCGACCCTGTAAATACAATAATAATATGTTGATTAAGTGGAGACTGCTGGAACTAATACCAGACAAGAATAGGGACCAGAACGACGATTAAAATACAGCGGTCCAGGTTGGCGATCAAACAGAAGGTTGTGGGTTAAATAATGAATTCGCGGAGACTGGCTTGTGGTATTATTAATAATAAATGCAGTGTCTGTCATCCACAGAAACGCATGGCGAAAATCCAGTAGAGAGCGTACAGCAGACAAGAAAAAGGGCGTGTCGGCAATCAGGAGAGTTGTACGAGATTGTCTGCTGTGCGCTGCTTGGTTGGAGTGGGAGTTGTTGATATCTTTGCACTCGATGCCAGGCTATTTTGCTCTCCGCTGACTGCAGGCGATAACCGTGTGTCTGTGTGAGTAGGCTGCGTATGTGTGATATGTATGTATGTATGTACCTGGTGCTGAGTCGAGAAACTGAGATCCCGAGATTGAGAAGAGGCTGATCACAGGGTTGGTCGATGGTTGTTGGGCCAAGGGTGGATGACGACGGTGCGATGGGGGAAAAGAAGGGGTCCCAAGGGTGATTCAAGGAAAATTCCAAATACAAGGGGTTGTTGGGCTGACGGGTTCTTTTTCTTTTTTCTTTTCTTTTCTTTTCTTTTCTTTTCTTTTCTTTTCTTTTCTTCTTCTTATTTGGTTCAGAGATGGGGCTAGTAGGTTGATAATAATCAGTCCTAGTTATGGAAATATCTCCAAGATGAAACAAGCAACGGGGGGGAAAGAGCAAAAAGAGAGGGAAATATATATATATATATATATATATATGTGGATTATCAGCCAGATATACACGGCAAAACCACTATACATGATACGAGAAAGAAAGGAAAGCCCCAAACACGCAGAAACGATCGCCGAAGGAAAGTTAAAAACCGGGGCAGCCCAACAAGACAAGCCTTGCGACCAACTCTCCTGACGACGCACAGAAAAAAGAAGAAGAAAAAAAGAAAAAAAGAAAGAAAAAAAAGAGGGAAAAAAAAAAGCAAAAGCAGCCCAGGCGTCACAGACTCACCGGATCACAGCTGGGCGCCCGCAGATCCTTCGTGGCTTGCACGCTACAGCCTAGCTAGCCCAAGTATCCCAGCATCGCCCAGCAATCACCCAGCAATCACCCAGCAATCACCCAGCATCACCGAGCTTAGCGTGGCCGCTGGCAGTGCCTGGGCTAGAGCCTAGGGGGGGCTTTCAAACTCCAGCCAGGCTTTTTGGCTGGTTCGCGGTTAGACCTCCGCCCTGGATATGATATGACTCGTTGGAAGAGAGGGATGGTTATTGATTGTCGTTCTGATTCAGGATTAATTAGTGGTGATTTTTAATGGGAAGTTACACATATACTGTACCTAGCAAGTTTGCTAGCAGCAGCCGAGCCGAGCCGGGTCCTAGTAAACGAACGGGGTTTGTGGGAAAAAGGTGGCGATGTCGACCACGTTTTTTTCTTTCCTTTTTGTTCAACCTCGTTTTCCCATGTCCTACTTAGCGTGGTCGAGATGGATATGGGTGGTGGTGGTGGAGGTGGAGTTCGGTGATATTTGTTGTAAGCTACTTACTACGCTCGGAGTTCGTAGTTAGTAAGTTAGTAGTTAGTAGTCGGTGTGTATCATCACGGATCACGAGACTGGCCAGCGCATCCATGGAATGCTCCAGGGTCAAGAACGTGGCAAGCCGCAACTTAAACACGCTCCACCCACCCTGAGGCGGCGAGGGGTTTGGTGTGGAATTATTTGTCGGTTCGGGGTTTTCTAGAAAATGGCTTTATTTGTCTTCTTCTGGACAAGCCTATTATTATACCATGACATTGCCCTCCATCTAACTAACACATTTTATACATCTTTTATACTCTCCATATAAACTCGCCCATCGCCCAAACATCAATCACCAAACACAGTCAGTTGAACGCAGCGAACACACACGTGCGAAACGGCAAACTAACCCACCAACCCTCTCCTCTCTCCGATAGCGCGCGCCTTTTGCCATATGGGCCCCCTGCTAGGCTGCTTAGCCTGCTTAGCCTGTCCTGCTAGGCTTGTTGAACGCATGGCAAGCCATTCATCATTTATTATTCACCAGGCTAACTAAACTTAAGACTCACAAGGGGGGGGGGACTTTGTCAAACTGGCTCGCTCTCTCGTTCGAATAATGCGGAGTATTCATGCGGGCTACGGCGGTTGACCGAAATTAATTCCTATTTCTATTCCTATTCCTATTCCTATTATTATTATTATTATTATTATTCTTTTTCTTATTATTCAACGCCCGTCCTCTCAACTTGCAAGCACCCACCAACCACCAACTACGCCCTGTCTCAGAGTTAGCTTGCAAGAGGAAGAATTGACTTTGAATTCCTGAAACAAGCTCACGCGGGGCGCCCCGGTTGGACAGGGGGGGAAAGAATAATTATAATAATTGCAATAAATAAAAAGAAAAAAGGAAAAAAAGTATAGGTATAGAATAGTAATAATAAGTTAGAACAGTGCTCATCAATCACCTCTTGATTAAAATAAAAGCTTAGCACATCTCTGAGAAAGAGCTGAGACTTTTTTTTTTTTTATTTCACTCATGAGCTGGTTTGGTTGCCTTTCAGAATAAATTATCAATTTATTCAGGAAAATCTGTGTATAATAATAGTTATGCTGATTTATTAACATGTTACAATCTCAACAGAACATGAAGAGTTATCTTGTATAGCTATTACTCTATTTTTCTTTACAATTACTATATACATATATAGATATAGATATGATTGAATCCAGGTGTTAAGTTAATTCAAAGTGGAAAAACTGAAATGCACTAACTTCTGAATGTTATTATAATAATCTCTACACCTTCATTTTTGACATCAAAGATATGACAAACAACATGATGACTGCCAGCTAAGTTCTAACTAGGTATCTGATTCAATGGCAGTTAACTATGTATGTACAGTACATGTACAGTACTTCCAGTATGTTTCTGACCAAACACAGGCACCAGTGGTATGTTGAGCTGAGAAACAACCACCATTTCTGCAGTTGATGTCTGAGCGTTAGACCAATGCATAGATGGATGGGAATGATGGCATGATCAGTTTCTTGGCTGTTCAGTAGTAGTAGTAGTAGTAGTAGTCTTCGAGAAGGAGTGGCGCCACCCACGCTTAATCAAGGAGGATAGGAATAATTACCAATAATATAATAATGAATGGAGGAGATGTTCTTCTAAAAAAACATGGGGAAAAAATAATAAATAAAGACCAATAAATAAAATAAATCATGATGGGAACAACCCACCCAGCCGTGGAGGAAACAGTTCGGATGCTATTTATTTCCGTATCGGTCAGTTCCAAGACTCGAGTCAAGCTCCCGCTCTCTCTACCTACCCTCTTCTCTGGCAGGGTTTTTTTTTCGCTTCGAGGCTACAGCAAATCGCGACCAAGGAGTGCATTATTTGTGTGGGAAATAATAGTAATAGTAATATAATAATGTGTCTGCAGTTGTCCCTTTCCTGGATCGGCATGGCATGGCATGGGAAAACAATCATTCATGGTTGGAGGTCCCTCTAGCTTTATGTGTAGTAAGTTATATGATAATATTCAGATGCACTCACTCTCACTCTTTCAACATCCATCCAGACAGATGAAGAGAGTGAGTGAGTGACCAGAGGAACTTTTCCTCCCCTGTTTGAAAACAACCTACCCTACCTTCAGATGAGAGAGAGAGAGAGAGAGAGAGAGAGAGGAAAGAGAAACAAACCTGTGTACAGAGTGGCAGGGTCCCATAACTAATAATGGTGGCTTTCATTTCCCTCCCTCAAGCTTTTTTGTTAGCAGGGGCAGGATATCTATCTATAACCGAGAAAACCCGCCGTGCAAAAAGGCAAAAAGAGAAGAAGTTTCAATTGCAACTGGCTTGAAAGGGCCCTGCTTAACTTACCAGTCTACTCCGTAGTGAGTACTCCGTAGGTAGTTAACTAGTGATGAATCACAGAGCAGAGATTTCTTATTATTACTACTCTGAAACTATTGAAGTTTGCTGCAAACAGGGAAACAACACCAACAACACCAACACCACCATTCATTATTTCATTATTATTATTATATTTAATATTCTGTTGGACGGACGGGGCAGCCTCTTGAATTGAAATCTCGGCCATCTCAACCAGCCAAAGGAGGGGCCCTGTTGCTGGGTGGGACTTTGTCTCCCTTCCTCTTGACAGAGTCAGTCACTACTGCGTACAAGTACGATGATGTGAGAAGACGACGCTGAGGAGGAGGAGGAGGAGTAAGAGTAAGACCACTCTCCCATTCCATCAGTACTATAAGTGTTTCTTTTCCATTATTTACTTGGCTCTGTCTCCTCTCCTCTCCTCTCCTCCACGCTTGGGGTGTTTTGGTGACGACAATTTATTTCAAATCGGACCAATTCATCCTCCTAACTACCTACCTACCGCCACGTGGAAAACTGGAGCCCGTCCGTCCGTTCCGTCATCGTCATCTTATTAGCATAACTAACTAGTTAAGTTAACTAAGTTAACTAACTAGAAGCTGCGGGGGGGGGGGGGGGTCTGCTAAAATCTGCTAACTGTGGGGGAAATAATAAAATATCGCACCAGAGAACGTGTTTTCGACCCAACCAACCAACCAATAATGTAATATAAGTCAACTAACTTAACTACACGAGTCATTTGAAGAAGGTTTTTTGCCGATGCAGTCTCCATCTTCCATCCATTATTATTATTATTATTATTATTATTATTATTATTATTATTATTATTCCATTCATCAGAGTTTCTAGTTCCGGGCATCTGACCGCCGTTTGGCAAGCAAGCCCCGTTCTTTGAGATGAGAAGAAAAGAAAATTTAAAAAAAAGCAAAGAAAATAAAATAAATGCGAAAACAAACCATAAATTATTCCTCCTTTGCTTTTCCCACCAAACGATCTACACAACCCGTCAGCTTTGCGCCTCTTCTCCCTGGCTGGATTCAAGGCTGTTAACTATTGCATTATTCTTATGTAAGGTCTCCTTTCCTCCATCACAACCACCCGCCACCTCAACCCGCTGCATCTCCCAAATGCCGAAACAGTCCTCACTACTAGTTACTACTAGTCCAGTCCGGAATAGTATTCTTGAGAAGAAGATGGCTAGCGGTATCTATAGCGAATGAGAAACGGCAGCGCTATGGAGCCCAGAAAAAAAAAGAAAAAGAAAAAAGGGCTTCACCCAAACCCAAACCCAAGATACGGTACAAAGGACAAAACCCATTTTTGAGGCTGAACCCAAACCCAGCCTTAAGCCGCTCCGAGAACCAAGAACCAAGAAGTCAGTCAGGCCTCGGAGTCCCAAATGCCACATGTTTTCCACGTTTTGGAACCAAAAACAAACCCAGGAGAAATGAACAAATATATATTATAGGTTGGTTACCTAGTTACCTACCTGCCGTACGTGCCATGCACTCCTCCTCCATTACATTACCCTCCCTTTTAATGGCCCGAGACAAACGGAGCTCCCGCATGGAAACTTAAACTATCTATCATTTTTTATTTTATTTTTTATTTTTTTCCCCCTTTTTTTGGCGGGACATTGCGGGACATGTTGCCACAAGCCGCAGACAGAAAAGATATCATCCCCAGCACAGGGTATGCTGTATGACAGGCCCCGGTTGCAAAAGGGAGCGCCGAAGTGTGAGAGATATCTATTGTAACTACTGTACATGTACTGTACATCTACTCCCTACATATATATGTGACCCATCACAATAACTATCAATCATTCTTTCCCACCGCGAGAGATGGCTATGACCTCTTTTCTCTCTCCCAGGGGCCCAGCCCTCCCTCCCTTCTCTCTCCTCTCTGTCCTCGCCTCACCTCCTTTTCCTCTTAGCTCCAGGGAACAATAATTAAATAATGATGGCGGCTCATCATCAGCAAAAACAAAAGTTGGCCCCTGATTGATCCATCATCATCATCATCATCATCATCATCATCATCATCATCATTATCAGCGACAGCGACAGCGACAGCACTTGCTAAATTCAAAGGGAAGGGACTCAATAAGCTCATAGGAGAGATAGTTTGACCCAAGTTAGCCGGGTAAAAAGAAGAGGGAGATTGCCGACTCCTTGCCGGCCTTGCTTCGGCCGCCTTTTTTCATTTTGGTTTTTTGTGGCGCATTTTTCTCTTGAGGGCCCCCGGGATCCCGGGATTTCCCCCCTTCCCCCTTCCCCCTCCCCCCCCTCCCATCTTGAAATCTCTAAAATAACTCAATTTATGTATAAATTAGGCTGGATGCGAATATTGGTAGTTACCGTACGTGCCGGGCCACGCTGCATGCAATGGCTGGGAACTGGGAAGGTTCTAATCCCTCAACCAACCAACCATATCAACCATATCCATATATATCCATAGGTATGGTATGGTATGTAACAAGGTTAGGTTATGGTGGATGAACCTTTCTTGATCGGTTTGCCGGGTTGGTTGGATGCAAGCTGACCGACCCTTGCAAGGGGCCCCTTGTTCTCGAAAATTTCCCATTATTGAGTCAAATTGGCCCGATTCGAGATGGTAATAATAGATAATGATCTTTGCAAGGTCCGCTGGTTTGATTTAAGGGGTGATAAAGGGTTCCCAGTCGTCTGGAGGGGGAGGTAATTAGCAAGCAATGCACAGTGGTGGTGGTGGTGGTGGTGTGGTGGTGTGGTGGTGTTGGAAGCAAAACAAAACAAGCCCTGGGAAGTTGAATTATTAGAACCGAAAGAGGGCTCGGTTTCATTTTTGCTACAAACCGCTGGTCTCTTGGATCTTCTTCATGGCCCTAGCTACGGAGTAGAATGACAGAGCTCTAATAATAATGAATAAAAAGGGAATCTAATCTAATTCAGGGTCTTACCATTCATTTAAAATTGTTAAAGCGGTTGCCAGATAGAATTTCTCAAAGCCCCTATAAGCTAGCTTGCTATTCGATCTTGTGGGAGGAGTAAGTACTGTAACAAATCTCCAACAGAGAAAGGGACGCAGACGCACGCCTATTACTATATAGCCTGCCAGCCATATTTCCATTTGCTGGACTGAGTCCAATAGCGAGTGCCCTGGGTATCGAGTGAACGCAGTAGATATCGAAAACGATTGACATCATAGCAGTAAGCGCCTAAAACTAGTAGTAGAAGAAAAGCTAGGTATTTAGATACGCACGCCTATGTTTCTCGGCTAGGTCTTTCTTCATTTACTTCTAGATAGATAGATAGATAGATAGATAGATATATATACATTCGCATAACGCGCCCACCAACTTTAACAAGTAGTTAAAAGAACTAGTTATCTAAAAAAAAAAAAAAAAAAAAAAAAAAAAAAAAAAAAAAAAAAAAAAAAAAAAAAAAACTCAACAAGGCACAAAATCACCGAACAGAAAAATCCATAGCACCCGCCCAAAGAAAAGGGAAAAACACCTACACCTCCCTCCACCACCTTCCCAGCGCACCAACACCACTATCCCCAACACCATCAAGCACCTCCTCAAAGCTAATCTCAATCCTAAACATCCTGCCATCCCCCATTCCACTCCCTCCGCCAACAGGCACCACAAGCCCCCAGTTCACCAAACGCTCCCACGCTTCTCTAGCCACATCTTTGCCCCATACGCGGCCAGGTGTGGCTGCTGCACCGGCCGCGGACGCGGATGTTTTGGCAGAGGTCAGCAGGCGGACGTACTCTGCATAAGCGGCGGGGAAGGATAGGGTGAGGGGGGTTGGCGCTTGGGGTTGGGTAGCGTTAAGCCCTGGATCGTGTAGGGCGGTTAAACGGGTGGCGGCAAGGAGGAGGGAGAGGGGGAGGGAAGTATTGCTTGTTGAGGAGGTTGCGGGGGGAAAGGGGAGGGGAGCGGGGTCTAGGCAGGAGAGAGGGTGGGAAGAGAAGGATTTTGGGGTCGGGGGTTGGAGATTCCGTGCGTTGGTGTTGGATGGTTGTTGTATACTGTGGTAGAGAGTTGAGATTGGGAGGAGTGCGCTGGTGAAGAAATCCTTGGGGGACTTGGTTTGGTGGTAGATTCTTTGGAGATGGGTTTCAAAGGCGGAATCAGCCCAGAGATTCTATTTCATAATGTCAGTGTTTAGAAAATGATTTGTACCTGGAGTTTTGGAGCTGATGACAAAATGTACCTGGATATATTCATTCCATCCATCAAGTAGCAGTTTACCTCCGCGATTTTTCAGATCATCCAGACCAACCATAGGAAGTTCCTCTTCACTTAGAGCAATCCCCGCCTTGCATATCTCTGAGAATTCACTAAAGCTCCTCGGCCGTGGCAGGAACACATATCGATGACTGAATCTACTCTTTACCCTCTTCTCCAAATTCTCCGTGACATCGACCTTAGTCGTCAGTCCCAAGACGGCCAGCGGAGCCTTTCTCGCCTGAGCAATATCAAAAAGATTATACAACAAAGTCTGGCGCGGATGGTACGCAAATAGGTCGAACTCATCCAAAATAATGATGACAGACTTCGCCGTAGCGATGGCATTGGGGTCCTCAGAGACCCCGAACAGCTCTTCCGGGTGTGAGAGGAGGCCTAGCAATGATGCCATCGTATCGGCATAACTGATTGTTTTGCTTGTCTCATCTTCCGTATTCATTTCGCGTCCGAGCTGTCGCCAAATCTCCCTCAGAGCAATCCGGTCATCTGTGTGAAGAAAGCCGTTCAATCGCACGACGTGGAAGTCATCCCTGTGGTTATTTGCTAGAGATGAAATGACGGCTTCCACAACTGCGGTTTTCCCACAGCCCCTCGAGCCAAGGAGAAGAAGTGAGTTGCCTTCTCCTGCAACGACAGTCTGCTCAACGAGTTGATGAACCGTTTGATATTGAGAGTCTAGGCACCGGAGTGGGATGGGGTGTTTACCCGTAAGTTTTTTGAGAATAAAGGTTGCGAGAGACCCGACATGTCCCTCAAGCTCGCTCTCTTCGCACAATTTTTTGAACTCGTAAGCATATGGCGGTAATTCTTCCGGTTCGGCCACGGGAGTGTCATTGTCCACGAGTTCCTGCTGCAGCTGCAGGGCGGACATATCATGGTCAGCCTCGACTTCATCTTCTCCCTCCACCGCTTCTTCCCCGTCGTCTCCTTGTTCGACAGCCGGGTCTAACTCTAACCCATCTGTAACTCCATCTTGTAATTGGTCCCCATCGTCATCGTCATCGTCATCATCGTCACTAGGGACTTCCCACACTTCATCCCCATTCGATTCCCGATTCTGGACAGCAGGCCGCCCGTTTCCTTCCCTCGATATTCGTCCCGCATGTACGTTAGGATCTGGTCTGCTCCCCGTTCCAACCCCAGCCCCAGCCCGAGCTCCATTCGCCATTCTCCCTTGCCTCTTCGGCCTCGAAAGACTCACAACACTCTCAACTTCACCCTCCCCCTGCGCTTGTCCCAGAACTTCTCCCACCTTCCTCCTCGTCCGCAGAGACCGCTTCGGCTTCTCAACAGGTTCAACCTCCGCATACCGCGTGGGCGGCTTCCTCAGGCGCGTACTAGACCTCAAGCTCCGTCCAGACGACTTGGGTGAAGGCTCGGGTTCATGTTTGTTATCCCTGTGCGGCTCTCCCTCCTCATCTCCACCCCCCTGGTCGCTCCTCCCATCTTCTCCTTCCGCCCCGTTCTCCGCCGCATGTCCATTCAACCCATTCAACCCCTCAACCTCAAACCTCACACCTTTCTCCCTCCTAGTAACACTCGCCATATCATTCGTAATAGTAGCATGTCCATTCATTGAAGTCTCCTCCCCTCCCCCTCTAGTATTATCTCCAACAGCCCCAACGACCTTTCTCCGCTTCGAAGGACGTGCGAGACCTCCAAAGTCACCCATTGTCGGTCAAATGAATGCAATGTAAGTCCAATGACTTTTATCTAGCAGTCGTGCGTATAAATTACCATGAAGGGTAGATAGATAAGTTGCATCGTAATTGCGAAATTGAGAATGGCAAAGGCCAGCTTACCGCGGAGGAGGTAGCGCGATAATGGTATTCGTTTTTCCGAGCGGTGTAAACAAATAACGGGAGATCAGTAGGGAGGAGAATTGTGTGGAAGGTATCTTGAAAAGATTGAATCGTGTAGCCAACCTTCTATCCGGGGTTCTGCTACAGACTGGCAGACTAGTGGCCCAATGTAGCGAGCTGCGTGCGGAGTTGAGGTCACGGCAGTGGTTTACGCAGTATAATTCGAGGCGTTTTAAAGGTTTGAAGTTCGCGCGGCTCAAGCGACGCGGAATCATGTGACTCTCATGTAAAGGGAACCTTGGAAGCAATGTTATGAGACTACTGTCATTAAGCTATATTGAACGATTATGTAGCTCGTTCTGGGATATATACTACTATCTAATATACAGTCTTGTGACCGATGGGGTCCTGCTTTCTTTCCTTCCGTTTCCACTAGACTTCCCTTTCCACTAGACTTTCTTTTTGAGTGATTGAATCTAGGACGAGGATGCGATACGTCCACTTTCCAGATTTTCAGAACACACGACAGATACGAAGACGTGAAGTTACCAGGCTTCAGGGGACGGTGACCGCACCAGATATAGTTGCTACTTGATCCTCTCGAACCGGATCCTCCTGGTTCGAACTCCCCCTTGGAGTCTGCAATTTTACTCTCTTTGTCCTTCGGAAGCAACATTTCAGGAGCAGGGCATGGTAGACCAGACCAATGCAGTTTAGGCTTCCAGTAGCGATGAACCCAGGTGATGACATACAAGATCGATTACGCTTCATTTGTCCCCAATTTTCGTCGGTGTTTTCGACAGCATTTGAGCTTCCTCTGGCACGGGTGGGGTGGGTGCTATTTTCGACCTTTAGTGGCCATTACCTTCTCAGATTCTATCATCTTGGGGGACTTACATTGGATACCCGACTTGTCCATCTGGTGCAGTACTTGAAGCTGTGGAATAGAATGTATTGGTAACCCGCGGAAGCTTCCCTCCTTGATTTTCTCCTAGTTGCGGAAGAAACGAAGGACCTGAGACGTATTTATTGACCATGTTCATTTCATCAGCAGTGGAAGCTCCATGGCTGAGACCATTGTGAGCATAGTTTCCAGATGATCCGATATAGATCTATTGAAAGAAAACAAGAAATTTAGCAAGCTGAATACATATGAAGAAATAGGGTAGGTCAATTTACATACGGGAAGCCGCGCAGCAAGTTCGGAGGCATAACCGCAGGCAAGTTGCCTCACAGTGCCGTTCTCATCGACCATACCAAGATGTGGTTTTCGCGCGAGCATTTTTGTCTATGATATTAGCCACGGTGCGACGCACCACATCTCGTGAAAACGATGGGGTACGTACTTCTTCAAGGATCATGGTCATTCCTTTTCGACAGTCGATTTTGGCTCGATTTAGGGAAGTCGGGTCACAGCTAATGGGGTTTGGAACCTTGTCTGTGGCATCCTTTGTCTGGTAAAGATCGGGAGCTTTTATCACTTTAAATAGTTAGAAGTTGATTCTCCGGGGGAGAAACGATTGTATCTTACTTTTTGAGATCAACTTCCACAAAGTTTTATACGCAATGAACGCACTGAGAAGCTCGGCGGTATATAGCTCTATGAAAATAGGTCAGACATCAGTAGATAACAAAGTCAATGGGGCATTTACCACACAAGCGATAGTCCAGAACAACAAAAGGTCGTGCAGCCTTTGCATTAAATTCATGGAATGATCGAACGGAGTTGTAGCTCATTAGGATCGCCTGAGTTCTCTGTGAATACTTCGAAACTTGGGCTGGGAAGTCATTGGCAGCTTGGATTATAGTCGGCAGGTCCCAACTCGCCTAGAATTTCCCCGTTAACTATGGACTTGCGGAAACAAAAGGGGCAGTTTGTCTACTACTTTAGGATTTTTGATGCTCCCACCCCCTGACCAGGTTACGGAAATGCTGAGATCAGTATCAGTCCAAATATCCAGATTCTCCCTATCAGCCACTGCCCCGCTCATGGGTTGGAAGTATTTCGTAGCAGAAAGCTGCATCTCCGCCGCCATTTTCACCCTAGATATCTTATTCTTGTCCTGGACTTTGATACTGACGATGGCTGAAAATTCACCACCCTCAAGGAAGCCGGCGATAAAACAATCACCGTATATTTCTGGGAATTGATCGGGATCCAAGCCATCCAGGGGTCGAAACTCCAGGTGGGTTGGGCGGATGGGGAGCTCGTTGGTCACTTTGACGGAGACAATGAAATTGATGTCACTCTCGCTGATACTGTTTTCTTTTACGAAACTAGCGGAACCATTGCTATGGCTGTTGGCATAGTTGATTGTGGCACTTGAGGAGATATTGAGGGTGTCGACAACATCTGCAAGATTGTCGATCGCATGAGCAGTATACGTGACGGTCTGATTCACGTTGGAAGCCTTGACTTTTTCAGTCTTCGTGTTAGGAGGCGGTTGCAAACCAGCATCAGCGGGTTGAGCTGCCTCTTCCGTCGTAACATCGCCAGCATCCCTCATGGGGTCATCAGCATTATCTGGCGGGAATTCGCCCGGTAGACAACGATGCTGACTCTCTGAGCCATCGTTATATTCATGAACTATTACTGCATCATCGATACAGATTTGCTGGGTATAGGAATTGAACCTAATACTAGGAATCAGCATACAGAAGAAGCCCCTCAAATCAAACGTGAGTTTAACCCTTGACCAAGTCGCATCAGAGAAGTGTAGGGAGCTAGGAATGTCATTCTCGAAAACCTTGGAGATCAATTATGACCGGTTTCTATACCCACATAGGTAATACGTTGCAATATAGATAGATGGGAGGCCAAATAATGGATAGGGCTTTTAGAGCAACGCTGGATGACTGTGGATTCTTTTGGACTTAAAAAGGCAGAGGATGAAAAGACCAATACCCCAAGTTGAGGGTGAGGGATGCCTTAACATTATATATATATATAATAACTAACTTATATATATTCATGCCATTTTTATGTCGGAGTGGCCAGGAAGTCGCCATCTCAACAACGACAAGAACGGGTCGCTCCTTCAACAGCTGGCTCCTTGAGTTAGTTGTCAGAAATGGCGTTTAGTTATTTATGGTCGCGGATAGGGCATGATAAAATAGGGGTTGATATTGGAATCCGCCTTTGAAGGCCATTCATTGTTCTTGCCAACATGCGATGACTCTTCATCTCGTAATAATATAATGCATGTACAGAGCGTAGAAGAATCAACACCCTTGGCAGTATAAAATCTATCTAGCAAGGTAAGGTTTCATATATAGATTGTGAGACATGTGACTGCAGTAGCTAAAGTAACTATCAACACTCTCTTTTACTCTCTTTTACTTCATTATTAATTTTTCAAAAGTATAATAAAAATCATATATCCAATGGATAATATATGTGTGGATCACGTGGGTTAGGGCTGACGTCCACGGGTAGGACAAATCATCTAGGGTCCGGTTAGTAAGCGTCATGTCTTCTATCAGGAATGTCTCCCCCGGAAAACATAACTACTTCCTCCATCCCGGGAACACAAGACTCCATTGTCAACCTTTTATATAGCGCGTCGGCAACTTTATCCGTGAAGGGTCCAAGACTGTGTTGCCACAGCTGCTGAATTCCAGTTGCGGGAGCTTGTTGATTGTTTCGAGATCCTTGATTGAGTCCCCCGACACGCCGGTTGTGCAACCATTCTTCGGCCGTTGGACTCTGGAGGGTGGGCAAGCAAGGGCTCCCCTGGAAGAGGCTTCTCTAGACCTCCCACCTAGACACCAGCCACGGTAAGCCAAAACCTCATCTCTGCTTGTTCAATCTGTGAGCGCTCGAGCAAGGTGAAAGATGAAAAGAAGGCTAGCCAGTCCGCTTGATGCTCTAGCGACTCAGGGTTCAGAGCAGCCCATCTTACAGCGTACAAGTTACAACTTATCTACCCTACCACAGACTGCGGCTACATACACAGGTGCAAAGACTGCCTTGCCTGCCTTGCCTGCCTGTCTCTCTCCCCAACCTCGCTGCGCGCCGAGGTTCTCAAGCCCCCCCCTGCAACCCAGCCAACTAACTGGCCTGTCTGGGTTAAGAGTGATGCATCAGAATCCCTTGTTACTTCTTCCGTTCGCCGTGCTAGGTTTAAATAATAATAGCATACCTAGGTATCTCCTTTTTTGCCTGTTACGTCTCATCCACGGCCCAACCAGCTTTGCCGTATTCCCCTCTCTGTGCTCCTCCTCGTACAAGAATAGCAAGACAGGATATTCCGCTCTATTTCCTTCCAATGTGTTTTGTGTTGTTTATTTAACCGCAGACTGATGTCCTTGATTTAATCTCGGGTCTTGATTTACCTCCAACCGCTGGCAGTTGACTTAAACCACGCATCCGAATACCCTCCCTCCCCTTGAGCTTGCCTGCATTCAATTTCTCCAAAACGCGTGCATAGATGATGGACTCTGAAAAGCTCGACAAGCGCATGAAGGCGATCCATGCGGGAGAGAAACGAAATAATGACTACAAGGTACTTTTACACTTACAATGTCACAAAAATTAAAAGAAAAAAAAAAATTTTTCTTCAAACCTTCCTCTTAACGTTTCCCTACCAAATATGCCTCTGTTTTTTTACCTCCCAAAAAACCCGTACACAATTTGTACAGAATGTAATATCAAGCAGACAAAATACATAATACATAAAAAAAAATAAAAAGAAACGAACACTCAAAAATAAAATAAAAAAAAACTAACCCAGGGCTACAATCACGACCTCTTCCGCGACCACGTCCGATACGAGTCCGCCTCCCACAGCCCGCGCCCGCGCGTCTCCTTCCTCCTAACAGTCACCGAACCCTTCTGCAACAAAAACGGCGCCCTCCACGGCGGCTGCGCCACCACCTTAATCGACGTGACATCAACCGGGTTTCTAATCGCCCTCTCTAAGCCCGGCTACTTCTCCCAGGGAGGCGTCTCGCGAACGTTGAATGTCAAGTTCGTGCGGCCGGCGCCGATGGGGGTGGAGGTGCGGATAGTGAATGAGCTGGTGCATGCGGGGAAGCGGATGGCGTTGGTTAGATCGGAGATTAGTAGGGTGGATACTGGGGAGGTTTGTGTTGTGGGGGAACATGATAAGGTTAATACGGATCCTGAGGTGGAGAGGTTGTGAGTGGGTTGTTGTATTTTGTCTTCGAGGGGTGGTGGAGGTGGTGGTGGTAGAAGGGGTCGGTCGTGTTCCACAGGGAGAGAGAGCTTTATGGTTATAACTAAACCGTTATCAAATAAATGCATGAGAACGCAGGATATTGTTTAGTTAACTGTATACTTTGCATGTATGGCCAGCAAAGCCCTCTCCACAGCTAATAATCGATAGAGGAAAGGAGCAAATAGATAAAAAGCAAAATGACGCCCTATATGTACTCATCCTGCAAAATGCTGCTAACAAAAAATACAATGAGCTGGCCCTACACTATGGATGATACGGGTCAGCTATATAACCCATCACGAGCTAGGTAGGTAGCAAGGAAACTAGCATATCACTCTTTTAACATGCTCAGATTCTCCTCTCCATTCATCAAGCCCCTCAAAATTAAAGATGAAAAATCGCAGCAAGACACTATTATTAAACAGAACTCCTTCATGCTAGAAAAGAGCAGCAGCAGGACAAAAAGCAAGTTGTAGAACTAGACCACGGTTCTGTGGTTAAGAGTGGCAGGGGAAAAAAGGAAGAGCATAAAAACGAAGGTCGACGTGGAAGGGCTCTGGTAATTGGGGGAAAAAATAATAAAAAGAGAAATTGGAAAAGGACGGCAAAAATGTGAATGGAAATAGATAATGGATTCCATAGCTTTCAATTATCTATCCCCATTTGCTGTTCTGCTACGCCTACTTAAATAATCATAAACATGCCAACCAAGCGCCAGCTGTGCTTGACATCTGAAGACGAATGTCGCAGAAACCCATTACCACTGAGAGCCCATTTCATCAAGAACAAATAGGGTTCGAGTCGAGTGACGTGCCCATCAAGTATTTTGAGGGAAAGCAACCCCTTGAGCATAACCCCTTCTATCGAGATGGTTGTCCAAATCTGCGTATCGGAGAACGAATTCGCGCTGTTGTTTCGAAAAATTTCAGGATTTTTAACTGAGTCAGCTGCGTCCTCTTGTACATGCACATGGGAATCAGATGTCTCCGAAGCACGAAAAGATTGTTGGTCTGAATGAAACACGGCACAAAAGCAAAAATGTCAGAAGGGAAAACTCACCCTGATTTTCTTCCAGGTTGTAGTGTCCCAGAAGATGTAGATGCCACGCTCGCTCAGTCCTCGTTCCATCTCAACAATGTATGCTTCATCCCTAGTCAACCACGCGCGCTCCACTTTGTGGTATCTCCATTTCCGGCTCATCAGTTCCTCTGCAACAAGTTCCTGCATGACATCCCGTGGCATGCTATAGAATATATAGAATAGTGTTTCGTCGCTGAAGCTAGGGATACGGGTCTGCAGTGGTTGGACATTTGCAACGTTATAGCAAGCTGGTAATGTGAAGTCCACTTGGAGTGGTACGGCTGCATTTGACGAAATAAAAGGAGAAGCAAACGACGGATGAAGAGGCCTAAATCTTGGTTAGAATTACTAGGGCACTCCACCACTCTTCTGGGGTGACAAATTTAGCGAGGGTTTAACTTACTCTGGTTGATTTAGATCTAACCCAAGGGTCATTAAATCTTGACCGACCGCAAGAGTAGCGACATCTGGATTTTCGCTGCGTATCATACTCAGTAGTCCTTGAAGCCCGAACCTATCTCGATCAGACAACTGGGTGAGCGGGGCTTGCTCAGAAGATTGGCCTTGCTGTGACTGTTCTTGGCCCTCGTCCCCAAAATTGCCAGATTTTTGCTGACGATTTTGAGGTGGCTGTTGCATGATTGGTTGGCTTTGCTGCTCTGGGTATGCCTCAGGTCGAATAGTTCGTTGCATAGATGAAGCCCCGAGATCCTTGTGACGTACGGTTAGCACAAATACCAACAGTAGATGATAAGGCGGTGCTTACATCTTTCTCCTGGGAAAGTCCACCATTCTGGACCTGGCCCATAGGTGATCTAGATGTCGACATAACTACAGCGAATGTTAGTCTGTAATAGGAAAAAGAAATTAGCTCAACAAAAAGGTACAAACTGACCGCCCGACCCGCCTGCTCCTGGCGACATGATCCTGCCATCCTGCTGTCCATTGACCATATTTCCAAGTAAGGTACGACCCTGCCCAGAATGGCTCTGGTTGAGATTAGGAAAGGCCATCCCGCCGCCGTAGTTACCAAAGGCTCTGGATTGAAGAAGGCTTGCTCGTCTTTCCTGGCCAATGTCCGCTGGCCCATTTCTCCCTAATGGTGGAAATTCGTCAATATTTCCCGTTTGAGGTTGAGTTCCTCCTGAAAGCTGACCACTTATGCCTTGGCCTCCATTCCTGAAGTCGTCTAGCTGTGCTGCAAATTGTGTCGCGGAGGGGAAGAGGTCTTCATGAGAAGCGTGCGATTGTGACGGAGGTTGGTGAGACAGGGCTTGGGTTTGCGAAACTCGGGACGGCGGTTGGGATGTCGCAGGCGTTTGGGATTGTCTTTGAATGGCACTTTGCTGATTTACTCGCTGGCTGGCGTTGGCCCAAGTAACTTGCCCAGAAGCGGAAGGTTGAGATTGTTGCGGAACACTGGAGAGAGAGGGAAATTCGCTAATAGAAGATATGTCGGGAGTTAGCTTCAACTGGTGGCGATGTAAATGTGCTACTCTCCTGCCCCGAAGGGGAGCTCCTCTGTGTCGCATCCCTTCAGGGAAAGATAGAGGACAGACGCGCTTTGATGACTTGGCAAAATTGTACACTGATGTGATTGTGGAGGAAGAGGCATAGCGCAAGGAGATATGTTGATATGACAACTTACGAGAGATCTAATGGTGTTGCTGGTTGAGATCCACTTATGCTTTGTGCAAAGCTGTTCATAGCATTCACAGTCCTTTGCTGGTTACTTTGTAACCCAGGCGCACCCCCCATTGGCAACCCAAATCCCCAGTTGGCCGCAGTTCCTATACAGGATTCCGGTCAGCATATCAATATGAATCTGGAGTTCAGATACCATATAATAATAACCGCACCGATTTTACCATTTGGGAGGCGCGTAGATACTAATGATGGATTCGTTGGTCGTGTTTGGGGCTGTTGCTGTTGCTGGGCGGGGAAGCCGGACATCCCTCGCAACGGCTGTTGGCCAGGACCTGCATCTCGGCTCGATATATTAGTATCTCTTTCTTATATTCTGACCCGGACAAGCTGTCGGGATGATCTAAAGCCTAGCGCGTGAAGAGATGCGGAGAGGGGGCTCCCTGTGCGGCATGATGCTCAAATGCGGCGGCTTGGTTCAGCTACCATCCTTCCAGGTAGGGAGGCACCAAGCTCCCATCCAAACATACCGGCAGAGGAAGGATCCACGACTCTTTTCCCAAGTATAAGGCCGTAGAGCAAAGTTATCCCGGGACCAGGATCGAAGAGGGAGGGATGAAAGCGAGAACAAACCTGGCCTATTCATGGTGGAAAGCAGCTTCGGAGACGCTTAAGACCGGGTTTTCGCGTATGGTGATTATTGCGCGATAGAACTGGTGATATCAATGCACAAGACGACGAAGGTGTGGGAGAACAAGAGCATGAGGTCGATACACCATCGCCATCCAGTCAAATGCCTTAGGATTACCGCTGAGAGGAGCGGAAACTCAAGCGCTAAGCGCGCGTCTATACACAGCACACGGGCCTTTGGATGGTTCCCCTTTCGTTCATCGCCCTCCGACTCACAGCATACACTACGGCAAGTTCAGTGAGATACATAGCTACATATATGAAGAGGTATGGGCTGCTAATACCGCTATACTGTTATCGAATGAGTTCGTCTGAAACGAAGGCGACTGTAGGTTTCCCACTGCGCTTTGAAACTGGGTGTTGTGGAATTGGAATATACTAGTTGCTCAGGTGTCTCCACCAGTTTTATGAGAAGCATTCTGAGAAGCTGGTTTAACTTATCGATGTGTCTAAAAGGCGTGCTTTGAGCTTTTAGCACCATTCATTTTGGGTGCAAGCTACCGTTATGCACAGGCTCCTATGTTTTGTCATTTGATTTGAAGGTAGAATGTCATTCGAGAGTATAAAGCTAATAAATATCGCATTCTTGTAACATTGTCATCAACAACAGGCCAATGGAGTCCATATGAACTCCGCAACTCAACTACAACTACAGGACGAATCTCCAGCTGTCACCATCTCTGACCCCTTGATCCTGCAAGCGTCCTCACCGCCCAAGCTGCCAAGCTTGAGGCTCGTATTCGCTAAAGCACGTGATTATACTAGTCTCAGGTCATTTCTCCTCTCCGAGAAAATTTTCACCCTTCAAAAGCGCGACGATTCCTCCCATCAGCCTGGAAAGATGCCGTCACGGTCTATCACTCGTCTTGCGAGACAATATGGAGGCACTCCGCTGGTCGAGCTGCCTCCTGTTTTCCTTGCTCCTGCTCTTCAATTCCCATTGAGCTTTACTTGCTTCCAATGCTCGAAATTTTCCACTACACCAACTCCTGGTTTGAAACGGGACCTGAGTAAACACCGTGGTGTGTCTGCTATTCACAGGACCGGACCCAGGCAGCCACTATCGGTGTCAAAGTACCCTTTACCACGGCCAGTTAAGCCCACGGAGCAGGAAAAACGACCTAGCAACCCGAATCATGGCCTCTGGGGATTTTTTGGACCAGATCGGAAACCTATCCCAACTCCAGAGCAGGAATATGCTCATGGTAGGCGCACACTGCTCTGGAAGCGGACGTTCAGTCAATATTAAGTAAACAAGGAAATTTCGCTAATACTACCGCTTAGGACGTGCTTGGTCGATCCAAGAGCTTCGGCAAAAGTCATGGGATGACCTTCACAAGCTCTACTGGCTCTGCGTGAAAGAACGCAACCGGATAGCTACCGCCCGCTGTGAAAGGCAGCGGCTACAGGCTGGTTATGGCGACTACGAATCTAACAATCGTGACAATACAGTGAGTATTACTTTCCCTTGACAACACTTTGTGATTGTTCATTTTTGTGATGAGATATTTTTTCACTCGCCGATATGACTTTTATTGGGACCGCTTAAGCCCGGTAGAAATGATATGTATTTGAAACTGTTTTCCTGATCCTATCCTTGCACTTGTTATGTCTTTTATGATGTTATCTTTGCAAAGTCTAAAAATCATTGTACGCCTCGTTACCATTTATCCACTCTCTCCAAGGAGACACAAATTATCTAACTCTGTTATCCGGATAACAGGTACGGGGTACGCAACAATCGATCAAACAAGTTCTTCGTGAGAGATGGTATGCCTGGGAGGACGCCCGACAACTTTATGAAAGTGGCGAGTACTCTCCCGCTGATGCACAAGTGATGGAGGAGGAGAACGTTTATGAACCCCCAGTGTTGGATGTGGAGGAACCGAGAGGCGAATCATCACCGTCTCATAAGGTTCACCCATCGTCCTGAGCTACTTTTGTATCCTCAATTTCACTTTGTACTGTAATAGTAACGTTTTTGTAGTATTATAAAATCGTTGAATTTGTCAGCTTACTGAATTATGGATGGACAATCTGCATCTGTAGGCTACTGGGGGCCGATCAACCCGGGACCCCCAACACCCCCCCTCGGACCAGCTACCACAGAGTACAGTACTCCTCTCAGTGGCTCCTTTCAGTGGCTCCCCATAGTGGCTCCTCTCAGTGGACTCAGTCCTAGGGCTCAAGGGACTTCTAGGGCACACTCCTAGGATGTCTCTTGACACTGTTAAATGTCCAGGGTATTTGTTTGGAATTTAAGTCCATTCTGGGATCAAACCCGTGCATGTTGACCACAGCGGGGCTCACGCTTAACGGTCTCATAACCTGTAGGCTACTGGGGCAAAAGAGCTCAGTCACCACCAGCGCACTGCTGGTAGAAGGGCCGATCAACCCGGGACCCCCAACAGCATCTGTTCTAGTATATGTAATCAACTCATCCACCTGGCCCCTTTATTTCGTAGAAAATTCAATAGCTCTACAGCTTAGCGGTGTAGTGTGGGCACGGACACCAGCCTCAGAAGCTAGATAGAGGAGTTTTACTACTACTGGTGAAAATATATCTAGACAATTTTACTCGCTTGGGGTCTCCTAATAATAATTGTGATTATTGGTACTGGACATAACAAGCGCGTGAGGAGGATAGAACAACTCATTTGTAGGCTTATTTTTTCTTGTTACTGATTTTGCTATGGCTTGAAATGCCTTCATGGCCAACACAGAAGGTTAGGTTGGTTGCTTGCTTCCAACAATAGCGTGGCTGCGGGGAACCAACCGGCTGGTAGTGGAGTAATCCACGTTCCTCACTCAGAAACCACAGAAACCCAGAGCTTATGGTTCATGTTTCCCCCCAACAACCCGTACCGTCACCACCTTTCTACCCTCACTGCTGCTGATTGTTCAACCTCCTTATTATTCTGTTCTTTAACAATAGCTCTTGCTTTACTGAAATAGCCTGTTTTCGTATTTCACCATGGAAGACATCTCGCCTGAATACGATGTGGTGGTGATGGGCACCGGTATGGCATTTTACCCCACTGTTACATTGCTCTTCATGTGTTTGGGCTTCAACTGACCGACTTTTTAACCCTCTAGGTTTGACGGAATGTGTTCTTTCGGGGTAAATACATGAACTCGTCGTCCCAAGTAGGACATGTATGGGAATATATTCTCTAATACCCTTGTACAGCGTACTCAGCGTTAAGGGGCAGAAGGTCCTTCACATTGACCGTAACGACCACTATGGAGGGTGAGCTAGCAAACCCCCGCGCCTCCCGTGAAACACCTTTATATGTCATTATACTAACCATTGTAATAGAGAGGCTGCCTCTGTCAATATAGAAACTGTGTGTCCTCCTTAGAGACGTCCCGTTGCGCCCCGAGACCTCATCACTGACCATTTTTGATCACTTAGCTTTTCAAAAAATTCCGTGACGTGAAGCCTGGCGAGGAACCGTGGAAGAAATATGGCCGAGTCAACGACTGGAACGTCGATCTGGTCCCCAAGCTTCTTATGTCGAATGGCGAACTCACCAATATTCTGGTCTCAACAGATGTTACTAGATACCTTGAATTTAGGCAGATTGCTGGAAGCTACGTGCAACAGGGTAGCGGCCCCAAAGCCACTGTTGCCAAGGTCCCGTCTGATGCGGGAGAGGCGCTTCGGTCTTCGCTGATGGGTCTATTCGAAAAGCGACGGGCGAAGAAGTTCCTCGAGTGGGTTGGAGAGTTTGATGAGAATAACCCAAGTACCCATCAAGGTTCGAATATTATATCTGTCCACCCTGCCTTTTCCCGAATTAATACACTCTAACATGTATATCAGGGTTAAACATGGCAACGTGCACCATGAAAGAAGTCTATGACAAATTCGGCCTGGAAGCCCCAACCAAGGACTTTATCGGACACTCCATGGCCCTTTATCAGTCTGACGACTATATTACGGAGGTCGGCAAGGCGAAGGAGACAATCGATAGAATTCGGCTCTATGTCAACTCCATGGCTCGCTATGGCAAGTCTCCTTATATCTACCCACTCTTTGGTCTCGGTGAGCTGCCTCAGGGCTTTGCTCGCCTGTCTGCAATCTATGGGGGCACGTACATGCTCAACACCAACATCGACGAGGTCCTCTACGATGGCGATAAGGTGTCAGGTATAAAGGCCACAATGAAAGAAAGAGGAGAACCGGGAGATGGCATGACCTTCACAACAAAAACCAAGAAGATCATCGGCGATCCTACATACTTCCCTGGGAAAGTCCGGGTTACCGGCTACCTGCTCAAGGCCATTTGTATTTTGACCCACCCAATCGATAAAACGGATTCGAACGACTCCCTGCAACTGATCATTCCCCAATCCCAAGTTGGACGAAAGCATGGTATGTTTCAGTCCCACAAAGAATATCCATCTCTCTCCAAATTTAATGAGTAGCAGAGGTTGTTTTCGGGTTACTAAGGACGAAAATAACAATCCAGATATCTACATTGCGATGGTGTCTTCTGCCCACAATGTCTGCCCGAAGGGCTACTACATCGCCATCGTTTCCACCATTGCCGAAAACGAAGCAAACCACCATATCGAGTTGGAACCAGGCTTCGAGCGCCTTGGTGAAATCGAAGAGAAATTCATGGGTCCCCCGATCCCATTGTACGAGCCGCTGGAGGATGGCAGCAAGGACCATATCTACATTTCCAAGAGTTACGATGCCACCAGCCATTTCGAAACGACGACTGGTAAGGAAGCTTTCTTTCAATTGTGTTTGATATTTACGAGATGTTCCCTTCTGCGAAAAGCCCGCGCTGAACTGAACTAACTGGAAAAAAACAACAGATGACGTGAAGGACATATACAAACGAGCTGAGGGACAGGAATTGGTCGTTGAAGGGCTGAGAGAGGGAACCAACCTTGTCGGGGAGGAGTGAGAAGGGAACCGGGTAGTAAATACGTATTCCTTAAAAGGCTGACAGCATACAGACAGGCAGAACATATGTTGATTGAAAAGAGTCATAATTTTCTCTTTTGGGGATAAATGCAGATATAAGATTTCACTCTATTTATTTGTTTGCATTTTTCTTTCTCTCTCATTGCTCTCTTCTATTCTCTTTTCGTTTATATTTCTTTCTTATTTTCCCTCCCTCATTTATATAGTTTTTGCTGTTCATTTTCTCAGCGTAAAGGATAACCTGATTTTCTATTTTTAATACAAACGTTCTTCTAGTGTCAACGATGTTCTGAATATCAAACATTACAGTGTAAGAGTGTCTAAAATCAGATCCCATTGCCCAAGCAGTGTAGTAACCGTGCCATGCTTACTCACTCTCTCTAGTGAGAGTGAGTAAGTAAGTGAGTAAGCATGGCACGGTTAGGTGGAAGTTCCCACCGATGACTAAGCCCTGAGGACAAGCCACTGCACGTATTCCCAAAGAAGAAAAATGACAACACGCCAAGCCCTGATTTTCCCTGACAACCGAACCCCGATTCGGAAGGATAACAAAACACCTAATCGAGCCGCAGGAATCATTCGACGACACCCCTCCAGCAGAAAAAGGCGAACAACGACACCTTCAACCTTCAGAAAGCGAGCAGCGGCCTGCGCCTAATATCATCGCATATTTTGAACGGCTGAACGAGCTATATACCATATACCCACACTTTTCACGACTTTGCACATATCGATCGAACTCCGAACAGCCAGGCATTTGCGAGTTGAACAAATTCAACAGGGTTACGCGAAGTACCTTTAAAGCAACTCAATTTCGGGGCTTGCCGCGGGCCTAACCGCGAGGAAAAGATAAGAAAGCAGCCATGCGCATCGTGGAGGTTATCATTGACGTGAGTACCCTCGATAAGTGTAGGAGAGGGTGGTTTAGAGGAGTTGGTTTTGTTTCCTTGGCTCATAATCTGATCTTTTTACCTTTCTTCGATACGTAGGGTTTCAAATCCTATGCTGTGCGCACTGTGATATCAGGATGGTACGTTTTGATATTCCTCGATATAGTTAGCCGTGGTGGGGTGGGCCAAATGCTTCGTTTGGAGAGATGGTACTGAATTTTCCCCAACAATTAGGGACGAATCCTTCAACTCGATCACCGGCCTCAATGGCTCTGGCAAATCCAACATCCTCGACAGCATCTGTTTTGTTCTCGGAATCACCAATATGAGCACTGTGCGCGCCCAGAATCTGCAAGATCTGATCTACAAGCGCGGCCAAGCGGGAGTCACGAAAGCGAGCGTGACCATAGTATTTGATAATCGCGACAAGTCGAAATCTCCAATTGGATTCGAGGAATATACTAGCATATCGGTGACAAGGCAGATCGTGCTGGGTGGGACTAGCAAATACCTCATCAATGGGCACCGCGCGCAACAGCAGACCGTGCAGAATCTTTTTCAAAGCGTGCAACTGAATATCAATAATCCGAATTTCTTGATTATGCAAGGGCGCATTACGAAGGTGTTGAATATGAAGCCGGTGGAGATTTTGTCGATGATTGAAGAGGCGGCCGGAACGCGAATGTTTGAGGATCGGAAGGAGAAAGCTGGAAAGACGATGGCAAAGAAGGAGATGAAGGTGCGCGAAATCGAGGGACTGCTGAAGGAGGAAATTGAGCCGAAACTTGAGAAATTAAGGGGGGAGAAGAGAGCCTTCTTGGATTTTCAGCAGACTCAAAGCGATCTTGAGCGTCTTACTAGGCTTGTTGTTGCCCATGACTATTTGAGAAATGGAGAGCGGTTACGCCTGGCTGGAGAAGAATTTGACAACAAAAAGCGAAAGGTTACCGAGCTGGAGAATAGCATTGCGAGACTTAAGGGTGAAATTTCTCATCTAGAGGAAGATGTGAAGAGGGTAAAATCGCTTCGTGACAAGGAGCTTAGAAAAGGGGGCAAGTTCCAAGCGTTGGAGGACCAAGTTAAAACACACTCCCACGAAATGGTGCGACTAGCCACACTATTGGACTTGAAGACCTCGAGTATGGCGGAAGAAGTAGAAAAGAGAGAAACCATGCAGAAGGCAGTCACTGAGTTGCAAGGCCTACTGAAAGAGAAAAAGAAGATTTATGATAAATTGCAAACCAAGTACGATACTGCAAAAGCTGAGCTGGATAGCCAAACCGCCGAGGTTGAACAGAAAGAGGAATTACTTCAAACACTACAGACAGGTGTTGCGTCCAAGGAAGGCCAGGAAAACGGTTACCAGGGCCAGCTTCAAGACGCGCGAAACCGACTTAGTTCCACGACCACCGAGCAAGAACAGGCGAAACTTAAAATCTCTCATTTTCAAAAGATGATTAAGGAAGAAGAACCCAGAGCGAGGAAGGCGAAGGAGCAGAATTCGAACCTTTTGAGGGACCTTGAAGAACTTCGAAAGCAGGCTAAAAAGCTCGAGTCAGACCTTGCCAGGCAAGGATTTGAACCGGGTAGGGAAGAGCATATGTATCAGGAGGAATCCAGATTACAAAAAAGCATCCGAGAGCTGCGGAGCCAAGCTGATTCCATGAGGCGAAAAGTTGCGAATATCGATTTTAACTACTCAGATCCTTATCCAAATTTCAACAGATCGAAGGTTAAAGGGCTGGTCGCTCAGCTTTTCACTTTGGATAAAGATAAAACTCAGGCTGGAACTGCCCTTGAGATCTGCGCCGGTGGACGCCTATATAACGTTGTCGTCGATACTGCTGAGACCGGCACTGCCCTGTTGCAAAATGGAAGACTTCGAAAGCGGGTTACAATCATCCCCTTGAACAAAATTGCATCCTTCAGGGCATCCGCCGAGAAAATTACGGCTGCCCAGAATTTGGCTCCGGGGAAGGTGGATCTGGCTTTGTCTTTGATCGGATATGATGAGGAGGTTGCTGCTGCGATGCAATATGTCTTCGGAACCACCTTGGTCTGCCAGGATGCTGACACCGCGAAGCGAGTTACGTTCGACCCTTCCGTGCGTATGAAGAGTGTCACACTTGAAGGGGACGTGTATGATCCCTCAGGAACCTTATCAGGAGGAAGCTCGCCAAACTCCAGCGGCGTCCTCGTTATCCTTCAGCAACTAAATGAATTAATGGGACAGCTGACCCAAAATGAGCGAGCGCTCCGTCAACTACAAGAAACTATGGCGAAGGAGAAGAAAAAGATGGATCTTGCCAGAGCTACTAAACAAGAGTTCGATCTTAAGATGCATGAGATTAAATTGACCGAAGAGCAGATAAACGGAAATTCATCTTCTTCTGTAAGGTTTACCCGTTTTTCCTTGAAAGCTGACTGCAAGTTGCTAACACATGATAGATTATCCAGGCTGTTGAAGAGATGAAGGCAAATATCGAACAGCTTGAGAAGGACATTGAGGATGCTAGGAAGCGGCACGCGGAAGCCAGCAGCGATATTAGGCGGATTGAAAAGGATATGAGAGAATTTAGCAGCAACAAGGATAACAAGCTGGCAGAATTGCAATCTTCACTGGATTCGCTCAAGAAGGGACTTAGCAAAAACTCAATTTCAGTCAAGACATTGCAGAAAGAACTTCAGGCCTCGCGACTTGATTCCGAACAAGCTGGAAGTGACCTAACTGCGGCGGAAGAGCAGCGTGCTGAGGTCGACCAAACAATAAATGCTCAAAAGGAGGAAGTTGAGGCTTTGAAACGGGAGCAAGCAAAATGCAAGGTTAGTTCCGAGAACCCCGACATTCGTAAAATATTTCTATAAATAGGACCTTCCCACTGACATCGCGTTCAGAAAGCACACGATCTTGCTCAAGCCCAACTAGAGGATGAACAGGCCAAGCTTACAGGGTTTGACGACGAGCTTCGAGATTTAGAGGAGGCATCCAGATCCAAGGCAGCACGAATCACGGAAGAGGGCCTTGAATTACAAAAGCTAGGCCACCAACTTGAGAAGTTCCAGAAGGATCAGCAAAATGCCGCACAGCTGGTAGCCAGTATGGAAAGGGAACACGAGTGGATCGCGGAGGAAAAGGACAGCTTTGGACGTTCCGGCACACCATACGATTTCAAGGGCCAAAACATTGCTGAATGCAAGGCGTCCCTTCGCAACCTAACAGAGAGATTCCAAGGGATGAGGAAGAAGATCAATCCCAAGGTCATGAATATGATCGATAGTGTTGAGAAAAAAGAAGTCGCGTTGAAAAACATGATGAAGACTGTCATTCGGGACAAAAAGAAGATCGAGGAAACCATCATCAGCCTTGATGAGTATAAGAAAGAGGCGTTGCAGAAGACTTGGTCCAAGGTTAATGGTGACTTTGGCCAGATATTCGCCGAGCTGCTTCCTGGTAGCTTTGCTAAGCTGGACCCCCCTGAGGGCAAGGAAATAAGTGATGGGCTGGAGGTTAAGGTTAGCTTGGGGAAAGTGTGGAAGCAGAGCTTGACTGAATTAAGCGGTGGGCAACGGTATGTAGTGTTTCTCTCTGCTGCGCTTCTTACTAGACTCTCTCAGATTTCCATCGTTTCTGTCCACCGGGCAAGCCAACTAATCAAAACTTCACCCATGTTTCTTATAGGTCTCTTATCGCGCTCTCTCTTATCATGGCTCTTCTCCAATTCAAACCTGCACCCATGTACATCCTCGACGAAGTCGACGCTGCATTGGACTTGTCGCATACGCAAAATATTGGCCGCTTGATCAAGACGCGGTTCAAGGGTTCTCAGTTTATCGTGGTCAGCTTGAAGGATGGCATGTTCCAGAATGCAAATCGAATCTTTAGAACGAGGTTCAGTGAGGGTACTAGTGTTGTTCAGGCGCTGACACCGGCAGATTTAAAGTGACCCAGCAAACTGCGGTGTTGGTTGGGCTTGGTGTGCTGACATTTTTCATTTCCGATTTTTTTCTCCTGGCATATATTCGGTATTTATTTTGGGTACTGTTTGAAGCGATGATTTCCTTTATCTCTGGTTCTTTTTTGTTTGTTTTTGGATTTTGTTGTCAGTGGCAATCATGGGTTTTGGCGTTTTGTGAGCGGAGGCCGGGGGACACCTTGAGAATGGGGACGGAGTGTTTTATTCTTATTGTTAATCACTTGTAGGGATGGGATATGATTGTGAATAAAGTATAATCGCATTTTGTCTTTGTGATATATTACGGTCCTTGGTTCTGTTCCGCTTTTCTTCCTTGCCATGTGTATATCTCTTATACAGTGATGAATTTCTTATTCTTCATCGTTTTTTGTTTACTCGCGCAGCGCGCTGTCTTGATAGAAACCACAAGTAAGCAGCTCCAGACTTATCTCATTCCCTGCACAAAAAGGGGCTTTAATCCAATTTACTTAGATTTCGTTGACTCTCTGCTAATTATGCATACTCGAAAGGGAGAAAATAAGCAATCATGTTACATGAATCCCTCTCACTCATGCCAGGGGTTTCTTCCCCACAATCAGGCAGAAATACCATGTCAAAGTATAGCCGCTCGCAAAAGCCTGTTCGAAACGACCAGCTAACTCGACCCGTCTTGCATCGATCTCCGCAGTGTTGACAGGCTTATTCTCTGACAGCATCTGCGTCTCCGAGACCTTCGGAAGCATAGCTAGAAGGGCTGGCTTGCTCGCGCTCTCCTCTTCTTCAGCATTAGGGACGGCCTCACGTGTCGATTTTTTACGAGGGGTACATCTTGCATCCCCAGTTCTCTCATGGTGGAATCGATGAGGGTAGGAAGGCTGGGTTTTTATTTTTCTGTCTTATTTCAATGGTTTGGTGGAGGGAAAGAAAGAAAGGGGATGAAATTGCTTCAGCATTTATACGTACTTTTCAGCTACACCATGAAACCTCATATGCTTACGACTGAGCTCCAGGGCTACTTCGAGGTCCTCATGGGGTGGTTCGACTTTGGTGTCGATCCATGAGAGATCTCCCCACTGAAGGAAACCGCCCGGCCCTGAAAGGGAAAATAATGCCATTTTGGCAGGAAATTTACACACTAGAGACATTGCGCTTCTGTCACGAAGAAATTATGTTTTGGGGGCTAGTGGAACATGGCATACGGAGCATTTCCACCAAGTTTGATATCACTTTTGGCACATCGGCAGCCTTGAAAGCTTGTATAACCAAGCGGACGTTTATCAGGTCAAATTTGGCATGAAACTCAGCAGGAAAACGCTCTATCGCATTGTGTTGGGAAAAACTAAAGCTTCCAATCCTGTTCGGGGTGTCTGAGGGGAATGATGCAGCCGTTATATCAAATCCTTGATAAACATTCGTGGGGTTGTTTAATTCATTCGTGACATCAATCAACCAAGCCCTAACATATGTGCGCATCATCAGCCTCCGATTGTTTTATCTTAATACATGACCGAAAATAGCTAAAGGAAGAGAGTCGTTTACCCTGTTCCGGTTGCGACATCTGCAACTCGTTTAATATCGTCCTTAGGGACGCCTGCTTGGATTAATCCCCCAGCCCATCGAACAAAGAGTGGGTGCTAGTTCATTAACCTAACATGTATTTGTTTAGCTGGGAAGTGTAAACACTTAGGATAAGTTGTAATGAACCTGCTGATTTCCGCCTTCCCCTGCGGAAAAGTATATGCTTCATTCTTGAAGGAGGAAGTGTTTTCTGTCATTTTCAATGCTGGGTTATATCAAGTATAAGTTGGTCAACGGGAGAAAGATATCGAATGAATGGGAACTTTGATGGCCGTGGCAACCTTTCTTTCATGTTTCCCCAATTCTTCAGCCCTGGAAAGGGCTCTCTTTATAGCCGGCTTTCTCGGTGCTTTTGGCTCAGCACAGGTAGCGTACGTTCAAAGTATGTGAGAATCAATCGACATCTCAGCCGAGGAAGCCCCTCGTCAAAGGCGTTCCTTAACAATCGCCAAAGACTATTTTTAAACACCTCCAGTGTCAATGAGAAGGGATGCGCCAAAGCCCGATAATAATAATTACAATGTAATCCCTGCGCGTTGCTCTCGAATGATATCTCCAAGGGAGCATATGCGAGCTGAGTTCTGAAATTTTGGGGTCTTTTTGTTCTCCGTGAACTTATCAAAAATATGCCGAAGCTGAACCCTTAATTTGGGTTGCGGATACTTCTGCCGCGCTTGGAGCGATGGACCGATAAGTCTCCGAACTCCACAGAGAAGGGCCGTGGTATATTTATATGCCCCATATTCCAAGGTATATATACTTGCTGGGGCAAGTTGCCACTGCAGCCCACCTTTGAAGACACGGGTTTAGACTAGATAGTTTTGTCATCTCTCCATCATGCATTAGTATGATGTGTAAGGCTGGGTGATCATGATGCCCCACCTCACTACATCTCTATTTCATGGTCTATGCATTAACATATTTGTTCCCTAAGATTGCTGCAAAATAGTTGTTAGGTTAAAGTATTTCCTTCAAGTATTCTTGACCGTGGAGAGATTGTTTCCCACTTACTCCATTGGTTTTGTGGCCAGTCGCTCTGACAGGTATTCGAAATGAATTCCATCGGGTCGAGATGCTGCGATTTGCGCATACCATAAGTTGTAAAGGCAATATTAATCTGGAGAGTATGAGTTGGTTTGTTTCCCGATTTCGATCTTATTTCATTACCGATCCTTGAAACAATAGTTCAGGGATGTCTTTCTTATTGCGAAACGCTTGGAATATATAGTTAACTTACTGAGGAAACTCACCCTAAGACATGTCGAAGTTTATATCACATGACCTAACCGCGCGTTAATATAAACCAATAATACAGTATAATTGCCGCCTTCTGACGCCCAGCCCTTTGTCCCCTCCCCTCGATAAGCGCAATTGCCAATCTCATCCCTACCGAAGTATCATCGTCCACTGTTTCTCTGCGCTGCTCAGCGTTTTTGACAGTTGATTTCACCTGCAGATTAATTCTTGAATCTTACAATTATAAGCAACTACACGGCCCCTGCCTCTGTCCTACCCTGAACCCCACACATCTCGTTCTTCTGTTGGGAACCGAAGACATCCTTCAACTGCCGAACACGGTCCGTCCCGTCATACCCAAATCCCCCATACATGGCCGACGCAGAACCATCCCTTAACATCCCCTCCCTCCTCACGCTAGCCGTCTTCTCCTTCTTCGTAATCCGATGGTTCTTTGGGCGGAATGGTGCTCTATCATCGAGCGATGCTGCGCACCGTCGCGGTGGCGGAAGGCGAGTTGATCCCGCCCATGTAGAACAGCTTTCGCAAATGTTCCCTCAATTAGATAGGAGGGATATCATGTGGGACCTGCAGCAGAATGGCGGTAGTATGGCTGCAACGACCGAAAGGGTGTTGTCCGGTCGGGGTCTAGATGCAGTGAGTTGGAAGCCAATAGTCTCTTCGGTTTGGTATCTACATGTCTCACCGCCTTGGGATTTTGATAAATGCGGTTTTTCAAGAGCCTTACTTATTGGCCTTGGATAGCGTTTATCGAGATTCAAGGTGGAAGGCCTGGTATAACTATTGCAAGAATAATGTGGCTGATGTGTTCAATTCTCTCACGTCCTTTCTTCTAGCCTCCACCGTCCTTCCAGCCCCCGCTACCGGCTCCCTCAGCGCCTGCTACGCAGGCCAATTCAACCTCTCGACCCACACCTAAACAACAAGCACAAGACCTTATATCTCGATATAACCTCGCCGATAAAATTAAATCGGAATCGCTGCAGACGGTGACGAGCACGAGTTCTGGGACGATAATACATCAAGAAAGCGCATGGTCACAAAACCGAACTGAGAGACAGCGTCTTTTGCAGAAGAGGAGGGATGAGATGATTCTTGCTGCGAGAAGAAGATTGATGGAGAAAGACAAAGTGCCAGACCAATAATACCTAGGACTCTTTTGTCGAACCGAACTGTTCGAACGGGACTCTCGTCGAACTGAACCGCATACCCAGTCTTATCCGTGGAGGTAATGCTCTGGTTTGGCGTCTCCTAATAGATTTTTTGCCAAGGAGTACAGTGGTGATGTAGATGGTAAACGCTGGAGGCGTGACATCATCCGCCGCTACTATCTATTTCCGCGAGTAACAGGTCCTCATTCCTTTTCCTCTCCTGTGGGAAAAGGACTGCCTCAAACCGTGCGTGTTTTTTTATTTCCCGATCACTTTGTATAGTCCTAGCGGTGCATAGAGGATTCAAAAATATGTATTAATTGAGCCCTTTTTGGCCCTTGACATATTACCTCCGTTCGTAAGTTGAGACCGGTTGGACCTGAGACACCAACCTCTTTATAATTCCATGTCATCATAATCATCATTCGTTTCATCGTACTGTGTATTTGCAGCTTCTTCGGCTTCCCGTTCTCGCGCAGCTTCTTCTTTCGAAGCTCCGATTTGCCTGGAACAAGAGAAAAACACATTTCAAAATTTAGCGTTAATACTGGCATAGCATTTAAAAGAGAAATATAATCGCTCTGAACGTTTTCCACATTCAAGTTCTCCAAATTGCATGCAATGGGCACATACCTAAACGTCTCCGCCACACCAGACATAAACCCCCTACTCTCACCAATTTCCATAGCGCCCACGCCAGTTAGTGGCAATCCATCCCCACCACCTACAGCAGTTGCGTCCAGCCCTTCGACTTGAATCCTCATTTTCGCTAGCCGTACCTCCCTCAAATCTCTTATTAACCGGCGTATTTGGTCCGCTTCAACTAAGTCATCGCTCGCGACGTCTAACAGCATTGTTGCAAGCTCCAACCAGTGATATGGTAAAGAAGGGCTTGTCATGGAGGAGGTAGTCGTCATATCGTCTGCGTTATTCTGTAGTAGGAATGGTGGAGTCGGGTAATATGGTTGCCCGTCTAGTGTATATTGAGGTGCCGGAGGGCCATTACTTCGGTTCCCCGTTATATTATCTCTGTCTTTGGGGTTGTTGGGTGTGAGAGGTGGGGGCGGGGAGAACGCGTCCCCGAGGGAGTCGCGGTCGGTCTCTACTTCGAGAATGAGAGAGAGTGCTTCGGGATTTAGCCATAGGGGAGGGAGGATGTTTGCGCGCCGTTGTCGCTTGAGGAGGAGAGCTAACCAGAGCGGGAGGTTCGTTCGTCGTGGTGGTAGAAGGGGGGGTACGAGTCCCTTTAGATAGGTTGAAGCAAAATTGTTAGCCCATGATTTTTTTTTGGAAGTCATTGAGAAATATTAAATTCTCAGGAGCCAAAATTAGCTGCATGGAGGAATTGGCCTTTCGAATGTAGTTTTTAGAGCCCCGTAGGGCGGGTTGTAGGCTTTACCTGTGGGTTTTCTTTTCTAGATAGGGTCAAGACTCACTCCAAGCAATTCAAGCTTTTCTAGTCGCTGCCGCGGAATGACAGTAACCATTTCCATTTCACATAAGAACGCAATTTCTGGAGGAGTAATGCCTCGCGGTAGAGGGAACGCCATGGCTGGGCCTTTTTCAGAATATTAAAGCCTTATAGTTTGTGGGTGTGTGCTCTGTTCCCTTGTTGTCTTTGTCACGTCCAAAAGTATATGTACAAGTGACGGCAAGGTTTAAATAAATAAACCACCATGAACGCATCATGTGATATCCCAATGTTGTTGACAACAATCCAACCTCCAAGCTCCCCCACAAATCAATGAGCTATGCAAAATAGAGGGTAATGATATAGAACCTTGCATTGTTATATTCTGTTTGATCAATTATTCTATCTTGTGCATTTTACTTACCTATGCCATTGCATGATCGCTGCGGTTTAACAATGATACATACTTACTGTCTGAGTTCCGGTTTGCAATACTGAAGCCCACCAACTACAGATTGGGAACAAATGCGCTTCTTACAATTGAAATATGGAGTCAAACCAGAAATCAATACCTAGAATGGCTCAGAGTAGGCGGGAAGCCCTGCCCGTATTATCAACATTGTTGTTCGCATCCGCCCTGCTCATAATCTGGCAGCGCAAGATCAACTCGGAGCTACCAGATCCCTACTTGGACGAGGTATTCCATGTTAGACAAGCGCAAGCGTACTGGGCGCATCGATGGCGGCAATGGGACCCCAAAATTACTACGCCGCCAGGAATATATCTATGTTCATACGCAATTGGGGCTATCTTGTTTGTTGTGCGATTACGCCCAGCGCATCCTGGTGCTTCATTTTTCCGCCTCGGAAATAGCATCATCTTGTTCAACATACTTCAACTGAGGCTTCGGGCACTCCTTAAATGGATACGAAAGGGGGAACTTTCAGACGCTCTGAAGAAAAGCGATTCCCCTACGATGGAGTGCAGGGAGCGCTGGGAGAGAAATCTGATGGTGCTGAATATTTGTCTTTTCCCTCCGCTCTTCTTTTTTTCCGGACTCTACTACACGGACCTCGCTGCGCTTCTAATTGTGGTGGAAGTGTATATTTGCGACCTCAGTCGAAACCGTGGACGTGATACTCAGCTGAGGCCCGACGAGGAGGTTAATACTCTGTTGGGGAGAAACATTCGTTTCTTGATATTTGGTCTTCTTGCTCTTATGTTCCGACAGACCAATATATTTTGGGTGGCCGTTTTCCTCGGTGGACTGCATGTTGTTGAAACATTACATAGGGCGACATCTGATTGCCAGTCAACTGGAGTTGTAAGAATTGTGCAAGGTAGCTGGGAGCTTCATCAACTATATGACCCGCCAGTCATCGAGGCGTCATTTGAAGGTAGTAGTCCTCAAACCTAGCTCAATTGGTCTGATCCCCTTCACTAACTTTTCTTCCTCTGGTAGATTATTTGAAGACCTTGGTTTCTTTAGGAGTTTCAACACTAGCGCATATTATCATAATAATCAAGGCGCTGCTTCCTTACCTTGTGTTCCTTGGAGCATTTGAGCTATTTGTCCTATGGAACGGAGGTGTAGTTTTAGGTAGGCCTATAAATTTAACATTCAATCCAAATAGCTTTTTTGTTCTCATGCTAATTATTACTCCTGTAGGCCACAAGGAATTCCACACAGCAGGCTTACATCTCCCGCAAATGCTTTACATATGGCCCTACTTCATATTTTTCTCCTGGCCAATCTTCCTCATTCCCTTTGTGACAACGATTCTACAACACCGCACCAAAAAAATCCTTCCCAGTGTAAAAACCGCCGCAATATTTCTCCCACTTATGCTCGTAGCCGTCCACCTAAACACAATTGTCCACCCGTTCACCCTGGCGGATAACCGACATTACGTCTTTTACATCTTCCGCATCCTACTTCGACATCCGGTGATAAAATATCTTGCTACACTGATATACTTCGTGTGTGGCTGGGCTGTCCTCGCAACTTTCGGTGCTACCTCCCTTCGACCATCAGCAGCATATACAGCAGCAGCAACAACAATACCAACAAGGCCGCTCCAAGAAACTCAACCAACCAAGACGATAAAGCCAATTTCAGACACCGCAGGAATAGAGCCGATGAGAAACTCCCCTGTACGTGTTAGTTTCGTCCTTATCTGGTTGATAGCCACTTCCCTTTCCCTCATCACCGCTCCCCTCGTTGAACCGCGCTATTTCCTCATACCGTGGGTGATCTGGCGTCTTCACGTTCGAGTGCCATCAACGTCAATAGATGGGTCGTCACATAGATCGGTAAATGCCAAGAGTTGTGATAGATTACTGTTCTATCTTCCATTAGCTTTAGAGACTACATGGTACATTATGATCAATGCGGTTACCGGGTATATGTTTCTGTACAGGGGATTTGAGTGGCCGCAGGAGCATGGGTTAGTACAGAGGTTTATGTGGTAACGGTTTCATTTGGGCAATTTTAGGGGAGTGTTTTTATTTTTATTTTTAAGTGGTGAGATTTAAATGGTTTTGAAGTATTAGAGAAACGCATGCGGGAATATAGTCGCCAGCATTGCAGAAGAATGGGTTTGGTATAAAATCAAATGAGAAGTGTATATTACAAGTGGATTTGTCCCCAGTTCATTCAGGTAATTAGATACTTTTGTATAGTATATATTCGAGATAATTTCACAGCCTGCCTCGCTGAAAAAGTTCTGGGCTGTTCGAAGCTTCTTTATCTCTATGATGCTCAATTCGTGGCATCAGTTTTAAGAAATAAAGAATATAAAATGAGGGCTCATCTGAGCAGGATGTTTCGCGAATTGTCAAAGACACACAGTGAGTGATGAAAAGTAGTCGTGTCCCTGAGGCAATAGCTAGCAACGAATCCCGTCTGATTTAAATAGGCAACAAAAGCCCTTATATTTGAAGAGATATCCAACTTCAATCGAAATTTGTCCGATTTGTAGCGATATTGGGCGGATTGCCGAATACGGCCGTTGCGTTTGAGGTCATCTACAGTTATCTCATGCCAGTACGAGCCGAAATAAGATAGCTGATCTCTCCGTCTTGGAGGAGGCATGAGTCAATGTCAGTGTAGGGCATCATCGTACTATCTGCGAGTAGGCCGCTAGACCCGTAATCCGACCAGGTGCCGGACTCCATGTCCCCTGACATAGCTAGGCCGAGGGCTGATTGTCGCGAACCGGGCGTTGGCACTGAGTAGGATAGATTTAGATATGTGGTGCCTGTGATGAGATAAGAATGAAACCATATACGCGACTGGAGAAGCAAGACGTGAATACAGTTCAAGAGCAGAGTGCAATGTATAGAAATATACGTCTCCATCACATCCAGAACTTACCGATAAATCATTACGATCTGGGGGGATCAATGGACGATCCCCCCCAGGTATCACTGACCCTAGGCTACACATAATCCAGATACGGCCGACCCTGAAGCAATTGCAATTTTATTCCCTGTGAAAAGCCTGAAGTACTTCCCGTCAGAAGCTCTCTGAATGAGAATGGGGTCCCCGACATGGAATGCCCCCTGAAAACGGCCCTGGGGTAGCTTAGACATGTGTCAATTGGAAGAGGAGAAGGATGAGAAGAACGAACGCCGAGAAAAGAAAAAGAACAGAAAAGACGGAACATTCAGAACCAAACTAGGGGGTAGCGGTAAATAATGATATGACAGAAGAAATGTTAGAGTATTGCCATTCAGTATGGACTGGCAACGCGACAATGGCCAAAACTGTATTGTTCACACCCAAGCGCCAGCCATCGTGATTCAAAGAGGTGTGACGATCCACAACGGTCAGAAACAGCCAGACTGAAGGTTGTACATACGTTAAATGGTGAGAGACTGCTATATGCTAATGACCATAGCCCACAATCAAAGACCAGATATTTAAACAGAGACGACCTGTGTGGAACTTGCCCTATCTTCAAAGACTGAAGATTTCAAGTTGATTTCGAAATAATGTTGCGATGTGCATGTACCGGACAGCGTATGTAGAGTATTTCGACTGGCAACCTGGAAGCATCAACGACACTCTAAGTACCATAGGCAGAAACATTTTCCTAACTGGCCATGGCACCCTGGTAGGGCTTTTCAAAACGTAAATAGTCTGGTAGGCTAATGGTTCCCACTGGGAAACGTCTTGCTGGCTGCCATAGGGGCTCTTCTTGTGCATGGATCGACTGCATTGCTGTGGCGAATATCGATCTCCCACAAAACCTTGTCATACTGGGAAAAAGCATGAAGCACATCGATTATTTGGTGTAACTAATTTTCATCGGAAGCGTAGTGGAGATGAAAGATATATGACGCTGTCTGGACAGGATCAGGAATCAGCTTTGGAGACTCAGGGGCTCGATCAGGTGATATCCAGAGCCCTAGAATACAACTTTTATTCTCAGCCAGAACCAGGGGTCGCAGCTTACGATCTGCTCTCGTACGCAGACAATGAGCATATATGCGGATCACGGAGAAAGCATACATATATTCTACATATTTCCCCATTCAGGCTCCCCGGGTAGGGGACCCAAAAGCTTGGGAGCGGCACTTGACAACTAGATATTTCGCGGCGGGACCTACAAGATCCATTGAAACCGGAGTTTCGACGTCACATAGACAGAAATCCTGGACTTCTTGTAGACATTATATATTAGCGATAGACATATGTAAGTAACTGAATGGTACGAGCAGTATAAACAGCCCCCACCCCCCAAAACGACCCTTGAAGATTTTCAATAGATCCCAGAAATCCCACCTCTCGATCAATATAATTAACGCTCCCTAGGCCCAGCCAAGGCAAAGAACTCCAGGGGTCGAACGCAGAATGCCCCATTTGCTATCAATTTGTAATCCTTATTCGCGAGGGTCAAATCAACCTTCCGCAGTATGCTTATCAAGGTAATCAGACACCACTGCCACGCAGGAACATGTCCAAAGCATCGACGCTTCCCGTTCCCGAATCCCTTCTTTACACCAGATGGCAACTTATCATACGCTTCTCCGAGCATTCGTTCCGGTTTAAAAGCTTCTGGTTCGTTAAATACAGCAGGGTCGCGGTTGACGGCTGCTAGAACAGCGATCATAGGCTGCGTTCGTGAGATCTGATACTTGCCGCCTGCAAGTTGAACTTCTCCTGGTTCATCGGAGGGGATGGGTTCGATGTTAAAGGCGGGAGCGACGGCAGATAGGCGGAACGCTTCTCGAAGAATTGCTTCGCAGTATGAGAAGTTGGACAAATTGGACGAGGTAATTTCGCCGTTAGCACCGAGAATAGAATCGATCTCGCCCCGGGCTTTGGCGATTTCTTCTGGATTTTTGAGCAGGTAGTACACAGCGAATGCGACCAAGCAGGGGGCGGTGGCGGAACCTATGTAGATGTTGATTATTTCATCAATTACCCTTTCTTCGCTCAACTTCTCACCCGTTTGTGGGTCAGGGTTGTTGAGGAGGGCGTTGAGCATATCTTTCCTTGCAGTTGATTCAGACTTCTGGGTTGTGATAATTTCGGCTGCAAAGTTGCGCATGGTTTTGATGTCCTTGTCGAATTTACGTTGATACAAAAGGCGATTTAGAAGTTTGGGGCGGTTTGGCCGTTTCATTGCTTCGAGGGTAGAATTTTGCATTGCTCCAATCATAGCTGGTTCAGGACCCCCGAAGTAATTGGCAGACTGATTAAAATAGCAGGCTAGGATCGCTTGAAGATCTGAACGCTGCAAGTCACTCGTCACATCGATACGTTGGCCTGGATCTGAGGTCCATCTGGAAACAAGAGCTGCGGCGCATTCGTTCATTTGAGCAAACATAGCTTCCGCGGCGGATGAAGTTACTAGAGGCGCCATGATCCGGTGCGCTACGTCCCAGCTCTGCTCATGGTGGTAGGCGGTGAAAAGAGAGTCATGCACTGCTCGACGGATCTCAACGATGGGGCCAGTGACGCATTTGCGGAATCGTGTTTCGTCACATATTTCTTCGAGGAGAGCGGCGCTGCCAATGAAAACGATTTGGTGACCGAGGGCATTGACCTTGTAAATCTCTCCTACTCTATAATCAGAACTCCCTTACCGTTGTAGGCTAGCGAGAGATATCCCTTGACATACCGTATTTGTCCGCGAGAGACTTTAACGAACCCCATGTATCCTTCGGGTTGATGTCGAATATGTTTCCCAAAAGAGGGACACCTGGGGGTCCAGGGATGGGAGTCGTCATCTTTAGTTGGAGGTCAAAACGCTTAAAGGCATACCGCTGTGGTGATTCCAGGGCCAGCGAAGGCAAGGTCTCGAATGTATATATACGCCAAAATTGAACACCCCAAGCAAGAGAGATGTGATTGAATTTAAAGAAAACGGAATAGAAACGGGCGCCGAAAACGAAGTTTTAAAAATGGCTGACGACGCTGTTATCCTCGCACGCTTTACCCAGCAGATAGCGGGCCAAAAAAACGAACCTGCATTGAGAACAAATCGCGGGCTCATGTTGGACAATGCAGCTTCATGGATCGATGACAGCCCAATCGTAGCGCAACACCCAATATTTGGATATGCCGCTGATCGAATCAGGATGGGGATGAAGTGATAATATTGTGCAGGGTGGCGCCCAGCTCGGACGATCTCTCTGCATGCTGATGGATCTATTGAATCGATTTAGCTGGGAATCGTGTCCGGTTGGCGCTCGGCACTGGCCAGCAACACCGGCCCACCGGCGGTATTGGCTGATCAAAACCCGCAAGCTTGTGTCAAGTCAACATCCGGCGCCTGCGACATCTCTGGCGGCTTGTCGCCGACATTATCACCATGATTCATCATGACAATGCATCCTGCAGATGGCACCTAACATAATCCGTACGCAGTAAATAGCAACGGGGGTTTCATTAATTGCACATTACACGGGAATGTGGCTGGAGAAGTCTGGAAACGACGCGAACAGGAAGATGCTACTTAAGTACCCCTCATAAGCCAGACACAGCTTGTAGGATTCTCTCCAACACACTACACAGTAGTTACGGAGTAGAGGTTGCTTACTTATCTTCAAAAAAAGTTCAGTCAGTTCAGTATAACTTCTGGCCAATTATGGAGTGGTTTGGCAGGAGAGGCAGTTGAGAGCGGATTAACTCCCGGCCCGGAGCCAGCGGACAATGCGGACAATCACCCGTGGCGGAGCTTTAGTTCTTCTACATAGTAGAGTACATTCAGAGCTTGCAACAGTAGTTAGCACGACAACAAGCACCCCAGACAAACACTAATTCACAATGGCCTCAATTCTCTGCTCAGCTTAGGTGTGTATAAATTGCGCACTAGAACTCTTTTTTAAATTTCTCTCTACCTCCCATCCACCTCCCTTCTACTTCCACCCCAAGCAACTCTCCTCCGGCAACCCTGAACTTTCCCACGGCTAGCGAACTAGCCAAAGCTTCACCAGAAAAGAAAGAAGCCATGTTCGACAACGTGTGCAGCCTCCCTCTCTCCAGCGACCTGTTTGCGCAGGCAATACATCCCACCGAGCCTCTTTTTGCAGTTGGTCTTTCATCGGGTCATGTTCAAACATTTCGCATTCCTCCAACAAATGACGGCTCGACTGGGTTGAAAAATGGCTTTGGACACATCGACACAGCTTGGAGAACAAGACGACATAAAGCCAGTTGTCGGTGCTTAGGGTTTGGGATTGATGGCGAGACACTTTATTCAGCGGGCGCAGATGGTTGGGTTAAAGCTGCAAAAGCAGAGACTGGCGTAGTAAATTTGAAGATTGCGGTTCCACGACTGGGGGAAGGGTATGTGCTTGCGCCCGTTTACCCTACGGCTCTCATTGGCTTTTCCGACATATATTCTCTTTTTACAATTTCCTTAGAGCTTGGAGCTAACATATATTCTCCTGGCAGGACCCAATCCCGCATTGACCCTCCCACTGTGATTCATGCACTTTCCCCAGAGACACTTATTCTTTCAACAGACTCTGGTGCGCTCCATCTTTTCGACCTTCGTGTACCTCCCTCTTCGATTTCTCAAAAAGCGCAGCAAACTCACCACCCACACGACGATTATGTCTCTTCGCTTACACCACTTCCCCCATCTGAGGCAAGCACTTCGGGGTTTAGCAAACAATGGGTCACGACTGGTGGCACGACCATAGCGGTGACGGACTTGCGCAGAGGAGTTTTGGTTCGCAGTGAGGATCAAGAAGAGGAACTAATCAGCTCGGTCTACGTTTCTGGGTTGAAAGCGGGTGGCTCGAGTAAAGGAGAAAAACTTGTTGTTGGGGGAGCAAGTGGGGTATTGACTTTGTGGGAGAAGGGGGCTTGGGATGACCAGGATGAGAGAATTGTTGTGGATCGGCAACCTGATGGAGGCGAATCTCTCGAGGTATTATCATTACTTCCCGATAGTCTTGGAGCAGGCAAAGTCGTTGCTGTTGGCCAATCAGATGGGGCTGTCCAGTTTGTTCAGCTTGGAATCAATAAGGTCATCTCGAAGGTTGTACACGATGAGTTGGAGGGAGTTGCAGGCTTGGGATTCGATGTCGGAGGACGAATGATTAGTGGTGGTGGATCGATTGTTAAGGTCTGGCATGAGGCCGTAGAAGGTGAAGGGGACGACGAAAGTGAGGGAGAGGAACAAGAGGATCAACATCGATCTGGGAAACGGTTCATAGTGGGTAGTGATGATAATAGCGATGACGACAGTGACAATGGGGACAAGCAGGGGCAGAAAAAGCGCAAGAAGAGAAAGAAGGGCAAAGGCAAAGAAAAAAGATGTGGACCACATGTCATTGCATTTAAAGGACTTGATTGAGCTTGTCGAATTTTTCCACGACCGTGTTTGATACCCAGGCTTTCCTAGTTGTTGTTTCCCAACAACTTAAAACCAGCGGACGAATTTGTGGTAATACATGGACGAAATAAGTGGCGGGATGCTTTTTTTGAATTGTTTGGACATTTTTATGCTCTTGTTACTAGTGAGCGCTCTAGAGTTTCTTTTTGCTATTACATAGATTTCCGGTTCCATTCAGAACAGACACTTGAATAACTGGAGCAGGGTGATTTTTTGCCCGCTGTTGTCTAACTGTCGTATATCTGTCAAACCTTGCTTCCAGTAAACGCGCCTGTGATTTAAAGCCAACTTACTAATAATAAATACGCTGGTTCACGGCGGGAGATTTATTTTTCATCGGACGATCGTTCCTGGCTCTTTGGGGGCGATTGCGGAGGATCTAATCAGATAAGATAAGGCCTCGAAAAAACCATCTTTAGTCATTCCACCAGGCAAAAAAAAGAGCGCCCTCTAACATCTGAGAATCCAGAAATTGACATATACAGCCCACAATATATTCTCCCTCTACAAAGCGCCTATTATCTTAGGCCTAAGATTACATCGGTCATGGCGACTGGCCTAGAAGCAGCCCCAATTCTTTCCACTCCGGAAACACATATTTTCGAGGCTTATAAGAACCCCGCACCCCGCGTTACAAGGAGAATCACCGACGACGAGCTTCGCGTTAAATATGATATCGACCGCACACTGAAGGAAATAAGACAAGGAAAATGGAAACGAATAGCCCTGCAGTTCCCAGATGATATGCTCCCGGATGCGCCGCGGGTATTTCAGCTTTTAAGCCGCGGCCTCGCAAACCTCGATAGCACCTCTTCTTCTGGGGTAAGAGATGAGGCAAACAGTGCAACCGGGGAGCTTGCAACTGATTATACTGCGAATGGAACACAAAAGGGCGATGTGGATGACGTGACGAACTCGGTGGTTAACTCGCTAAAGATTAGCGGTCCGCAGACACCGGATCATCCTCGCCTCTACATTCTTGCGGACACCTCCTACGGAACTTGCTGTGTGGATGAGGTTGCAGCTGAACACATAAATGCGGATGTAGTTGTTCATTATGGGCGAGCATGTCTATCGCCAACTGCAAGATTACCCGTCATCTACATCTTCACACGTAGGGAGCTTGATGCTGCTCCATTAATTGAAGCGTTCAAGGAGACATATCCGAATCGGGAAGAGAAGGTGGTCATTGCGGCAGATGTCACATTTGCGGACTATGTTGAGAAAATAACATCGACACTAGCGGAGCAGGAAGGATATACAAACTTATTTGCTACATCTGTGGTTCATAATCCCTCGTCCCCGATCCCGAACCGAACCGTGCCCGGCTCCGTTAGTGACAAGCCCGAGTCGCTAAGGGAATGGCAACTGTTTCACATCTCTAACCCACCGACTGCGCTTCTCCTCACGCTTTCGTCTCGAGTTGCTACTATTCACATTTATTCAACAGATGAGGAATCAGGGCAACACGTCACAGGCACTAGAAAACCACTCCTCGCCTCCACAGCCATCACGCTGCGGCGTAGATACGCCATCCTAACTTCACTCAGCACGGTTCCCATCTTTGGAGTCCTGATAAATACGTTGAGCGTCAAAAACTATCTTCATATAGTGGAGCATGTCAAGGCCCAGATTGCCGCAGCTGGTAAGAAGAGCTACATGTTCGTTGTCGGCAAGCTGAATGCAGCCAAGGTAGCGAATTTCAGTGAAATAGGCGGTTGGGTTGTGATCGGATGCTGGGAAAGCTCACTTGTGGATAGCAGCGACTTCTGGAAACCTGTGATCACACCGTTTGAGTTGGAGCTTGCATTGAAGAGCGATATGGATCGCGTGTGGACGGGCGAATGGCAGAGCGATTACCAGGCGATTCTGGACATTACAAAAGCTAGTAACAGTATTCAGAATCCTGGCCAAGACATCCCCCAGGACCACCCGACTAGCGATGCCAATTCCGACGACGATGGCGATGATGTTGATGCAGGGTCTGAAGAGGAGTCGGCTCCTCCAGAGTTTGATTTGCGCACAGGGCGTTATATCTCTGTGTCCAGCACCCGCCCGATGCAGCCATCTTCAGTGCCTACTTCTTCCAATACACCAGGCCCATCCGCACAGGCTGGAGGATCAAAGGCTCTTGCCAAACGGCAAAACGCTGACTTGGCGACCATAAACGGAGTGCTATCTCCAGGGGCAGAGTTTCTTCGTTCACAGAGAACGTGGCAAGGACTGGGGAGCGATTTTGATATCAGATATGAAGAAGATGGGGAACAGGGTGCGGCGGTTGTGGAAGGACGTAGCGGGATTGCCCGTGGCTACACTGTGGGAGAAATCGAGAATAGACATTAGAAAGATATATCCGTATACTAGGACTGATTTAAATCATATGTATAAAAAAAAATAAGATACAGCATCTCCTGTGCTCTCGTCACATGAAATACACGCCGCTTATATCTTTTAAAGCCGGACCAAAGTCAATGTCACGTGATTCTGACGTGGCATGGCGAGATTCCGCATAATGCAATCTCGACGACACAATTAATGACGCTTTACATCAATGGTGTGGAGGGAACAGCGGGAAGTCCCTTTTACGTCGCACTGAGAACACTACAGCTATTACATTCCGTTAAAGGAAACGGTCTCGGGCGAAACCTCTCTTTGCTGCCAAACACGGGTTATTGAGTGCTCAGCTTCAGTTCACCCCGGTTACAGACCTGTTAAATGTTTGCACATTTTTTGATCGCGTCTTGCAGCCCATATCCCCATATTTCCGTATCCCCAATTTGAGTCTCTTCCTTTGGCAGCTTATGATGGTTCTGTCCGTGTTCTGCTGCACACCACCACACAACCACCAGGCTTCCGTTCAGCCTCCCCTCACTTCTACCGTCACGTCACCATGGCTTCTGCCAGCGAACTTCCTCCAAACCAGTCACTACTAGATGATCCCCAAGAGCTAGACTCTACACCGCCGTCTATACTCGCCGACCGCGTTGCTGCTGACGGGACCAAGGAGATTGAATTGGCGGAGCGACCCTTATCTACTTTTGAACGAGTCTTTTCCACACACACCCCCATATTCGAATCCTTCCTCCTCCAGGCCCCGACAGATACCATCTTCCAACTCTACCATACGTCACGTTTTCTTAGAAGTCTTCTCAGGTCCTACCCAACAGCATGGCAATACCTCTCTTTCCGGCTACTCTTTCAGTCTGGCACCCAGGTGCGGCCAGCATCAGGTGGAACGGACGGTGCGTCAACACAGCGACAACCATACGCTCTTGATCAGTTGCTCCTCCAGGTAATCCTACCATTCAGCCCGACTTTAAGGAGCTTAGATTTGGATAATACACTGGTGAATGGGCAAAATCTCACTTCCACCGTGCTGAATATGCGGAGGGATACTCTTGAACACCTTTCTGTGCGGGGTTGTAAGAACGTGTCCTTGAAATACCATATTATTCCGTACCTCACCATGTTCAAGCTTCAATATGATGCAGAAATCAATCAGAGAGGTAGAAGTCCCTCCCCAGTGAAGCGGCTTGCGCTTAAGAGCCTATACGCATACCGATGCCGCCACCATAGACGACGCCCTTATTTATCATCGTCTCTACTCCGCCGGGATTCAGACTCAGAGCCAACGCATGATTTCGTCATGCTGTGCCATAAATTGGGGATTTGGACGGATACTGCGTGGTGCACTACCCCTGCGGCACGCTGTTTTAGGAGAAGGGGTTACGTCTCGTCAAGGTCACCGCAAGGGACGAGGGAGGTATGGGTCGTGTTTGACAGGCTGTGGAGATCAAAGAACTGGATTGGATCAATAAATGAGAGGGATAAACCCCCGAAACGCGATGGACGGCTATGGGAGCACGACGAAACAGGCTGCTTCGGGGAAGCGTTGGGTACGGCTGATGGCCCTGAACATGGTGAAGGGAAAACCGTTCCTACCCATTTACGGAAAAGCCATAGGCGGTTTATAGAGAATATTACTTGTGATGAGTGCGACGAGGAGATTCTGGAGAGATGCGAACAATGTAGCGTTTTAATGCACTGCGTTGGCTGTCGCAAGACTCTATGTGCTAGCTGCGCATTCGATCGCCACTATCCTCGAAGAAAACCGGGGGAAGGTGCTGTCGTTGAACACTCATGGTGGGCACCTGGAACGGCAGTGTCCCCGTGTTTTATGCAGGAAGACCAGGACCCAAATGCAGCGAATACCAACAATCAGGGTCCTCCTGCTCTCGCCTACCCTAACCTGAAATTTCATTGGTGCTGTACTGAGCCTGCATTTAGTGGAGGCGGTGGGATCAGCCTTGGGGTAGCTAACCGAGAAGTCGACCGGCTCCGAGCAACACCTCTCCCACGTGGTCAGGGGTGGGAAGATCCTGAACTCTCCACCAATGAGTGGCTCAAGACTTTCCCTAAGGATGCATATGGAAATCCACCCGACCATGATCGTCCGGAAGGCCATGCGGAAATGATACGCTGGTTGCTTGGGCCGCCAGACTACCAGGCTTCTATATGCCCTCGAAATCTCTGCCAGCAATGTTTTGATAGGCCACAGTGGAAGGTACACTGTAAGAGCTGTACCAAGCCACTGTGCATGGAACATGATCTACGAGGCTTACGCCTTCGAATATGTGGTTACCGGGATCTTGTTATGGAGAAGACAAATCTTGCAAGCACCCAATCGCCTACTGCTGACAAAATATCGGAGACTCGAAGTACACCCCCAGCAACGGATTCAGACCCATCTCGCACAATCAGAGGCCGACCTGCTGCAGAATATCCTGCTTCATCTCCCCGCTTCAACCTAGCTCTGATAAATGTGCTCTCCACTCAATTATCGCACGGCTCTTCCTCGAGTAGTGAACCTGGCCCTTCCAGCACTCTTTCCGACAATCAAGCCGCCGTCCATCATAGTTCTACGGTCCAAACACCCGCCTCCATCTCACAAAGCCATAGCCGCTCCTCATCCCCCGCCTCCGTTTACTTTGAAGCATCCCCTGAAGTCCGCAAAAAGTGGCTTGGTTGCCAATCGATCTTTTGCCCGCAGTACCGTGCAGTTGGTGACCAGCGCCAACGCTGCTCTAGCGTGCTACGGGAATGCACGTCGTGCTCAATACACGTATGTCAAGACTGTATACATCAAAACCCACCCTGCACATGTTCCTACTGTCACCTTAACTATCTATGCCCCAACTGCTATCGCGCCAAAGAGCTTGACGGCACTTGCCGCCGGATCGAGGAGGAGCGATTGCAGCGCGAGGAAAAGCAGAAACGCGACTTAGAAATGATCGAGATAGCCATGGAGCGCAACCTGGCTAATGAGGTCGCGTCGTTTGCGGGGCAATTCTTTATGGGACTGACGCGCAACCTCAATGAGAGTGAGAATCAGAATCAAGATGCTGGCAACGGTGGCGGTGTTGGCAGTAGTGGTCATGGTGATGATTTTATGACCGCGCCTGAACCGGCACCCCAGACTTCTGCCTCTGCGCCGCCTGGCAGTAACAGTAACCATACCGACAACAATGACAATAACAGTTATAATCAAGCCCAGAACCCGATCTCGACACAGCCATCGAGCCATCTCCATATAACCCAAGCTGGTCCGATTCCAATTGCGAATGACGATTATGATGATAACGGCAGCGGATCAGAGCAGACCGAGGTTTTGGTCGAATGAAATTGAAGAACTGACATAGACTTGTGTCAACCCTTCTGTATTTCCTGTTTCTCTACAACCTTCCTCATTACTTCATCTTTTCATGATATTGTTTTCTATCTCAACTTATTACGTTTAGCATAGCGATGCTTATATGCCATTTCTTCTATTCTTTCTTTTGTATTTTCTTTCCACACTTCTTCCCTGTCTTTTCTTCACGATGAAGCCGCCTTGATCTAGGCCACATTATATTTCTTCTTATTCTTTCTAATATTTTCTCTCTAACGTCAGTTGCGTGATGGACGAAATGGTTATCTTTTACACGTTGATATAAGTGGCGGCTGACATTCCATCTGATTCAATTTCCCTTTGTTATTTTGTCTGGCTCAGGTTTTGCTTTCATAATATACTTACTTGTCTGGCGTAAGAGCCCCCCGCCCCTTCCTCTTTTTTTCTTTCACCCTCAACCCTTTTCATTTCCTCTTCCCCTTCGCCCTCTCTTTCTCTGCCCAGCGTGTAAACTTGCCTTTTCCAATCTTATCTCTCTTCTCCCTTCCAGTACCCAGTATACCTGATGATGACGAACAAGACGAAAAACAATAACAAACGCAAATGTATTCATCTTTGAGTTTTTAAGACATGAAGAGCAAAAATGAAGAAGATGCATGTGCATTGTCACCGTGAAATTTGGGTTTTTTTTTTTTCTTTTTCCCTTAATGAATCTTACATGTTTTAATGTTTTATTTTCAAATCATATCCCCGGAATCCTTAACACGTGGTCGGTGGCTCTCTCTCCTATATGCCTGACTATAGATGTGGTTGGAAGAAAAGCTGCTGCAAGCAAAATGAGAAGGAAAGGCGTTACTAGATATCTTTCTTCTCTTTTCTTCGCTTCTTTGGCTTTTAAAAAGTAACTTGTTGAGAGTCCAGTTTGTCTTTCCAATAGTTATATTCCTTATTCAATGTAATTATTTGGCAATTAAATACATAATTACTACATGAACGTCAGTCACATTCGCTATTAAGATGTCCAATCACGTATTAGGACCATCACTGGCCCTTTGATCCCTACCGCTATCCGGCCCTGGACGCGGCCGCTGCCCACAAAGTCTTGCTGGCAATATGGAAATAGATTTATACAAAACAAAACCAAAAATGACATTTTCGTCAAACCAGAAAACGCCAATAGAAATCTAAACGACTTTAGTAAAATACTACTGCCGGGGGAATAAAAACCAATGGGACAAAAAATAGTTCGACGGTCACGGGGGGTGTAAGGATTGTTGTGATGTGTGGAAATATGCGTTTAATGAAAATATTGTTGTGAATGAATATGTATTCGCATTCGTTTTCGGCGTGATAATATAGTCTTATTATATATATGCAAAATGGAAACAGAGCGTGCTTTGTGCGCGTGTGAAGTTTCTAGTATTGATCGACATTCTATTCAGCTGAATTGTAGAGTTGATGTGGAGGAGCGCGATGTATATCGTAGAGTCTCGGGCAGAGGTTGATGGGTTGCGGCTTCGTGGCACCTGTGCACATCAGGGCCTTTGGTCACGCTTATATACGCTCGGTAATCTACCAAGCTTGGAACTGGGTAGTATGCCCGGATGTATGTTGTGTTTTGTATGCGTGTCGTTCTCTATATTGGCACCGTGTAAAATGAGTGTACCATTTCAGGTTGTAGTCATGACCGGAGGTAGTGGATTCCTGGTTCGAATATACATGGTCTAAAGTCAAGACGGAAAATTACTGTGATGTTCCTTCCAGAGTATTAACATATCTGATTGATATGGGCATACGCTTGGAATTTATTCCCTCGGGTGAGTAGGAGCTAGGGGGGGTAATCGACCGTTTCCTTGGGATCCCTCCAAAGAGCGTCTATTTGCCCCGCCATTGGTTTCTGGTGGTTCATGACCAGGATGCGATCTGTACACCGCAGCAGGAGGTACTAGAGGAAGTTGAGCAACGGGTGATTCACGCTCGATGCTTTCGAGACTTGCGTAGGTGAAGCCCGTCCTATGAGTTGATATAGATATCGACATCGAACGACGTGACGGTGCTATTGACGAGTTGGATGAATATGGAGGCGGAGGAGTTTCTGTCGTCGCAGTGGATGTGTTGCCAAAGCTACTCGGTACGGATACCTCGGATGAAGCATCAGAGGAGCGATCATCTAGCTGAGGTGAAGCAAGGTCCCGTTCAAACTCATATCTATTCTTCTGCTCGCATGGGAAATCAGACTGTTCGTTTAAATTCGACTGGCGACGCTCAAAGGCAATTGTCTTTTCATGAATGCTGACTGGGCGTGGTGTATATCTTGGTAGAGGAGCCGTGGAGAGATATGGTTCATCTATACCCGGTGCATCGGTATCCCCACTGACCCCACCACATCGTCTGAAGCCTGCTTGAGGGTCATGAGGCTGCTGATGGAGAACAGGTGCGGATGGAAGTCGTCTGGGGCTGGGAAAGCAGCAGCACAAGCTTCCGAGCATCTTCACCCCGCTATTTATATAGTCAATTAATATAAATAGGGTGCGTTTTGAAGGCGTTTATTGTTGAAAAACCGAAAGATAAAATGAAAATATATGAACGGTAATAATAGGAGAGGACAGATGGAAAACGAGAGGGGCGCTCCGTTGACTGGGCGAATTGGCTCCAGTCTGATCTAAAATGTGGGTAACCCCAGATCTATTTTACGCTGCTACGATGGACATTGTGATAAGGATAAGGGACAAGAAGAAAGGGCAGCCCTCCATCAACACAAGAAGAAGACAGCAACAAACGTAAATATCGAAATCGCAAAATTTCCACGACACGGCGCTGATGGAAGCAAAAACGGCAAGATTGAGGAGAATTGATTGTTGATGCCTTCAGGACTTGTTTCGATGAAGTTGGCTTTTTTCCCTTTCTGGATGGTTTGGTTCGCTTCGGCTCAGCCTCACACGAGGCTTATTTTACAACACCGTACGCACCTCGGAGCCAATTAACTGCCAGATACAATCATTTCATTGGATAAAATGTAAAGTAAACCTTAGCGTAATTACATTTCAAGGCACAAAATGCGGGGATGAACCTTTATCCGACCCACTACAGTCACATGACAACATAGCTTATTTTAGCCTCATGCCTGGAGAAACCATAATCCGTGTAATTTTTTGGATGCGGAAATTCAGAATGTTGAGAAAACTCACTCGAACGGTCATTTCCCCGCACCATTACTTCAACCTACTCTCCTTTCGCGTTCATTGCAATATCTGGAGAAATTCTTAAACTATGGCTCCGTTAGAACTCCAGGGAAATGACGATTATGAAGCCATCGCGCGAGCGGTTCAACCAGTTCCCCGCCATCGATCTCACGACCCCACAAACAACCAGAAGCGGACAGATCCTTTCCAGTTCGGTTCGCGCTATCTCGAAGAAGGCGACGATGTTTTCGAATTCAACGCTTGGGATCACGTTGAAACTGACGCTGACTATCGAGAATACGCAGAGCTTCAATACTTAAGGCAGAAAGAGTCACCGGTCCCAGAGGACGCTCGTGACAAATACAATGCGAACCCTTCCAAATTCTGGAATCTATTTTACAAGCACAATACGAGCAATTTCTTCAAGAATCGCAAGTGGCTCCAGCAAGAATTCCCGATCTTAGTGGAGGTTACTCAACCCGACGCGGGTCCTCAGGTTATTCTGGAAGTTGGCGCAGGAGCAGGCAATTCCGCGTTTCCAATTCTTGCGAATAATAAGAATGAGCAACTAAGGCTGCATGCGTGCGATTATTCTAAGAAAGCAGTGGAGGTTATGCGCAAGAGTGAGCAGTATGATGAAAAGTATATGCAAGCGGATGTATGGGACGTTTCGGCTGAGGGCGAGGATTCTTTACCCCCTGGCCTAGGTCCGGATTCTGTTGATGTGGTCGTGATGATTTTTATCTTCTCCGCCCTCTCACCCAGCGAGTGGGGCCGCGCGTTGAAGAACATTCACCGGGTTCTAAAGCCCGGTGGCCATGTGCTTTTCAGGGACTATGGGAAGGGGGATCTCGCACAAGTGCGCTTTAAAAGCGGTCGGTGGATGGGTGAAAACTTTTATGTGAGAGGGGATGGAACGCGAGTATACTTCTTTGAGAAAGAAGAACTGGAGCACATCTGGGGTCGATGGAGCCCCCAAAATGGAATTCCGGAAACTAGCGAGAGCAAGGTTGCAGGTTCTGCAGACACAGCTCCGGAGTCACCAGATGATGCCGGATTTGAAATATTGGCGCTTGGAGTTGACCAACGACTGATTGTTAATCGACAACGGAAATTGAAAATGTATAGGTGTTGGATGCAGGGCCGTTTTCAGAAAAAGAAGGTCGAATCGCAGCAGTCCAGCACGCGCAACCCTGATAGCCAGAAAGTTGAGCTTCCAAACTGAATGGTCACTATGCTGTTTTGCATTATACACCATCGTTTCGATAGACGGTTTAACTAGAATCACTGCCTTACGGCACTTGGAGTTACGGCGCTGTGCTCAGTTACGAAAATGCAATTTATGCGCTACTCGAAGTTAACAATCCAGGCCATGATCACCTAGACATCTTCGACGCCGTTTAATTAACCATTTGTTCTTCCATCGATTTATTCTCACCACTCAGGCGTCTCATATAACAAGCGATCGCAGCACCCTACAATCTCATCCAGCTAAGAACCAAATCAGGACCAGGCAAACCGGGCAAACGCGAGTACCTACTGTCTACCTCAATACATCATATTCCATTCGGCTCTTTTTCAGCCAGCTTGCAAGAAGATAATGAAACACTATGAACTACGACTTTCTATGAGGTTTTGAAAAGTAGGATTATCTACTCCAATATAGAAGCATACATAGAGTATAGATATACTTTGAATACAATCTAATATCTAACAGAATTATCTTTCTTTCCGCAGATAGGGGCAAGAACATCTTCGGGGTCATGTTTTCTCATCTTGATGTCCAAGCGACCTCTCCCATCATTGACTTTTGGCAATGCTTTGTTCTTTCCCCAACGAGCCACCAATCAATATCCTCAAATTGCGAAACCCCTATTCACGGAGGTAAATTTTGCTCACTTAATTCAGTCAAAATTTTCGTCCGGCTTGCCACAAGAATAAGAGCGACAAGCAGAGTTACTTTTTGGTCACTCGCGCCCTCTCATGAACACGGATGTCCCCAGAGCCTGTTAATTATGGTTTTTTTACAAGAGGATGAAATTATGGGGCTCACCACCATGCAGGATGCCGATAAAGGCACTAAACACCCGCCATAGCCTTGGTGCTGCTCACATTTTTAGCAAGTGCTTAATGCAACCATTTGGGGAATATTAGCGCTGAAATTTCAGAAAAAACCCCCCACTGGTTGGCAATCCCCTTCAATTAGTTCAGACAAGGAGCGAGAACCCGGATTTTTATGAGCTTAGCTTTTCCTTTCTTCGAGAAAAACGACATCTTCCCAAAGGCCCGGAGGATAAGAGTCCGAGAGGATGCCGGAGTTCAGGAAGCCGATCGACGACGGACATTGGCTAATGACTTGCAGCTGTGTGACAGGAAGCCAGATACTGCGCAGAGTGAGAATTCTGGAGAGAGGTTTGTGGTATTTGGAGGGAGGGAAGTCCATGTGTGGAGCTTCCTAGCTGCTACTTTCATTTGGGTTTAATATTCTATAGATATCTTATACTTTATTTCATCACTGTCTACTTTTCTGCCCTTGAACTGACTTGAGGTTGACCGCTTTGCTCTGGAGGACCCCTCTGGTGTTCGTCAATACAACTCTTAATGGCACAGCAAGCTATCAACCATAAGGATACCTCCCCTCGGGGGGAAGCTCCCGTGTCTGAATCCGGGGGCTTCCATGTGATTTTCAAGAACCCATACGTGTTTGGAGTCGCGCTGGTTTATGAAAAATAGTCCTCAATTCACCGCTGATGCCCATGTCTAATTAAATGTATAGTTCTCCTCCCTCGGTGGTCTACTATCTGGCTACGACCAGGGCGTTGTCTCGGGAGTACTCACGATGGAGTTCTTTGGAGCTTTATTCCCAAGAATTTATATGGATAGTAGTTTCAAAGGATGGTTTGTGTCGACACTGCTGTTGGGTAGGTGAAAGGCTGAATCACTCAATATCTTCTTTGGCAAGCCAGGCGCGATATGAACGGAGAAGATCGTTATTCTAATATCAATGTACAGCTGCCTGGCTCGGTTCCTTAGCGAATGGCCCCTTTGCGGACTATATTGGCAGGAGATTGTCCATAATCGTCGCTGTTATTGTATTTTTGGTGGGTTCCATCATCCAAGCCGGAGCAGTCAATCTGGAAATGCTCTATATTGGTATGTACAGAGCTGAACTTTCGTCATCAGATTTTGAATGTGAGTGTCTTACTGATATTGCTTTCTTATGCTCAGGGCGGGCAGTCGCCGGGTTCTCAGTTGGGCAATTGACCATGGTTGTTCCACTGTATATCAGTGAGGTTTCGTTGCCTGCAATCAGGGGTGGACTTGTAGTCCTCCAGCAATGTAAGATACTTTTCCGATCAATTTATCCCAACCCTTTCTAACATCACTTACTACAGTGTCTATTACCATTGGTATTCTTCTTAGCTATTGGATTGATTACGGCTCAAATTACATTGGCGGGACGCGATGTGCTCCCAACCTCCCATACTCAGGCGGAACCTCCTATTTCCCCTATTCAGACCAAAGAAAACTCACAAAGGAGAACCTAAATAGCCATGATCTACTACTCCCCTACAATCTTTGGCCAGCTGGATCTTGAGGGGAACAGGGTAAGGAGCTCAAGATACAAAGAGATACTTTGCCCATCAAACACCGTTTCGTTTCTAACCGGACTCCCCACTACGTCTAGACCTCCCTCCTTGCCACAGGCGTCTACGGAATCGCCAACTGTCTCAGCACCCTCCCGGCTCTCTTCTGGATTGACAAAGTTAGCCTCAGAGTTCTCCTCATGTACGGTGCCACAGGAACAGACATTTCGCTTGTTATCGTAGGAGCGATCATCTGCAGACACGGACCGAGCCTCGTTGAGCATGCCGCTGCTGGCTGGGCCGGCATCGCGTTCATATATATCTACGATGTCAACTTTTCTTATTCTTTCGGTACGTTATTAAGCTTTCTACCTGCCTATTTGTTAACAAAGTCGTGGGGAGATACATGTGTTCAATCCAGCTGTCTCGCGTGGAGAAGAAACGAGGTGTGCTGATGTCAACACAAATTCCAGCCCCAATCGGCTGGGTCCTCCCCTCCGAAATCTTCAACCTCTCCATCCGTTCAAAGGCTATCTCGATAACTACCTCCACAACATGTATGTGTAATTTGTAGGTTAAAATACAGAAAGAAAACCAAGGGGACGATGATTTACAATGGATTCTCTCAACTAACAACAAACCCCTTAACCTCAACTCTAGTATAATCGGCCTGGTTCACCCCTGACATGCTCGAAACCATCACCTGGGGCACATATATATTCTTTGCCGCCTTCTGCTTGCTCGCGCTGGCATTCACGTTCTTCTTCATCCCTGAGACGAGAGGAAAAATTATGTTGACTTCCGCCTTCCCCGCAACAAAGCGTATGTGGTTTGGTGTGATCTTCAAAACTAACGAACTCACGCTCGAAAAAAATAAATAGACCCTAGAAGACATGGACCTTGTTTTCGGGGACACGGCGGCGCATGAGGAGCAGCAGCGTATTGTGCAGATTGAGGCGGCACTGCGCGGGACACCGCTCCCGGGCGCGGCGGCGTTGAAAGAGAGTCTGTTTAATGAGGAGGTGAGGGTGGAGAATGTTTGAGCTTGAGGAAATGTTTAAAGAAGGGAGACCCAAAGAAGGGAGACACTCAAGGTTCAATTCTTTAGTACATGTGCCATTGGGCGATTGTGAATATAAATCACATGGAAGAATGTATGTAAGTATGTACTGACTGTACTGTACTGTTACATGTACAGATTTTGAAATATAGAAAAATACCCTCCTCTGCAAGGGTGATGATATTATCGATGGAATTTTACAAGAGGGTAGATGATATTCGATGATTTCCTACTCAACTCCCGTCGTAACCCTCACAAGGAAAAATGACAGGGAAAAAAAAAAAAAAAAAAAAAAAAAGGAGGCGAAGAGAGAAATTTGTTATTCAAAAATACCTCTTCCCTTCCAAAGCCCCTTCTGTACCAAAGCCTGTCCAATCGAAGAACTCCATCCCAGCAGGAGCTACAGGAGGGCCAACCCCTTCCTCTGCTGCCGCAGTGCTCTCTATGGATATATTATTCCCGCTGGTAGTACCACCTATATGGTCAAGCTCAGCGGGAGGGCCACCAGCAGCAGCAGCACCACCACCACCACCACCACCACCACCAACCCGAACCCCTCCTGGAACCACAGAAAGGTTGCCAAAATTCTCATGACTCCCAGCCGCGCCCGTGAAAAACGAATACGCATCGCCGAACATCATTTCTTGATTCTGCACGCTCATCTCCTGCGAAATTATACCGGCCATATCAGCCTCCCATGCATGATGCATTCCACCATCATCATTATTCTCATCATCTCGCCGAACAACATTATTATTATTGCCTGAGGGTCCCGCTGCTGTCTTCGCAAAACTCGTAGCTACTGGAGGCAGGGGGGTAGTATTGCCGGTATCAATATACTGATGGGGATTGTCATCGCTGGTACTGTCGAAGGTTGTCCCTGATGCTGATCCGGCGGGAAGGCGTGGTGATGAAGGAGAGGGAAATGCGACCGGCCCACAAAGTCTATTTATGACTTCCAGACAGCGTGCGGCGAGGCGGTTATTTTTGCCCAGGGAGCTATGCGGGCTGAGAAGGCAGCGGATGGTGTGGATATCAGAGAGCCAGGAAGGGGCGGAGGGGGAGGTTGGGGTTGTTATTAGGAAGAGAACGGGGATTAAGGCGGCTTGGAAGAGGAAATATCTATGGAATGTTTAGGAATACCCAAATATGGGCGGGGTAGGTAAAGGGTATGCTGGTTAGTACTTACAGCATATACCATCCAGCTATTCTCGTATATGGATTCAACACCATGTAGCATGATATCGACTCGATCGTTGCCCGTGCAGCCCGTAGGCAACGCATTCTGCACTCCTCGTCTGCCGGTGGTGCTTGGTTGGGGTCAGTGGAAGAGGAAAATTGCGGCTGGCGCATCTGCTTCCATCTTTGCGTGGCCCACGTAAGTAGAATAGGACGGTATAAGATTATCTGGAAGTTCCAGCGGCGCCAGGAGAGGCGCTTTTTGGCAAACTCGAACCAACACGGGAGCTGCAAATTTGAGCTTCCATTAGAGCGGCTGTAATCGTCGTAGTGGCTATCATCACGTTCGAAGAATGGTGGTAAGGAGCAGAGAAAGTCATCAATGGGTATCTGTAGTTTTAAGGTTTCTTCTGCTGAGAGGTTGCGGTTGGATAGGAGGCAATGGTAGAGTTCGTTGGTTGTTAGATGGAATTTTGCCTGGGCGATTAGGCTTGAGTAGAGAGTCGGCTGGTCGCACTCCACTGGGTCTGATGTAGTTGTTGCGGTCAAGGCCTGGGAGATGCGTCAATTATAGGACTGTTTCTAGAAGTAGTTGGGAATATATCAGACTTACCGTTTCGGGAATATTCTTCACCTGCTTCGCATCCATGATGCACGCATCAGGTAGGAGAATCGGCCGTCCAAATGTGATGGAGGCACCACTATCAAAGATAAAAGTACCCCACCAGACCCTTCGCCTCATTTCCCGCTGCAGCAAACTAATATTCCACTGTGGAAACTCCTTATGGAGACCCAAACTCAGCGCCATCCGTATTGCAAGTCCCAGGTAATTCCAGCCGGTATTGGGTTTGTTGCGCTTTTGCGTATAATTGCTAAGAAGCAGGAACGCTTGTACGCATGCTAAATTCCCCACCTCAAAGACCGAAACATCTTGCAAATATCGGTTGGCTTCGTTATAAAACGTTTCGTGGATATCGACGTTATCATCTCCAAGGGTCCAGGCGCCAAGAGCAAGAACGGTGTTAAGAAGGATCGGCCATGCATGGCCCCGTGGTCTAGGGATTTGTTCGTTGAACTGAGCTCGGAACGTTTCCTCGTGGAGGAATGGGTAGCTCGTGTGGTAGTTGGCAAAATATGCATCTATAACTGTCTGAGCCACGACTTGTGAAGGTGCTATCCCCGGATGCGTCGACTGCCACATCATGGACTGAGACTCAGGTGCAGCCTTGCCAGCTGCTGCTGATTGACTTGGGGAATTCACATCCCAGCCACCCATAAAGAGTGCTCGAAGCGGCGCAACGCTTGAAGGACCGCCTACAGCATAGGATTAGTTTGAAAGGCCCATAGATGGTACCAGGAACGTGGGATGGGTAGTAACGACCAAGATATCCCGCGCCTTCAGGCCGGATTGAAAGAGCTGCCATGCCATCAGATAGCTCGCTAAGAGTAAGTTCTTTTTCAGCCCAGTCAAATCCATCTGCAAGCTGGGGGAGTGCCTCTGACGCAGCTTCCGGAGCTGCTGCAGCGTCTTTCGGGATAACCACAGAGACAGGTTTTTGGGGGGGTTCAGATTCCAGTGGGCATTGATCATCAGATGGCTGAGGAGAAGAGGACCCTAGGAACTCTTCGATGTCAACATTGGGTAACAATGTTGAGATTACTGCCTCCAGCTTTCGTATGCGCTCTTCAGCATTTGTAAGGTTCCTTGAAGCAATTTTTGTTATTAACCCCAGGTCATAAACTTCTAATGGTGACACAAAGAACCTACTGTCGCGTCAAAGGTGTTCGAACCACCTTAGGACTGTATACACACTCCTTCTTCAACTGCTTACACAGCGAACATGTTGGTCGTTCTTTCGAGCACTATCCAGAAATCGCAAGCCGATAATTCATTAACATGTCCGTTATAACATGGTCTCAGAGAGCAGACTAGTCTGTTCCCAGGACATGTACAGAGAAATGTGACACGGAATGCACCGTGCATGTACAGGTACATACCTTCGATTTCCGAAGCCTACACTCATCGCACTATTTCTCCCAAAGAGCAAAGAAGCGCACCAATCAGTATAGAACTTCATCAAATGCGATACAACAGATAAAAAAAAGGAAAAAGTTTCTACATGTTCTGGGGGAATGCGTAGATGGCTAGAACATCTCGAAGTCGAGTCCAAGCATTCGTGCAGCATAAAGTGCCACCTCCATACATGCATAAACTGCGCTTTTCTTGTTCAAGTACCCTTACGTATCTCAAGTGCATGATTGTATAGGTCTCCTTATCGGAGGGGAGCGGAGGGGAGGGGAGGGGTCGGAAGGTAGGTACAGAACCTGACCTGAGCTGACTGGTGGGAGAATAGAAGATAAGAATAATAATAGAGTCAAACATACCGCAATGCTCTGCAAGCCTTGACCTGAACCCGAGCTCTGGCCTTGGCCCTGGCCCTGGTTCTGTGCGAGGTTCTGTGAGTCCGTCTGCCCGTCGGTGCTCATTGTTGGCAATCCTTCATCCATCTGCAAAGGGCACAAAAAGAGAAGAAGAGAAGAGAAGTTAGACATCCGTTGATCCATTGTTCAGCGGTTTTCCTTTCTTTCTTTGATCATCACGTAGGGTGTGTCCATAACAGCAGAAGAAAAAAAAAAAAAAAAAAAAAACAAAGGACAAGAGTTCAAGTGCATCCACAATCCAACAATCTCCCTTCAACCCACAACACACGCCCTTCGTTCATTGCTCTTTTTCTCCCCCCCCCCCCCCTCAATAGCCCTCCAACCCCGAAGCAGTTGGCAGAAAACAGATGCCATGAAGCAGTAGCACAAAGGACATATATCCAGCCTTAAAACATCTCTTTTTCCTCAGACTCCGAATTTCCTCACCCCATCCCCTCCCCACATGCGCTGGCCTTTGACCTATCTGCAGATCAGATGGGTACACCAGGTCTATAGCAGAAGCCGTTATGCCATACACATAAAGGGATATGTATATGTATGGTATGTATGGCGGCGCATGCGGGTATAGTAGATCTCTCCACTTGTGTACGCACATGTGCACATGTACAGTACATACATACATGTACAACCCGAGCCCATAAACAAAAAAACCATTGCAACGGAATGAAGTTGCGGGGTTGGAACAGGTACAAAACGAACAGCGTTGAGGCAATGCCATGAAGAAAGAATATAAGGAGAGAGGGGAAAAGAAAGGAAGTGGGGGGCGGGGGGTGGATTATTCAAAAAGGCAAGATAAAACAGCATTAAAAACAAAAGGAGTGGTAAAAAAAAAATTAGAAAAAAAAATTAAAAAGTAACATACCTCACCCACCACCTACAAAAATATATATCGAACAAAAAAATAATAAAATAAAATAAAAAAGAATCCCTAACCAGCCCAACAACACCATGCGAGATCACAGGACGCTGTGCCCCCTAGCATAATTCTCTGGAGCTACCTAGGTTAACGACTCCGTACTCAGGAAGGAACGACGACGAGCAGTTAGAGGTCGGTGTGTGGGATTGATTGATTGATTGATGGAGGGGGTAGCGTAGCCTAGTGTGCAGATCTAGAGAATATACGCAGTTACAGCGACCCCCCCCTCTCAGCTGTTGTGGATTGATCGAAGAGAGTAGTTAAAGGGACGGAAGTTTGGTTTTTGGTGTGAAGGGGCACAGCACAGTACAGCACAGCACAGTACAGCATATGGTGGTGGATTGATAAGGATAAAAAGGACCCGCAGGTGTTGGTTGATTTTGATTGTCCTCTGCGCAGTAACGTAACGTAAATGGCGAAAAAAAAATAAAAATTGAAAGGGTTTGGTTTGGTTTGGTTTTGGGCCAATCACTGGCGCCCAATTCCTGGAGCCGCAGTGGTGTCACGTGGACTCCGCTGGCTCGGAAAGTATTCCAAGGTTCAGATCAGGCACTTGTTCAGTTTCTGTGATCCAATATTATGTTATTTTAATAGATTTTTATTTTTATTTTTTTCTATATACACGAACATTTCGTAAATATATATACCAAAACCCCCCTCTGCTATTCTGCTATTTACAACAGACAACAGTGGAAGCAAAAGAAGAGCTAAACACACACACACACACACACAAACACATATATATATATATATACATACCTACCTCCCTAGGTAGGTACTCTAGGTACAGTCCGTAGCTGTCTTTCTTTAAACCCCCAGGCGGTTAAACCTAAACACGGGGGGAAGTACATGCACATCCACCCACATCATCTTTTTCTTTTCTATACCCTTTCTTCTATCCCTCGCAACGAAAGAACACAAGAAACGAACAAAAAAAATATGAAATAGCCCAACACCCCTCAGCCATGCCACGCACAGGATTAAATCATTATTATTAAAATGGCTATTCCCCCTCCCCTTCCCTTTTTTACCCCGCAAGGGGGTGTCTCATGTAACCGAGCAACGACAGGAGTCGACAAGTTCATCTGGTTCGAACGGAGCGTTTGTTGTATGATTATTCCTTTGTTTTCCTTTACTTTTTGTTCCCCTTTGTTCCCCATGCTATTTCATCTCCCCATTGGTGCAAACGCGTGTAGAAAAAAAAAGGAAACGATAGAGAAGTGGAAAGGCAGGGAGGTAAATGGGGGCAGCGTTGGGGTTGGTTTTGCGTTGTGGTCTATTTGTGAGCAACCCACCCCGGTTGACGTGCGCTACCACCCGGCTAGCTCGAAAGGATGCTCGGAACGTTGTTGCGTGAAGAGGTGCACATGTGTATCGTCCGGGTGCAGGTGTCTCCCTGGGAGAGGCTGGGGAATTGAGGATGTCAGCTGGCCCCCTTCGCGGGGTCTTCTAAGTTGGCTCAATGCAATTATTTCCGATCACCTGAACCGGCAAAGATAGATAGGCTGGATAGAGGAGCGCACGAGGAGCCAAGAAAAAAACCTAAACGTCTTATCTACATCGTTAGAGACGGACATTCACCCTCCGCGCGGACGAAAGCCCCCGTGAAAAGATCCTGCATGGCGGTATAGTGGAACAGGATTCCCCCAAGCACAGCGACGTGCCAGATATTATGGCTGCCGCCGATGTAGTCGAAGAAGCCAGGGAGCCAGCGCTCAGGGATCTGTAACGCATATATCATCGCTCCCAGCAGGTAGACGGCCAGGCTTTTTAGTAGAGGTGCGTAGAAGTATAGAGACCAGCCCAAGCTCCTTGTCAGGCTTAGTTGGGCCATGGGTGCGAAGCCTGTAGCTGCCAGGGTTACGTAGAAGGAAACGCGCGCCCATGCCATGTCCGCGCGGTTGAAAGTAGGGTGCCAGGGGAGAATGACGCCGGCGACGCCTAGGCTAGACGTCGTGACGATGTAGATCCATCGGGAGACTGGTTCGCAGTAGAAGGCAGTGTATTCCGTCGTGACGATTGAGGCGGCGACGAGCAGGGATATCCCGGTATAATCGACGCAGGCGAAGCGTTCCATGAGCGGCTGTGACGCGATGCTGTTCATTGTGTGCCATAGGGTACTGCAGACAAGGCACTTGCAGGCGGCAACGAAGAAGATGGCAGCGACTGTGATGTCGGTTTTGGTGCTGAGTGTGAAGTTCGGATTTGCGGGGTAGAAGTAGAATGCCACGGCCAGGACGACGAGTAGGCCAATGAAGTGCGACCAGATGTTGAAGAGTTCGTTGGAGAATGTAAAGACGGACGTTACACATTCGATCTTGGAAGTTGTGAAACGGTAACCCTGCAGAATGTATGGGTTGACCCTCCAAGGGTGCGGCAGGTCGGAGTACTGGATTAGCCGCCTTTCATTGGCTAGATGGATCGCACGTTCGATGTTCTTTTGCAGGGCTTCCCGTGCACGCTCGACGCTCTCATCCATGACTTCGCGGGCGTGCGTTAGGCCCGGTTCCACGGCGCGCCATCCATCGTCCAACGTTCCATATAGACCCCGATCGCGCACGGCCTGCGCACTGACCTCGAGCTCGCCGAGGAAATTCTCCATCAAACGCATGCTGGCCTGGGCTTTTTGTTCGAGAGTTTCCTTTGTTGCGAGAGCCTCTTTATAACGATCCTCCAGCGTTTCCACCAGGATTTTGGCTCGTCGCTTGCCGCTTCCCATCAGCTCCCCGGAGGCATGGGAGCAGGAATCCCGCACGGAAACCAGGGCGGCATATCCTCGTTTTAGCCTTGCGTCGATATGTGTTATGTGTGATTGCCGATATTCCTCCAGCCATTGTAACCGTCGCTCCATTTCTGTGAGGAATAATTCGACCTTAAAATAAAAGCAAACAAATTATACAACGTTAAATCTTGCCCGGTTTCCATTGAAACTTCCATTATCTGCAGGTAAAGGGAGCAACTCACTCGCAAGAATATAGCATCCGCATCATAGTCGCAGGATAGTCGTCTGTTGGTATGAAAAGAGTGCCTTCTCCGTCTGTTACGCAGTAAACTGGCACGTTCGTCCTGGGTAGCGAAACCGGAAGCATTGGAAGCTAGGTCAGGGTCTGCGTGGGACTCCATGGTCACGGAAGGGGCTGTACAAGCCATGGTCACCCTTGATTGACGGGGATGAAGCCCAAGAGGCGGGCAGGTTGGCGAAACTCGAGGTGTATATTGCGTTGAGAACTCCCTCTAGGTAGTGGGTTCTCTGGTATATCGAGGTTAACCTCGGCGAGTAAGAAGAAGACGAGGCCGAGACGAGTGGGAATTACGGTCTCATATTAAGTAAGGATAAGAATAAAAGTTTCCAACAATGAAGGATAGACGGATAGGAGAAATTAATAGAGGGAGAGAGTGCGCGTGGGATGCTGCGAGCTGAGGAAGCGGGAATAATAATAACGGGGCAATTGAAGGAGCGGAGAGGGGTTATATAGGGGCGAGCTGGGAGGAAAAAGAGAGAGAGAAAACGAAGCAAGGACCAAAGGAAACGAAGAAGAATGATAGAGGGATGAGGAATGAGGATCAGAGGTTGGGGGGGAGGAGTGGAGCGAGAAGACAGCAAGCAGTCTAGTCTGGGGCGCTAATCGCCTCCGCCGGCCGAGCAACTAGCGAAGCGCCCTGGGGCAGTTGTAACCGAATCCTTGTTTTATTTAGCTCTGTACTCCGTACTTGCGTACACGTTTCCAGCGTAAGCTGTGGCGGTCTACTCATCATGCTGCAGGTTGTTGCCAGAAGAAAGCTCGCGTGCGGTAATCGGCTCTCATTTTGCTATCTCCCCAATGTCTGACAACGCATCGACCTTTTGATACAAGCAATAATTAAGAACTGATAGGCTCTATGATAGAAAAGAAGCCATTTGATAGCTCAGGATGTGTCCACTGTGCATTCCCTGTAGCTCACAATTGCAATAGGTATGACACGTATGGGTGACAACAAGCGTAGAGATGGACAGCAACCGATAGACCACATGGGCATGGCATGGCGTCCACAAGGGAAGTCTGCATCTGGCTACGACGGCGCAAATAAAACGCAGGATGTTCGCCCGCTTCCTTTGGGGAAATACACCGGCAACAATTGAAACTGCTATTGATGAAAAATACAAAAGAAGCTCCAGATGACTGATTGCACATCCACCATAAGAATGGATTACTTAGTCTCTATCTCCCTGTCATTAATAAAACTTATGATCTTTGATAGTCCTTGCAAATCCCCTTCCACTGTTTCCATCAACTCTTCATTAACCCAGCCTGGTGTGTAAGATCCCCCAAAATCTATAATCCATAGGTTGTTATCCATATCAATGAGAACATTTCCTGGTTTAACATCTCCCCAGATAATTCCAGCTTTGTGAAACTCATTGACCATCTCTTTCAACTGATGAATCCATGTTTCTCGTAGATTTGGTGCTGCCTTTTGGATATTATCTTGAGAAGCCAATGTGCAGCGAAACTTGATATAGGTGATGAGGATATCACAAATTTCCATATTGCTCTTATTTCCAGATGAAACAAAAGCGTGAATTTTAGGTACTCGGATTTTGTCATTTAGCCCTGACTGATGTAGGTGGAGCAGTGTCTTGATTTCGCGTTCAGTATGTTGTAATAGCTCTCGATAAGCTGGTTTGAAAAATTGCTTCTTATTACCCACAAGCACTTTTGAAGGTCGTAGTGGTCTTTCATTTTTTGAATCCCAGGGTAATTTCACCTTCGAAGGATCAAGTAGAGGAATGCTAGCAGCCATAGCAGTATATGATGATGAAAGGCAGGTTCGGGGCATAAGGTCATCTGGTTTGGGTTTGTGTGAGGATTGGATTGCAGTTAATTTGCCATCATCAACTGTTATGGTCAAATGAATTGCTGGTGTCATGTAATATTCCTCTAAGGTTATTATCCGCGGCTCAGTTGGACAAGGTGCCAGGATATGGAAGTGTGCAAAACAAGCCTTTGCCATCCAGTAGCACATCTCCTCCATTGGGTCTGGTTGGCCAGGTATAAACTGGAAGTCATCATTATTCATACACAAAAGGTCCTTTATCAAATCCAAAAATTCATGTTTGATTGCTGGACACTGCTCCATGTTTTTGGCTAGGGCTAGAATATCAAAGCGTCTATTGTAGCACATCACAGTCATTTCAGTTCTATCTTTATCACCACACCAAAAGCTGACAATGTCGTATGGCGGGTCAAGATGCGGAGTGGTCTCGGAACTTTCATTAGGAGTCATCTTAGCAGGACAGGACGGGATGATTTTTGCGGATTTGAACAGGTTGGGTGAAAAAAAATTCTTATGGTGAAAGGGTGAGTGGTTAGACGGCTTTAAATTTAAGATGCATTTTGGCCCGAACACGTGATAATCGGCGCATCAATAGTCCGACCAATCAGTGGGCTAACATGGGAATTTATTTACACTGCTCCGCTCCCGTAGTTTAGGCGCCATTAAAAAAGCTTCAACATCCAACACTGAAAAAAACAACTAAGGTTCCCAGATATCAACCTGATTACTATTCACAATGACGGTCGACGATCTCGTCACTGATCCTTCTCTTTTACCCGTCCTCCGGACCAGCGCGGAAACTCTCTCACAATGCCAAACCCTGCTCTCCATGCTTGATCCCTCGACCCTAACCCCCTCTCCGTCACAGGACTTCATACTATCAATATCAAAACAACAAAAGCTAGTATTTTCACTCCTAGCGCAGCTTCGAGGGTTGAATCGCGATGCCATTCTTAGCGTTAGAGCCACCAAGCAAGCCACCGCTGAGGCGCGGCAGGAGATTGATAGGTTGCACCTCCACCTACAGAATCTATATTATGAGCAGAGGCATCTAAATGGGGAGATTGCGGCATGCGAATCTTATGAGTATGTGCTTCTCCATGTACATAGGATTTATCCTTCTTGTTTGGCCGCCTATAATTCTATACATATCTCCCTTCGAAGACTTTTTGGTGAGGTTCCTCGTTCTAACAAAACCTCGATGTACAGCCACAAATATCTCTCTCTTCCATTAATACCCATCGAGGAATTCCTAACTATCCATCCCGAGCTGGCAGAAGCCGATCCGAACCAACTCATGGTTGCGCGCATCAACCACGAGCATGCGGAGCGTGAGAAATTAGAGCAGGCCAGGCAAGAGCTTCTGAAGCGAAAACAAGCCTTGATTGCAGAAAACAAGAAGCGGAAGGACGATCTGGCCAATCTGGATCAAGATCTTGAGAGATTTATTGACGTGAGTTATTTCATTTGCTCCCCACCTGGATTCATTTTTCAATATCTTCTCGGATATAAAAATGGCCCGTCGCCAACTTTCATATCTATGACGAGATTAAGCTAATCACTTCTTCCATTGACAGGCTGCCAAACCGATTCAGAAAATTTTCGAAAAGGAATACTGAGTCTTTCGCTTACCTTATTTCGTCATCTACATGTAGCATTTTCGGCGTAGTTGGTTCGAATGGTCATAGTACTGTACTCTTCTTGACACAGGGTTACAGGCGTTGTTGGCATTCTCAAAATGATATGATACACACCTCTATAACTAGAAATCTACTAGTGAAAATCTCATTTATTAATGGTAAATCGTCTATTTGCCCGGCTCTGATGTATCGTTGTATATGATGATAGCGTCTTGATCTCCTCCTACCTATACTTAGAACGGAAAGATATTTCGCAGTCCGTTTCCATATTTGCTCCCATAAATAGGCTCACGGGTACCAGGATTATAATATCATACTTACCGTACTTATTATCGTAACTATTGAGAGTCATATTTAGTTCATAATTATCTTTTCTTGCGTTTTGTAGCAAGCTTGTCCACCTCTCCCTCGTCGACTTTGGCCCACCCACCCAATCACAGAGGACCAAGCATCAAGCCACCACTTCTTCTCCGCGACTCCGCAACTTCAACTTGTTCAACCCGCCAAATTTCTAGTCGCCCAGCTCCCGCTATATTCAAGCGGACCATGAGCTGACAATGCGGAATAAGAATGGAGGCAATATGGGAGCCTCCTCTGCTAACCCACAGACAAACGCTACAATCGATGACAAACCAGCCATGACGACCAGCGCGAAGCGTAGCCTCCCGCCAGAGAAGCCAGAGGCTATTCGGACCAGAACACTAGTGATATCTGCGTTTTGGGCTGTTATAATATTCCTGGGCCTTCCGATGTGGTGGAAGACAACGTCCATTTACAGAGCGAGACTTCCGTTGGACGAGATGAAGGATTGGGCAGATGGCAAGGTAGGCTTCAAAAAGCATACGTCTCCTCAATCACGGGTATATGGGGAGCTGGATATTTCAAAAGACAAATCTAATATTTCCTACGTAATAGGCATGTCGACCAGTCTTCCCCTTACAGATTCTCGTCCATGCTCCGTCAATGAATGCGCCTGATGCCGAACACCTTATTCGCACCACCCAACATGCCCTAGACGATTTGAACGATTTCTCCGCACACCACCTCAGGCTTCGGCTAGTAGAAACGTCTAAGAGCCTAGGAGAACAATCGGAGGCTATACAAATAGCAGAACCAGATGCTGAGGAGAAAGAGAATGCAGCCCTGAGTATTAGGTTGCTTCCGCGAGAGGAAGTGGCCACACCGAGTTCAGAACTACATGCGTACTCTGAAAGACTGGACATATTTTATCCAGCTAACCAAGCACCGCTTACTTCGACACTGAATTCACTCCTTGCTACATTTATCGCGGCAGAAGTGCAGAAACTGTTCAATGAGGAGAAAGCAACAATTGCATATATCCTATCAAAAAGCAACACCCTTAGTCCATCACCTCAACCCTCGATTCCAGGAGGTCACGCCCCTTCTGTGAATAACAGAGAGCAAGGAGTGGCAGCCATGAAGGCGGTAGCCCCCCAATTGGCGGAGTCAATTGTTCGTCGCACCACCCGTTCTTTTAAATATGCCGAAACCTATCATTTAAGCTTCTCGCTTTTCACACCGGGGCCGCTGCCATCTTCATGGGATATCGAACCAGCGCTGCAAGATTACCTGTTACCGCTTCTAAGAACGTATTTGCCCATTAGCAACTTCTCCATCGACACGCAGGTGCAGGTATACGCAAGCTTTGCCCCTAGCGCGACACAGCCAGAATTCGACGAATCACTGGACGCCTGGACGCTTAAGAAGGAAGAGCTAGGTTCATTCATCAACGCTGCGGAATGGCCTTTAAGCCCTAGCATCGGCAAAAGCCCTACAATAAATTTCATCCTCTACGTCCCTTCACCAAGCGAATCTCCCCTCATCATTAAAGAAAATCGCGCCACTAGCTGGCTCATCCCTCAATGGGGCGGAGTCTTCATCCTCAACCCACCCCTTGATCCGTCGATGATTCCTAGGGCAAACCCACCCCATCTCCCCAAAGACTCACTCCAAAACCCCCTATCTACCTTCTCCCATCAACTCCTTACACTCCTTGGTACCCCGTCCTCCCCCGCATCCCTCCCCCTCCGCCTCCAAGCCTTAGTACGCATCCATACAGCCTCCCTCCTCCTCTCCGCATCTTCAACCATGGGCTCGCTGGCCCGTCTTACACGCTCTCTTGCTTCAATCCCCATCCCACTCAGCGTAGCCAACTCCGTTTCGACCACTCTTTCGCATCTCTCGGCTACATGCGATCTCTTGCGTGAGGGCCGCTTCAAACAGGCGTTGGCGAGCGCACGCGTTGCGGAGAATGAGGCTGAGCGCAGCTTTTTTGAAAAGAGTATGGTTGGGCAAGCGTATTTCCCGGATGAACATAAAGTTGCGGTATACCTGCCACTGCTGGGACCGATTGGGGTACCCCTCGTCTTGGGCCTGATAAGAGAAGGGAAAAGAGTAATTCTGACGATGAGGGGGGTTAGGTAGATCTCTTCACTTTTTTTTTTTTTTTTTCTTTTTTAATACCTCTTCTCCTTTCTCCTTGTCTCTTTTTTTCAGCCCGAAGTCCATGTGTATTCTATTCATTTACTATTTTTTGATGTTTTACATCGGGGTCGTCACCCATCCTTGGTAGACAATCACCACAACTGGAATACTTCTTTTAAGATACCTACAAGGATAAAAATCGCAGGCCGAGATCCGATTTAACCCCTCTGTCCTTTTTTCCCCTTCTTTATCGCGCGAAACAAAAATCCAAAGATAGAATTTCCTTTCCTCGCCACCCCTACCACCAACCAACCAACCAGCCAACCAGCCAGCCAGCCAACCAGCCAGCCACAGCCACAGCAACCAACCCAACATCCCATCCACACCAACGTCTATTCTCAAACCTAACATCTCATATCCATAATTCATTTCAAACCAGAACTCCATCACGATAGCGGCAATTAGGCCTCGGCTATCCAATCCTTCCCGCCACCTATAACACATATGATCACATCTTGAATTCGCAGCAGCCACCACCACCACCCGCCTCAAATGGCTACGTTGGTAAAAGGTATACTTACTCTACTACACTCCTACGCCCTCTTGTTCGCTCACGTTCTCTCGGTCAGGTAACATCCGCGGGCCCGGCCCCTGGAAATTCCAGCGAGCCTCGGGAGGATTGTTGACTTGCCAAAGTTCATGTAGCACGGGCGATGGGTGGTGGTACGGTACCTGTGGGCCGAAACCGGGTGATTGACGCTTTTCACGCGGGAGCTTGATTCTCCCTTTAATGTGCTTGCTTGCCGGGGGGGGGGGGGGGGGGGGGGGGGTATGGAAAAAATGGGGTTTCTTTACAAGATATCACATAGACTCGGTTAAGTCAGATCCCCTTCTGGTCATGGAGGGTAAGGTCGGGAGGAATATGGTGATGTATGGGGAAATGTGAGGGGGAGCGAGGGGGATATAGATAGAAGTCACAAAGGGTATTTTATTGGGGGCCAGAGGTATCTTGGGCTTGGGACCAGGCCCGGAAAAGCGACTCTGTCTAACTACTAACAGACTGCTTCGGTTCAATTTTAGAGTGGGAGTTGAGTTCCGGACCACAGCCAACCATTTCGTTTGAACAAAGATATCCATCAAGAGTAAATTTGAGTAAATTTGAGTTTTCCGGTTCCTGGTGGGCTTATTCTAAATATTTGACAATGTTATGGAACCAGATATCCTACAATGTACCTATGGTGCTAACTGTGGATATGAGTGTGGATGTGGTTTCACGTTATTTAAAAGAATGCTAATAGGAATGTAAATCTTTTAGTTCGAACAAAGCGAGATAAACTCATGTGAGCTTCATACTACATAAGCTTGAGGGGAGAATATCCATGTTTCTGATTGTTTATGCCTGCTGTAGCAGCAAATCCGAGGGGAGTGCACAAGAGTCAAAAGCTACCCGTCGGCTCATATAGTAAGTAGCAGGCAGATAATCTCGCATGGCAGTTGCAGATAAATACATGTACAGTACATAGCACGGTTCGCATGTAGGTTGCATATCGTAGATGGGCGACGTGATAATTGAAGTCACCATGCACGGGGGCGCTTGGTTCATTGGTAATAGACAAAGAAAGGGAGACCAGGGAGGTCGGATACGGGGTGAAGATCAGTGGCCTCCTGCAGCCGATGGAGCAAAAACATGGGCTGAGAAGAAAAGAAAAATGTAAGTCTTGGGTAAGATATCAATGGATGAAAATGAGAAGGGGTTAATAGAGGTTTGGAAGCTTTGAAGGTTGGATATAAATAGAAACTCACAATCAAGTGTTGCTGAGCTCAGATCTATTGTACGAGACAGGAAAAGGCCATACAGGCACAAGGGTGTATATATATGATCAAAAATAACTCGAAATATAATGAAATAGGGCAAAACAAATAAAACAAATAAAAAATAGATCTCAGGCTGTGCGGTATGCGAAAAATAATTACAAACAACCAAACTCAAGTATTGATGAGAGGATCCAGAAACCATTGTGAAACCCATGAGAAAATCAAAAATTAAGGGGTAATGTTCCTTACAACACCTGTAGCCCTGCTCCTGATTAACCCATTACACAGTACTTACAAACCAAAAAACACCTTAATTATCTATAATGCTTTTTCTTCAAGTCCTGTTTTTCTGCAATCCTTTTCTAGCTTTGTCGGTGAAATCCGCCTCCAGTACACTATTATTAGCTTGTCGCACTTCCTTGTCCCTTACTCCTTCCGCTCTGCTCATTCTTTGTCTCGATGTCGCAATATGGAGCGGAGCGAACGGCTGCGGAACGGCATCGGGTCAAATTCTAAACCTCTATACCCTACCCCGCGGCGTCTGTACCTGTGGTAGAGGCGGTGTCGTTGTGACTGAGAAATAAGGACTGCCATTCTTGCTCTGGAACCCGACGCGTTCCATCATTTCGGAAAATGTAGTTTGTGGTCTGCCGTTTCCAACAGACTGGTATAACTCCCCGAGTTGAGCCGGGCGTAGGTGTGCGGGGCTGAAAACTTTTATACTCTCTGTGCTGGGCTCGCGTCCTGCTCCACCACCACTGCGGCGGCCACCGACACCATTCGGCCCTGCATCCCGGTTGGACATAGTAGTCGACATCGGCATTGTCGCAATATCATCTGCGGTAGGCCTGGGTCCAAAGAAACTCTTTACCCGCGCGCTAGTTCGGCGGAATTTCGATTTCGTACTGTTATCATCCTCCTTTACAAGACTGGCTTGGCGGCGCAGGAAATCTGTCCGGACGGAATCCTGTGCTGCGGAGGGAATGGGATCGGAGATGGAGACTACGCCCTTTTCGCAGGACTTTTCGCGGAAATGGCTGAATTTCGACATGGGTGAGGGGACGAAACGTCTCTCTTGGTGGCGTTTATAGAGGTAGAAGACTGCCAGGGCCAAGATTATGCCAGCTACAAGGCCGGGAATGAGGCCGACAATGATTGCAATAGGGGGGAATTTGGATTCTTCGGGTGGCGGGTCTGTGTGCTTGATATTGTGGGTGGCTGTGGATGTTGTGGTAGGTTGTTGACCCAACGTTGAAATTGGGATAATATCCGGGCCTTGTCTGCCAGTGGAAGTAGGCGGAGAAGTAGGGCCTGTCTCTGTCTGGACGCCAGTTTGCGACGGTAATAGTGACGTTGGAAGCTGAGGTGTAGAGGAACTGCGGCCTTTATCATCTGGAAATGGTGGAAAAGCTGCATCCGGGAACGAAACTTGACAATATAAAACACCATTTTTGGATTCCTTACATCCAGTGCCAGGAGGGCAACACTTATCCCCACATCTCTGGAGCGCTATGTCTGGTCGCTTTGATTTATATATGGACATAGGCTCGTGCTCGGGGTCGTACTTCCCAGGATCGCATGAACCTAGCGTCCACTGTAAACAGTTCGCGCCAGCTGGGCAACATACCATGGAATCGCCGTAATTCAAAGTAATGCATTTTGTCGCCGGAGGGCAGCAGAAATTAGGCGGAGCTTTAGGGTCTGCGCAAGTTGTGAAGTTTTCCAGGGGGCATGAACCGCTGCCGCGCCGTACAATGTCCAATGCGGCTGAAGGTGTGAATGGTATTGCAAGTGCCAGCGCTAGCAAAGATAAAGAAGTTGAGACCAAGATAATTCTGTGATGTAGAACCGACATCCTGAGGTAACGGGCTGGGTTGTTGTCCTGTCAAAGGAGCATCAGTGTCTACGCCAGCCGCTCAGCAAAGAGAATCAGCTGAAGATTTAGTGAACAATGGAGAATGCGCGGAGGAAGTAGGATGGGGAGAGAAAATGATAGCCAGGATATCTTGGATTTCAAGAGCTCAGCAACAGCCTAAAGCTTCAATCGAAACATCACAACGTCTTGTATAAAAAAGAAACAATTAAGAACAAGAAAAGTATATCGCAAGAAAGAGAAAATATGGAGAAAAAAGAGAAAGAGAAGCTTATGAAACAAAGAACCAGGCAGGCTATATGACGGACAGAGTCATGTGGATCCCACGACACGGAGATCTGAAGAAAATGAGAATCCGCTGATACGCGACGCCCAAGGACCCCTCTATACAAAGCTTCCGGCGAACAGGGCCAACAACATAGGGCATTTCGACCAGGGGGAGAGGTTAGCCAGCTAACCTCAACACTGAACCACCCAACCGCCAACCCAAGCTGAAGATTGAAACCATAGAGACCCGACCAGGCCCCTCCAGGGCACAGGAACACCCTTTCTGCAGTCCCGTACTGGTTCTGCAGCTGCAGAAATGTCGGGTGTGAAACCAACGATGCAGCCCTGGTTGGCTCTGGTTGGATGTGGTTGGATGTGGTTGGATATTGGTAGTCGCAAGCCGAATCGGGCAATTTTGGCGCCGTGTCAGATAGTCGGCGGCTCAGGGCATTCATGGGCTGTGATTGGCTGATATGCTTAAAAATCCACTAGGCTCGAAAGACACTAGCCTGGCTTGGCATCGAAGAAATTCTTTGGCCAAATTCGAGAGAATCCCGTGACTTGGCGAAGAAGAAACTCCGCAGCACGAGATATCTATCCAGACATTGCACCGGCTACAATTAAAGACTTATCTATACTACTAGCAGAGTCTTTTCCCCCGGCAATGGTTTGAGTCTGAGTCCACTTTCCGTTCATGATCCTGCAACGTTCGCTCCGGCCGCAGTCCGGCCTGCGCGCCGTCTCTTCCTCCCTGGTATGGCGATGTCCATCGCTTTTGCTCAACCGCTCCTCAAATCTGTTGCTGATAATGGTATATAGTCCTTCCTCCGAACAACTCCCCAGACTCGATCAACCCACTATGTCCCTCAATTAGGACACGATGCATCCTTCAAGCAACATGGGGTACCGGATCTTTTGTCGCCACAGGGATTCGATCTGTCATGGGTTCAATATCAGAGCTTCCTCATCAACAAATTAAATCTTTTAACAGCAGGTAATATCTTGACGGCCAATGGCATGGATAAAAAAAATAAAAAATAAAAAATAAAAATAAAACCTTTAACTGGGGAAGTCTTTGAATCTGAGATATGTTATACCTAGGCACACCCGATGAATCTGCTACTCCCGGCACTCTTCTGGTCAGATATGCCCGCGACGCCAGCATGGCATCGGTTTTCAACTATGCCTCAATGGCCCACAACAACCACTTCTTCTTCAATTGCCTTGTCAGTAGACCTCTACTTCCTTTCAACGTTTCGTCCTTCCCCCATAACCGGCCAATTCTCCATTTATTTACACATATGTGCAGTCGCCCGAGCAAGTCCCCATCCCCGAACACCTCTCCAAATCCATAGAAGACTCCTGCTCCTCCGTCGAGTCCCTGAAAGCCGAATTCCTCGCAACCGCCAACGCCATGTTCGGCCCCGGGTTCGTTTGGCTCGTCAAATCAAAGGACACCGGCCAGCTCAAGATCCTATCAACCTACATCGCCGGCTCCCCTTACCCTGCTGCCCACTTCCGCCGCCAACCAGTCGATATGGCAACACAGACCACCGGCATTACGGGCGGCGAGAACCTAGAACAGATCAGAAAACTCACCCCGACGAACCGAGTAGGCTCTATGGGTGCGTATTCTAGCCAGAAGTTCATGGCGCCTGGCGCTATTGATATCCACCCGATCCTCTGCGTGAATACCTGGGAACATGTGTGGCTTCCGGACTGGGGTGTTGGAGGGAAACCTCAATTTTTGGAGGCATGGTGGAATAGGATTAACTGGGATGAGGTGGCTCATAATGCCTCTCAAGCTGGCCCGATTTCCACGCGCCCAGGCACCGCGAGATCCTCATACAGGCGTGGCGCGAGGTTCTAGGTTGATAGTTTAATGGGGATTGGAAATTAAAGAACCTGAAGATGAGAACGGAAATTTTTGTTTTGGGTTCTATTATGCCAGGTTTCTATGTCTGTCTATTCTGTATTATACATATATATCTCTTTCTTTCTTGTTTTATCCCGTATTATACATTTCCATCACTCTATCACCTGTGTGCTATTAGAAATTTGGAATATAGACGATTCTCCATGGCTTCTCTCTTTCCGTGCCATGCCAAAAGGGATTCTCAGGGACAAGGCATTACCCCAAGCATATCTCTAACACCAGCTTACCCACCTAATTTTCAAATAACTCCATGCTCCATTGATAAATCCCCCAAAACCCATCGCAAGCCCCAGTTCCAATTCCACCATCCACGCGCGATCGCCTCACCCCATCCTCGCCCTCTCCAACTCCCTCACTCTCTTCTCAAACGCCTCGATCATCATCCCCGCCACCTGATCCTCCACCGCCCCCATAAGAGCCGCATGCAGCGCACTGCGAAACTGAAACCGCACCTCCAACTCAACCCGCGTCTCCCCCGCGCCCCTCCCACCCCCCCCATTCACCACCACCCCATCCTTCCCCGCTCGCAGCTTCCACAACGTATCCAAAAACTCAAACAGCCCCCCATCCCCAGCTTCAGCAGCACCATCCTCCGCCGCACGCCGCCCACTCCTCGCCCCCACCGTCCACAGTGCCGCGTCACACTCCACGCGCGACACAAACGTCTCCTTCAACGGGCCATACCCCACCGTCAAGAAGGCGCTGGTTGGGTATCCGGTCTTCACGTCGCGGGCCGTCACGGTCGATGCGGTGAGGAAGGGGAGGAACTGGGCGTACGAGTCGATATCGGCGATGGTGCGGAAGAGGGGTTCCGGGGGAAAGGGGAGATTGCGAGTGGCTGTTAGGGTGCGTGGGGGCGGCGGGTTGGGGGAGAGGGGGTTCGTGAAGGAGGAGAGGGAGGGGAGGTGGAAGGGGCGGAGTTTTACGGTTGGAGTTGTAGTGATTGGAGGGAGTTTGTGGGGGCGGAGGAGCGGCCGGAGGAGGAGCGGGTTTCGTGGGCGCATTCTGCGTCCTGGTTTTTACTCGGCCGGTTTGCTCCTGTTGGCGAGGGTTGCCGTTGTGTTTCTTATGATATGGCGATGCGTGAGGGTAGCGAAAGAGGAGATATCTGGGCGATTTTGGAGCTGCGAAGCTGCTGGTTTACTTCCGGGCTATCGCATGGCCTTATTTTATCGGAGGTTATATATGACTGGGGTGGGTGTTGACTTGGAGGGTTTCGTTCTCCAGGCGCAATGAGAATCTGGGTATTTGTATCGCGGGATATATTGCGAGAACAATATAGGTGGATTAGAAATTAGCAAATTAATGGTATAATATAGGTTGGGGCTTGTGGTTATTGCTACAGCTGGCTGAGTTGGAAGTGAACGTCGTGTTGAGAACCTCCGCTGCCAAGTCCGCAACAGCTCCGATGCCAAGACGACGAAGTTTAGTTTATTGACTTCCTTTCCGCTCGCTATAACGGAGTAGATGCACTTCATCAAATAAAGAACATGACGCATTTTATTGTCCGATTCGTCCACTATGTGTGCTTCTTCTAAATAATAGCGTATACTATTTGCTTGAGGCTCCAGAATTAGGTTTCAACAGGAATTAGCTTTGTTGGATTCAGCCGGGCAGATGAGCAATAGAGCGCACCGCAGGAGGAAAGAGGCAGCACCTGCGTTATGATGTTTACTCTTCACCTACTGGATATTGGGATATGGATATGCCCTATACCATACCTCACGCAGCTGTGAGACCCTCAGGATGACAGGAGAGTAGGTGTGAATACGACGGGAAAATGCCCCTGAGGAACCTCCGTAGTTGATATTCCTCCTTCTGCCAGACTATATTGGCCGGGAAGGCCACCATCCACTCATGCTCTAAGTTTCAACCCTGTTATCACTACGGGTTTTAGTCTGGTCGTTATCTTGTGTGAGTTTTGACTGTTCAAGATGAGAATACTGAGTTGAGCCGGGTAGCAGGGACAGTACCTCTTCTGGGTAATGTTGTCTTGAACTGCCAGACCATTGCATTCTATATTTGGTTAGTCGAGAGAATATGAAGATTGGGGTTCGACGTTCGTCAAAATTGGTATTCTATATCTGCTCCATCTTTTTATCCATATAGTTAGCACAATAGTTATATTTCATAGGGACAGATAATGGTAATATAAACGAGGCCAGGCCTGACAATGCCATGAGCCCCATACCCCATTATACATCATCAACGTCTCCTCACCCCCCTTTTCCCCCGTCACTCGTAGGTGATACTGCAACACAACATAGCCTTCACCCCAAATACTAAAGCCTACGCAGTAATCTCCGCCTTCATCGCTACAGCTCCCGCAGGACTATAAATATTCACGTTCCCTCCATCTCCCCCACCCTCCGCTTCTTCAAGAACAATCCTATATTCCTCCTCCGCATAAAGCGGGCTTGTCGCCCTATACACAATACCCTCAGGAACCATGACCTGACCCACGGCGGCGCCCTGATTCCCCTTCTGCGCTGCCCGTACATCCCGCCAGAGGTCCAGGATGGAAATGAGATTAAGGGGCCCGTGCACAACTAGACCGGGGTGTCCCTCGACTTCTTGTGCCCAGGGTAATGAGTAATGGATTTTGTGTCCGTTGAATGTCAGGGCTGAGAAGCGGAAGAGTGTTACGGCCGATTGGCAGAGGGTGCGGGTATGGGTGACGGTGTTGTTTTCTTTCGAGGTTGAGAAGGTTGGGGGTGCGGTTGATTTGCGGGTGTTGGAGACGGCGGGAGGGGCGTTGTCGAATGACACTGGTGCCGCTTGGGTTGAGGGGTCGTGCTTGAGTGCTTCTCGGAATACCCAGTTTCTGGATTTGTGATTTAATTATTTTCTCGTTATTAGCAAACTGTATCAGTTCTGTTGTCTCCTTTCGCTTCGTATATTCATACACCAAGCTATCATACAAAAGGGTTTAATGAGCTTAGTTGCCATGGGTATAATGCATATATCCGAAATTAGAATGATAGGATATGGAATGCTAGAAGTAGGAGGGGGCCGACGTAAGATATGTGCAACCTGCAAAACGAATTGAACCATCCCCTGCTTGTAAAGAAACTCACTCACCTTCGATCTACAACCGCAACCCCATTCTCATTCTCAAATACCTTCTCTACCCCAACAACCACCATCTCCTCCCCAGTCTTCCTCACAACCTTAGCCTCCGCACTCAACATCCGCGTCGTCTCCCGCACCTCCTGCCCCACCCTCAGCAAATTCACCCTGCCATCACGCCCCCGTGGCCATCGGACCTCTCCGCCAGCCCACATGCGCCTTGTGAACGGCGCTTCAGGGTTATATGACGCATCAGTGCCATCGGCACCCAGCTCGCCTTCCAGGAACGTGGGTGTGAAGTATACCAGGTGGTGGCCAGGGGGGATGGGGGTGCCGGCTTCTGGGGGTCTCGCGTTGGAGAGTGCTGGGCTTCCCGGGTAGAGAGAGTTGCGGTTGAGGGTGAGGGAAAGGAGTTGGAGTTGGTTCGCGTCGAGGATCTGGGTGCGGGTTTGGGGGCCGAGAGATTGGAAGCGGGAGAGGAAGTTGGAAGCGATGGTAGAAGCAGTCGGGGCGGAGGTGGTTGAGTAGGGGGCGGCGGAGTATTGGAAGGCAGGTTGAGATATTGTTAGCGATCGCAATAGCTGGTTGTATGTGCTCCTATGACAGTGGTGGATACGGGAGAGGAAGGGGCACAGTCGCGACGACGAAGCGGAGGGGTATAATAGCGATGAAGACATGGTTTTTTGAATGGAGGGAAATAGTTGAGGTACAGTCGCGATTACGCCTATTGAGATGAGATAATTTTGAGTATATTGGCACCGAGATTGAATTGGCGTCTGCTATTAAATATTTAGTATGTATGTATCGTCCAGTCCACACGCAGTGCCAACTCAATCGACGGTTTCGTTGAGAGGTACGGTACGGTAGTTAAGCTACAGACAGCTCTTCAGCAAATCATGGGCGCAAACGATTTGTCGAATGGAGAGTGAAGGGTGTTGTTGACACATGAAGGCTCAACTCACAGTAATATCTGGCAGACCCATCATATGCAACCCGCCCATTATTGGCGCGCCCAACGGCCATTCTTCCGCGAGTGGAGGGGGACGGACGACGGTAGCTTCCACGGGGGTTGCTTGTTGGGCGCGCGCTGGGGCGGTGATGTCACGATTCATCCAATCTGCGAGACAACCTCGGGACCGTTGTTTCCCCGAGTTTCGGGATTTTCGGGCAACCGGGTCATTGCATTGCACTGTTACCATGGCTTGATAGGATAGGGAACACAGCAGGCAAGGCAACTTTGACTTTTGTTCTTTTGTTTTCATAACTTACTTACTAGAGACATGTTTTATTTAACGATATATTTTTTCTACGTGTTTATTTTATTATTGATGAACATATATCCCATCCTTCCATTGTATTTTTCTACTCCTGAGCTTCCTCCGGGATAGGTCGGGCGCCGCCACACATAGTCTGGAGGTCGTCATTTCGATGGGATGGACGAACGAGTGTCATGGGATAAGCAGCCTGTGGATTTTGGATTTTAAGTATGATGGGTAACCGGCTAGCTAGCTACGGAGTAAGTTACGGAGTACGGAGTACAAGTATCTACTACTAAAAAGTTTGAAACCCTCTCTCTCCCCTTCTACGCTAGGATTAATATAAGGAAGAATCATGCCAAGGCAGATCAATTAGGGCTTTTTTTTTTTTTTTCAATACCAAATAGTGAGTAGGTTAAACTACATTAATCCTAGTTGTAAAAGGGGAGGGTTGGTTTCAAAACTTTTGATTTAATTATTAAGTAGACACTTGTAGTAGTTACGTTAACTACTCCGTAGCCTAAACTACCTTAACGACGAATAAGGAATGCCATGTGCCTGATCTGCCGACCTGCAGACTATTATACTATACCTAAACACAACTTCAAACCTGGAATGAATATGATGAGTTAATGGCCGGCGTTCTGGGTTACCAGAATTGATATAAGCTTGAACAAATAACGATTAGGGAAATCCTTCGAAGTTCTTCCACGTGGATAATATGATTTGAGGCAAAATAAGAATATGCAATATCCAAGGCGTTCAATCGGAATTCAGAATTCAGCAATAGAATGGTAAATCCTATAATCTTCTCTCTCACTTTACCGTGAGAGAGCTGCCATCATGACGTAGGGGGTCGATTGGTATCCAAGATTCTCGGCCACACTCTCCGTCTGTATACACTCTCCTCAGTGGTTCCCCACGGCTTACCCATCCTGGTGAAATGCGGTTGGGGGGGGGGGGGGAGGAGGTTGTCATAACCCATTTTGTGAAAGCATAATACGGTATATATAATAAAGAACTTATCACATCCATGCAGGCATTGGTTCACCCTGTTTTGCCCTTTCTCCAATGTAATTGTTTCCGGTAAGGTAATGGTGAAATCGCTCGGAGCCTCCTCTCCTGGATGGGGGTTTATTTAATTAACTATTTACATCAGTCCACCTCTGCAGAGAGCTGGAAAATTAAATTAAAAGTCCTCTCTTGCATCTTTTGATATTTTCGCCTCTTCCCCCTCTTCTTCTTTCTTTGCCATTTTCCTGGACGTTTAATGTTGTTGAGCCGTCGTCGAGGGCATCGTCAACACCAAGTAAAATAAATAGCTCCGCCCAGCGTTCGGCTGCCCGAGGTTCAGGACGCGATACGATCAACAACCCCTCTCGGCCGCCACAACCCAAATCCTAGCCAGGTGCCAAGTTGCATATGAGTTTAGGAGATCTACGTTCATTCTGTGAGCTTGATATTATTTTTCTACTTCACGTTGCTCGTTGTGCGGTTCAGATGTACGACCCGCCCTCTATGCTTCTGGTGGTCCTGAATTTACATTCACGGTCCATGCTTAGGCTCATAACCGGGTGACTTGGTATGTGTTCCTGATTTCCCTTCATTTATCCCATCCCCAAGGGCGATGCGAATGTCTCAATGTGTGAATTAGAGAGTTAACATTACCCCGTATGCCCTCAGAATATCGCCGCGCATTGAGCCTAGGGTCAACGACCTTCCCATTCTGACCTCACAGTTCTCTAAGCGATGCCCGTTTGATTTTCGTCCTTTCATGTGAAGACGACCATTGCTAGGCAAGACCTGCTTGATTATGACGACTGTCTCTGCTTTAGAAGACCGCCCAGATAATACTGCTTTACCGTTTACTTCCATTCGCGCCGCAGACCTAGTGGCTTCAGGCGCTCCGTTCGTCGAGTTCCCCTGTTACTCCATTCTCGATCTTCAACGGACTACAGGGATTGGTGGAGGCGGTGGACATACCGGAAGTCAAGATAAAATTGGCCAGATCACTGGTGAATGGGAAGAGCCGTCAGATGGCTTTTCTAAGTGGTTCACGCGGAGGCTACACATCGGCAAGCCGTTCGTGATCCGGGACTTCGAGAAACTACCACAATGGGACAGGAGGTTGCTTTCAATCGAAAGCTTGATAGAGCTGTCCACGAAGAAAAGTAAGGCGCTATGATTCTGACTATATCCGCGTTATATACCCTTGACGATATTTTGGGACGCTGGAGGCCCCGTGTCATGCTATTTGAAGCTATTATCATCTGCTCGAATGAGAAAGCTATAGGCCCAAGATAACAGCATATTTTGCTTACTAAATTCGACCAGACATTCCAATTCGGAATTGTAGTACGGCAAGAGACCTGAATTTTACACTCAAGAAATTTGCGGATGCTTCTCATCGGTCATATCGAGAGTTCAAAAATCTCTACGCACGAGATTTGCAATGTCCAGAGGCCTGGTTGGAAAAATGTAAGACCTTTCTTCCGTCTGAAGTGCAATGGGGTGGCAGTATGGATTTGTTTCAGTGGTTGCCCTCATGTGCGCGGAGCGAGGTTGTGATGGCTTATGTTGGCTCAGAAGGCTCTTCGTAAGTGGTCCAGATTACCTTTGGGCATCTATGTTTCTAATGGCGATTAGGTCTGGCTTTCACAGGTGCTTTTCATCCACAGTTGCGTTGAATCTTTTGGTGGAAGCAAGCGGTATGTATTATTTCAATACTCAATTCATACTTTATTATTAGTAGTGCATTCTCTGTCGTTGGAGACTTTGTAGCTGACAACTAAAAATATAGATCGCCCCGTTCTCTGTTTCGGGACGGATTTTGAATCCCAAAGCAAATACGATGCCTTCGTAGCCGCTCGTGGTGCTTCCCCACATGTAGACTGGCTTAACCTAACCCCTAACGAGCTGCAGAAAGCAAATTTCCCGCTGTATGTCCACGAGCAGAAGGTTGGAGAGCTTGTTGTGTTTCCCCATGCTGCAGCTCACCAAGTTTGGAATCTCGGGGCGATATCCACGAAGATGGTGTGGAACATTCTTCATCCGTTATCACTAGAGGCGGGACTCAACTATGTACAGCCTCCCTTCAACCGGCTCTGCCGTCCAGATGTTGCACGTTCCAATCTGTCACTCGCGTGTGCAATGTTGAGTTTGTTACGAGACAAGCCCAGCCCTATCCCCCCCGACTTGCCCTTGCTCGCCAAACTTTTTTGCCAAATGGTGCGAGACGAAATGTTTGATGATCCACCTGTCACACCAATATCCTTAGTCCGTATACCAGATACCGCCATTGCAACTTGTAATTTCTGTGGCACTGCTATCTGGAATCGACATCTTCGGTGTAATGAATGCCAAGATTTTGACCTCTGCTTGCTGTGTTTCCTCGGAGGCCGAAGTTGTGAGCATCTTTCGAGCTACACATGGGCGGAAATCGTTCCTCCCGAGACTTGTTCCCAAGTTATTCGTCGGGGCGAATCTATTCTTGGATATAAGATCGAGGAAAACACTAATTCCGGGAACAGAAAGACCTTGGCAACTGCGGTAAACGAGTTGATGCGGGCACGCCAAAGCAATGCCATTAAGCTATGCCATCTCTGCAGAATCGATCATCTAGAATGGAAAGGAAGGCGATGCGATACGTGCTCTGCCTTTTTTTGCTTCCGCGGATTGTTCCGTCATTTTGACATGAACTCCACTGACTTTATGCGGCATTCCGGGTTATGGGTTTGTCCAAAATGCTCAGAAAAGTGCAATTGTCGGGTGTGTTTCCGCTTCCATTGTCTCCCTGTCCTTTCCCTTTTACACATTGATATTTTTACTCTCAGCAAATATTTGTGCTAACCTGACACACCTAGTGCTGCCACTTTCCATCGGCGTATGTGAAAGCGGAAAAACCGGCTTCGAAACGTCGAGTAAAACCTGTTGATCATCGTGGGAAAATCATGGGGTTTACGGACAATGTTTTTGATCAAAAAAGGGTCAGTTATTTTGTCTTCTGCCATGTATTTTAACATTGCTGCGTTGCAGCTCTCAAGGCCTGCAGTTTACTGACTCAATTCATAACAGAGAACACCCGCTCTGTCAACATCATCATCCTCGTCCACCCATGTTATACCTGCTTCTAGACCTCAGAAACGCTCACTCTCCGTGACATCTGCTGCAGTACCGGACTTCAAGCCTACCTCAAATCCACACGCAGACCTCCCAACTCCGGAATCGGACCGTTCGTTTGGACCCCATAAGAAAGACGGAGACCAAATAATATCCGGCCCAGTGGACTCTGAATACAGTCGACATCGAGGAAAAATCCCTCGATCGTCTAGCGACAGCTCTAACCACTCCTGGCTGGTCCAAAAAAGGATAATATCAACAGGCAGGACCCTCCATGGTATCGATTATATAACGCAAATGCCTTCACCGCAAGCTGACGAACTCTCCCTCCCTCCACTCAAATCACAGCGAAATCACCCTGGTGGTCTTGTGCCAGGTTCACCCAAACCCAGCCACCCCCCCCTTAATGATGGGATGAGCGCTCTCGCCGGCGTCACTGCCGCTTCACGTATTAAAATGACAATCCCACCTCCGCATGAGTTTCTGCCGTCCCGCGATGCAAAGTATGACAATGGCGGAGCGGTAATATCGACAACCCCCACAACTACTAGCTCGCACGTGCACTCTCTCCCGACACCAACATCATCCGCTCTAGTCCACACCCGCCAACCCGAACCATCTAACAGCCTTTTCGGTAACTTGACCTCACCACATTCGCTAGCGCCAATGGAACCGCCGACATCATCACCGACATCACCCCCACAGGCGCCTATTCCACCGCATATATCGGATCTTGAGGCTCGTCTCCGCCGCCTCCGTCACTATGCTTCAGAATTGCTTGCGCTCTCCTTACACGACTCTCACTGCTTAATACAGCAGGAGATTCGGGAGACAGAAGAAAAGCTCCATCTGGCGAAGAAGGATCGTGGCGAGCGACTGCTTAAGGATTTGGAGCTTGAGTTTCCAAATTTGATTGAATTGAGGGAGGGGATTAAACGGGAGGGCGGGAGGATGGGGTTGTTTTAGACTAGTGAAGGGGGGGGGGGGGGGGTTTATTTGGCTTTCTTTCTATAGTTTACATATAACCGCGGATAATCTATATATTATGCCTGCACATCTACCATCTGTGTACATGTATCTATCTATACCTTCTCTGTGGAGTACTTAACTAATCTTTGATTTTATGAGGGATAGGAAATCGGCGTTTATGGGGCAGGATTGGATGGATGGCATCATGGCTTTTTCTTTTCTTTCCTTTTCTTTTCTTTTTTTGGATATTGGGGACTCAGTTGAGTTGAATTGGCGTGATGGTTGGGTCAATGATCCTCTTTCCGCGCCTCAGTTTCCGGTACATGTACTCTCCCGGAGTTCAAATAATTTTTATATCTCTCTTTTGAAGCTATTAACGAGTAAGAAGTAAACCAATGAAGGCATGCAAGTGCTTTTTTGGGAATTATGTTGTTATTAAATAAGTTACCTATCACAAGAATGAAAGGTTGAGAGGACCAGCAACAGAGCTATTTTCTTCTTCCCTCCTATGGCGAACGAGTGTCATTTACTTGCATCAATGTTTGTTTTTATTTTGAGCAAGTTTAGACTGCAAGATAATACCGAGTCTCAAGCAGGCGCTTCTGAGCGGCTCTATGATGGCCCCCTTCAACGGGGGAACCATATACGAGTAATTTTGGCAACCGCGTTATTTAGATAACTAAATAAATACAAGCGAGGATATTGAAAGCCATGCGCATTTACGATATTTACAGTATTTAAATATTTAAGCTTCCGACTGCAATGAAATCGGATACTTGAATACCCTCCTCCTCTTTAACATGATATATTTATCCTGCAAACCTTAGTAAATACATCATCCCAAACTGTGGAACACATACTCCGCAAACTCTTCATCTTGTCGCATTTGGCACCGGGGATAGAGCACATTGGGGGCTATTTTTATTCCCAACAGGACGGCCGATCCGACCGGAACCCTTATGCGCGTCATGATAGGAGACAATGACGACGCAAAAGTCCGGCGGAGATCAGGCGGAGCTACTTGTGAACCGGTTCTAACTCTCGCGCAGTTCTGCAAAGAGGATTGTTTGTGCCTCTTACAGGATTACATGCATCACGAGGAGAGGAAGTTGAAGATGCTGCGAGAGTGTGCTTCCCAAGGTTTGAGTACAATCATTCTTCTCAACAACTGCCAGATGTTCACTATTGATGTCTGGATGGAGTTAAATACATGGAAGATTCCCATCTCAGATCCAGCAAACTTCAATCAATCTTATCCGGGAGCAGTACAGAACAACTCCTGTCAAAATTCAGCAATTTCTCGACCGAAACAAACAAAGCACTGGAGAGCATCAGCCTGAGTCTTCAGATCCACGATTCTCTTTTGATTAACAGCAACGTCCTCCTGTCAACGAATGCGCCGTGAATTGGGCTGTCCTTAAGTGGAAGCCCGTCTGTGATTTTCCATCGTTTGATGTAGTCAAACTGACTTTGTCCTGCAAGTTAACAATCAAAGCAAGAGCAATATTACAGAAATAGCCTTGGGCAAAACAGTTTCATCTGAATATCCGTAGATTTAAGGCGCCTGGCAAGCATTTTGGCCACAGCATAGCCAATTCGCATCACACTCAAGTATAGGGCCTCGTCGAATTAGTTTATGTCTACAGAAATGAACTTCAAAGGGTGCTTTGCCGAGGGTAAGTGTCCTCATATGCACTTGCTAGCATTTTATAGTTATGTTATAGTTACTCGCTAGCTAGTTAAGTTACTTAGGGCCGGCGGAAAATCGTCTTCTGCTGTCTGGTCGCCATCGAATTGAAACACAGTTACCTTCTTGCATATTTATGATCAAGGAGCTCCACTACCTGGCGACTGACTGGTTTTTAATATTGCTCGCCACTTCTCTCCATCATTGGGAAAAGAAAACACTTTCTATTCCTTAAACATTTTTCAATGCGCCAGAAGAACACGCCTCTGGACGCGCTCCTCGGAATTTTTGGAACTCTGATCTTGATATCGCTTATCGCGCCTGCAGGAGTTGCGTGGGAGCGGGCGCATATAAAAACGAACGAATATCAAGAACCAAAAAGAATTCTGCTATCCCAAACGCAAAGGAAGCCAAATTCCCACATAAGCTTTTCACTGCCTGTCCGCCTGTCTGTCTGTTTGTACGAAAACAGCCTTAATGACTGCGGAAATGGAGCCTCCTCTTGCGCTCCGGGGTCTCAATCCCTCCTCACCCCGAGCCCTCACTCTTCCGGCGGAGATTCAGGAGATGATTCTCGCAGAGGTCGCACACAATGCGCGGGATGTACGGTCTGGGCAGGAGTGGAGAGGTTTGGTGGGGAATTGTTTGTGTATTAACTGTATGTACATTACATACATACCAAGTGCCTTGTTTGATTAGAGTATAGGGATATAGTGATTGTAGCTAAATTGGATTCTACACAGGGGCTTGGAACAGATCGCTGGCACACCAGCTCCTGAGGAACTGCGATATCGATATCGAAATGTTTCTCGCATTTGCACCGGGGCCAATTGCCGAGAAGGCAATAGATCGCTGGATTGGTCAAGTCGGTGAGGAAACCAGAGCGAAACCCCGGCAGCGGTAAAAGAACACATGAATTCCGATACTTGTTCCAAGAAACTGGGCCGAGCACCACACTAACTTTGAATTTCAGACATAGAGCTTTATCACCCGCATCACGTTCGCGTTTGGAAACTAAGGAACTCCGCCTCGGCCTCCTCCTCGCAGCATCGCGCGGCCTCGTCGGGTGCCTGCACGCTCTTGCAAGTACCGCCGTTGGCTGGGGCATCGGCATTGCCGAAACCAGCCTCCACAGCACATCCATTCTTCGAGAAGCCGTCCGCAGTGGGAAACTGGGCGTCGTCAATTTCCTCTTGGATCGCGGCGTGGGTCCCAGAGACCGGGACGCGATCATACCGGACTGGGCTCAATTGCCCATCGCAATGGCTGTCCAGCGGCTCCATGTCGATATCGCTGCTGCCATCCTTGCTTTTGATCCCGTGCCTGATCAGGGGTATGTGTTATTTCGAGATGATGAGTGCGCAAGAAGCGCGCGTGTGGATGACATTGATTGCTGGTGCTTACCTGGGCGCGAGAGCGAGTGGCGGCTAGAGCGGTTGCGTTATGAAATCGACCGGTTGGATGTGGTTGTTAAGCAGATTGGGGACTTTGGGTTTGCAGAATGTCAGCATCTGGAGTTGGTGTCGTGGGCTGCGTATCGGTCGAGCATGCCGATGCTGAAGCTACTCGTTGAGCGTTACTCGTTTACGGTTGACGTAGAAAGGGATTTGTATTGGGCTTTCAGAGGTGGTGCGGATGTGGATGTCATCCGTCTGTTGTTGCAGCATGGGAAGCGTGGAGAGGTGGCTGCACCTGTGCTACCGAATGACTTCCTTCTCAGTCGTTACCGTATCAAGAGTAAACCACGAAGTGGTGCTGCTGGGAACTGGGATCCTGAATTTACGCGGAGCTACTATGACATGGTCCCATTGCGACAACGAGTGCCAGTAATTGACGCTGTCACTTATTGCAATGTGGATATGGTAAAGCTCTTGCTTGATACTTTGTCAGATGCTGAAGAGGTCAATCGTACTGTCAACGAATTCGACCCATTTTGGAGGACACCACTTCATTATGCAGTGGAGAAAGGGGATCAGGATATGGTTAGATATCTTTTGGAGTGCGGTGCTGAGGTCTGGCAGAGCTGTTTTGATCTTGTTAGTCGAGAGGGCTCAACTGATACGGTTGGGTTGGTTACCCGGTGGATGAAAGAGCATGATCTCGAGGTTAAGCAGGAATGAGTGAGGGCTTCAGAGAGGGATATGTATTTTATCAAATCGTGAAGAAAAATGCGGAGTCTGTAGCCCCTTTATCTAAGGTCAACAAGAGCAGGAGAAGGAGAGAGGAATATAAGTTGTAGATAACAGTCAAAATCCATAGCAAGCTAGAGTTGTCAAAATTTTTTTTTTTTTTATAAAAAACTGAGATCCAAATGGGTGTTATTATATCATAGTCCGTGAGTCAGTTAACCAATTCAATAAACAACCTGCGACGATTGCCAGCCGACAGGAAAAAACTCCGTGAACCCAGTCGCATACAATAAATAATACCTAGGGAAGGGGGGAAAAACAGGGGGGAAAAAACGCCCACGCTTGTTTGCAAACATCGAAAGAGTAGGGAGAAAAGGGGGTAGAACCCCTTCGCATATTCAAAACATTATATCGTACCTCTCGCTCTATTTCCAAAAGGATACAGCTTGTATCGTCAATAAAAATTAATAATAAAGAAAAATCAAAAATAGAGCAATCACTGGCGATTATAATTATACACACGATGCATCTCCTTGGCCCACCATCTACCTACAGCATCCGCTTCACGCGCCCATTTGGACGCCTCTTCGCCATGGGAACGATTAACAGCTTTTGCAAGGTCATTCAGCGTCCACCTTTCCAACGGGTGGAGCTCATTAGGATCTTTGCCTATGTGGGTGAAGCGGAACATGTGACTGCCGGCCAGTGGGATTACAATCCGGTAAGGGACGGCAGCAGACATAACAGCCAGCAGAGAGCCGCCAGCGTTTATCACGCCGAAATTCCAGGCCTGTCGGCCATTGAGTGTGGCCATGTAAGGGCGTAGCAACGACTGAGCTTCGTAATCGTGCATTAGATCTGCAGCTGCAGCGGTGTCAACGGGGTCCAGGGAGTTGGTCGAGACGAGGAGGTCGAGGATGGTGGGGAGGATAGACATTGAAGTCGCGTTTGTGGCGACGTGGATGCGTGGAAGGTGCGGGTGGCGGAAGACGAGAGGCACGCGGAAATTGCTGATGTGGCCATTTTCATAGGTGCCTGTGTGTCCATCGTCTTCTTCGAATGCTTGGCCGCTGTAGTGGTTTGCGCGTTAGCCATATTCAGTGAGTGTATTGAATATTGGAACAACGGGGAAACTTACTGGTCTCCAACAATGACGACAAGGGTCTCGTTTGCAATTCCATGTTCATCTAGTAGCCCAAGGAGTTCTCCCAACCAAAGATCGTCGTAGCGAACAACGTTCAAAAAGGAGTTCATGTGCTCATGTGAACCCTTCGAGCCCATGTAATTTGTGGTGCGAAAATTGTGAGGTATCGCCCAGGGGTGGTGAGTTGTGCTCGTGAAGTGCGAGAGGAAAAGCCGCTTATTGTTTGCGATCGTCTCCGATATCAGGTCGCGGATGAAGGGTTTGACCTCGCTTTCAGCATACCTTCAACTTTGGTCAGTTATTAATTCCCTATTTTCCGACGTACAATGATATCTGAACACAACATACCCAAAGTAATTAAGTTCAGGCGACTTCGGTGGAAAGTACTTGGAAGACTCATTTTCCAAAGTCTCCCTCGAAAAGGACTTCCCAAAGCTCATTTGCCGATTGAGCACATCCTGTCGATCATACTGATCAGTGATCGATTGAACAAATACCGATTCCCATTTTCGTCGATGTACACTGGCACGATGGTCGAGTAATGCTTCCCTCACGTTATTCTTTTGATTG